TGGCCGCAAAGCCAACATGTGTGTTGCCAGGGCTGCCTTGTCTGAGCCAGAAGAACATGCGCCCGTCTTTGCCAAATCCGTGCAAACGTGGATGGTTGAAGGGTGCGGTTTTCCCCTCATATTCGAGAGCATATGTGATGCCCATGGGTGCCAAGGCCTTTTTGTAAAACGCAACTGATCGAGGGATGTCACGCACAGTGAGGAAGACAGAGTCGATGAGAGATGCCATTGTGTAATACGAAGAGGTGGTAAACAAGATGTTAGATCTGCAAACTTGAATGGGGCAGCAATATTTGTTGCTTGCCTAGGTAGGTGATGCACATATACAACCGGGGGACTCACACTTTTCAATTACATGAACGGATGCCACGGACACAAAACCAGGCACACAGTCGAGTTGTATTCACAGTCTGCCGTCGAGTCCTCAACAAAACAGGAGGCTGACAGGTCAGATGCGTGAACGGCTTGGCGAGTCTCACCCTTGCTTGTAAGTGGTGCTTAGACGGCCAATAAGCAACAGTGGGTTCTCACTCACCGTTAGTTCTACAACAGTAGTACTTAAGTATGACTCAGACTTTTCAAGGCGACGTGTACAAAGCCTGGGGCAGCGAGTAGATTTGTAAGGTAGCAAGGTATCGGCAGGTCTTGGGGATGTTCTTACTCACCATCTAGTGAGTGCGTTCATTAGTTCAAGATATCTAGGCCCACTGTTCAAAACTCAATCGTATCATAATGCTTAGAAATACATATCCTGTCAAGTTTGAGAGATGATGCATTACATACTCTGGAAATGTAGTGTTGGTATCAATAAGTAAGCTTGAAGGGAGTCGGTTTGGAAACGAGAATTTCTTTACGAACATCTGCAATGTTTGTCTGTGAGAACCTAACAATTAATTAAGTAAGACACTGGACTCGAACTTGTCTCGGAATATCCGGAAATTAGGCCCACAGCGCTTGGCTTGAAGATGTAACATCTCTGGCCATGAAGCTCGTTGACGCTGGGCGACCGAGGGGTTGAGTCGGAACATTTGGGACATAAGACTCTTGCATCACTTGTTCATCATAAAATATAGGTTTGATCTTTAAATCCGAGCTTGGAAAAGTGGCGAAGCGTGACGATGCTTATGAGGGTGCTTTCGACTAGTTGAAGCAGAGGGAGAAAGAAAGACGGATTGAATGAACCTTGCCCGGGTGAGGAGCTGGTACCCACTAACCCATAAACTGGTTTCGCTTCTATTCCGCATATGTCCGGGGACATACATGGCGCCTTAATACGGTGGTAAGTGCTTAAGACCCAGCTTTTTAAAAATACTGTGTCTATAACTATAAGTTAAAATATGATAGGTGCATGTGGCCGCAGCCTTGCGACGTACAGATAGGGCTAAGGGGTACCGTCTTGACCAACCCATAAAACTTCTGATCTCTGTGATTCAACCCAGCGAACGAAATCTCTAGCTTGGTGAGATATCTACGCTCATATCTGTGTGTTCTCGTCACAGGGAGCTCTTCCCTTGCATGCTGGTTCCAACTCGCATGTATTCCAACCTGATGAAACCCACAAAACAGGACATTGTTGTCAAGACCGATGTCATCTGTAGCATTATTAGATGCCTGAGCGCCTAAATTTCATGTCAGTCGCTGAACTCATGTAGGTTGCTATATTTATAACCATTACCTAATATCGAAATCTTACTTCTATCCACTATTACTAGCTTATCTAAATTATCCTATAGTTTATAATAGGTTAATATAAAGAACTTTCTTATTATTAAATATTTTAATTAAGATTTACTTTATATAATTTATTTATATAATAATTATTTTTAAACTTAATTTTATTATATAACTTTCTTATAATAATTAATTTATAAATTACTTTTATTTATAATTAATATTATTATTTAAATAATACTTTTAATTTTATATATTATTATTATTATTATTATTATTATTATTATTATTATTATTATTATTATTATTATTATTATTATTATTATTATTATTATTATTATTATTATTATTATTATTATTATTAATATTATTATTATTATTATTATTATTATTATTATTATTATTATTATTATTATTTAAAAATATTATATATATATTTAAATATATATATATAATAAAAATAAAAATATATAAAATATTTATATTATTTAGTCTATAATCTATGTCTTCTTTACTCAACTCAGATTCACAAAAAAAACATGTACTGCTCAAATTCTGAGCTTTCATCCAAGGCGCCGTGGCAGAGTGGTCTAATGCGATAGACTAGAACTACTCTTCGAGTACTTCCAGTTATCTATTCTCTTCGGAGGCGCATGTTCGAATCATGCCGGCGTCGGATCTTTTGTTTTTTTGCCTGTTCACCGGTTTATTGCGGAATCCCCGGGTGTTTTAGGGGTTTTCGCGTGAAGAGCGGGCTGTTAGGAATAATTCTCGCTAAGCAATGCAAGGAACAAGCAAACGCCAGGCCAGGGAGCCCCGGTGAGATGCTTTTGAAGAACGACACAACACAATGGGATAGATATACCATGGGTGGAGATCAGCCTTCCTGGAAAAGCTAGATGTGGTGCAAACAGTTTTGGCTTAGACTTACAAATGACTGGGTTTAGAAGGACTCGGGCCTTGAGGTCGCCACAGTCTGCGGTCTGCACAGCAATCAATCCACGCGGCTGCCATGATCACATCTCCACACAGACGGCCTCATTCGCTCATTCGCGGCTGTCGATAGTGCGGACTCGCTCCGGCGTCCCGTTCCATTCAATTGTGGTTTCCAATCATTTTTTGTGACCTGTCAAAAACGTTGAATCAACAAGCTTTGCCCAGCCTTCAGTGGTAGTTTGCCCAGGTAGGTGAGCAGAGCCGCTTGAAGGCTCCTTTTGAGGTGTTTGTCTGCGCCCGTGCCTCTGCCTCGTATCCTACGACGCGTGGGCCAACTAATAAGCAGTTTACAGGCCACGGTCATTGTGATGAGTTAATATTTTCAGTGTAGAGAGCTTGTCTGGTCCCTTCTCTTCTGTCCGAATGCACTTGTTCTGTTGCCGCAGACGAAAGCTACCAATGCTTGCCTGACTCGTTTATTAGTCATTGCAAACACCAACTCTATCGCCTGCAATAACGTTGTGCTTTTACTTGAACCAACTTATTATTCATCGTGGCAGACCGTCGGAACTCCGAGAAGAGAACACCCAGGGTCTGTTGCCGTCCCGGGCGGCATCTGGATGTCCAGTCCCACTCGATTAGCCCCGGAAACATGTATAGAGCAGGTGTGAGTAGTCTGATCGATCACATAATTAGGCCACAGTCGCATGCCGTGGGTGTTGACCTTGCCATTTGGGCCCTGCCCGTGACATGCCGAGGTGAAAGACTTCAATGTTGACTGATTTCCATGCTGATCACTTCCTACTGCAGCGCTCTATACATAACTCTCCTCTCGATGCTAGCCCAAACTGTGTTGGAGCTGGTGGGCCATGACAAAGTTGTGGAGAAGACGCTGGCGCTCTGCTAGCCTTTTGCTTGGCTGGATATTGACAATGGCTTACGCGGTATTAGTGTTTATAGTCGGATAAAAGTAATGTTGCGGCGTTGAACTAGTGCAGCTGGTTCAGCAAGAGCAACAAGTCCAAACTTAACTGCATCATTGATGCTATATTTATCTCGATTGTCTTGTAACTCGGATCATGAATCAATCATCTTGCTTGCTGCTTGCTTTTATTTGTGGACAGTACTAGTATTGATTTCAGTTGGGGCTAAAGGCTCAAGTTTTTCTGATGATGAAGCCTTGATTTTGCATCATTGGACCTGAGAGCACAATCTCTATGCCTGTGTCGCATTGGAAAGCCTTAAACTAGGTAGATCGTAATGCGGCGTAATTATCACCAACCTGGTAATCGCTGGGCTGCGATAACGACACCAACTAATAACATTGTACCAACAATGACAAGAAAAAATTGATCCAAACAAGAGCCGAGTCAAGGTTCACAGCTCCCCAACGGTTTGCGTGCCTCAAATGTAATCAAAACACCGCCTTACCCGCCTAGAACTCTAAACCGAAGACGGGAGGTGACATGCATGGCAAGGGCGGTGATGACGAAAGCAATGAGATTATCCCGTGCCCAAGGTTTGCGCCTGCGTAGCACTGCAGCCCAACGACATCAAATCATCCCGCACATATAAGAAGTGCCGAGATAACTCTGGCAGCCGCGGGAAATTAATCGACAGACTGACCCAGACCACGCCGACCAGCCACGTGGGGTGTGCGAACGCGAACAAAAACCTTAAACCGAGCCGGGACCCCTAGAGTTATGACTCGCCGGCTGACAACTTCGCAGTGCCGCAAACACACAGCGTAGCAGGCGCGGAGGAGGGGTGTGTAGACATTTGACGGGCGATCAACCCAAAATAAACTCTAAAATAATCTCCCGGCCTTGTACACTAATTCTCGCCCACAGGTTTGTCGCCGTTCGGGCTGCTTTTCGGGGCCGGTCCCCCGGCCAGGTCGGGCTAAGCCTGTGGTCCCCGAACTCCTGCGCGAGGGCAGCTCACGGGCCCCGAGGCGCACCAGCCAGGTGCCAGGCTGCCAGGGCCCGCACGATAGGCTTCAAGAGTTCAGCCCCCCATCTAGGCGGGGAACGGCATTTGACAGCCAGGCCCCTTGTGCCACTGAACCGTAATTCTTTTCGGGGGGCGGGGCGGCGCGATAGCTCACCAAAGTCGCGATCTGCTCTCTGAGCATGCCGCGGGGATAGCCATGTGGCCGTAGCGTGTTGTCGGTGTGCGCCGATCGGCCTGCCTGGCCAGCAAAGTAACACGAGTTGCGACAAGGTGCGTAAGGCTGAGGACAATCGGGGTGACAGGTCAGTTCAGAAGTCTGCGTGCGTCACAATGTCTTTGTTTGGGCCCTACGCTAGTGGTGTGGGCCACGTTTTTTTGAGACTGCATATCGACTGGAACATCACGAACGCGATATCATGGCAATTGGGGAAAAAGCTTGGCTCCGTCAATGTCTTGGATTGTTCGGATGTTCTATCTATCGCCTGCTCCGGTGCAGGCGCCGTCCACCACCTGGTGACCCGAATCCACGAGTCATAACCGTGATGCCCACTCCTTTCCTTCATTTCCTCCCTTCCATGCCCCAGATGCAAAAGTCAGGATTAAGCCCAGGGTATTTTGGTTTTGAAAGGAAAAAGTCAAAAAGGAAATTCCGTAATTTGTGTCCTGCATGTAACACATGGAAAATGAGACAGTCTAGATTGTCCCCAATTGCTCGCTCGCTCGCTTTTTAATCTGACTCCGTGCCCATGCATATTGTGACAAATGAGAATGGTAATGAGGTACATGAGAAATGGATGGTACAGATGTGGTGCGGTAGTATGTAGGTGTGAGGGCAGAAAGTAGGGTGTATGTAGCAGAGGTGGTTAGGTTTAGATCCACTTGCTCTGGAAGTTGTTCATCTCGCTCATGAAGTCATCGACCACCGAGCCAGCGGGTCCGGCCAGAAGTGGCGGGCTTGGAGCATCGGAATCAGTGGACTTGCTGTTGAGGTCCATCGACGTCCGCGGCAGGCGGTATCCCTGAAATGCGTTGGCGAGCGACTGCTCGAGCGATTCGCGGCCCATGGTGAGACCCGACTTTGAAGACTGGAGGGCGGCCGGTGGCGAGAATGTGTCCGAGTCGGTCTCGTCCTCCTCGGCCTCGGAGTGGTAGAAGGATGGTATCTCGGCCTCGGGTGACGTGGCATCTGTCTCGTCATCTCCGTAGATTGAACCCTCATCGGACGAGAAGGAGAAGCGCGATGTAGGGGTGTCCTTCTCATCAACGAAGAGGATCTGCTGCGGCCGCTCGACCGCTGTGGCGGGCCTTGCTTCGGTGAGGGTGACGACGGATTCGTTCTCGGGCAACCGCCTGAGGGTGTTTGAGGAGTACTTGCGAGAAACAGGCGGGGGTGGCGACAGGATGGTCTTTGGGCCGGTCTCGGAGGCAGCAGAGGTTGCGAAGTTATCGTCATCCTCCTCGGCGATATCGTCAGGGATGGATAGGAAGAGACGCTCCGCATCGTCGGCGGGTGGTGTCACCACTGACGTGTCGTCGGAGAGGAACCTTCGTAGCGAGTCTGGCGACATGGGGCGGGTCCGGCTGCCCTCTGAGGAAGAGGAGCCAACACTTTGCCGCTGCTCATCACCAGCCACCGACGCGTCATCGGAATGTCTGTCGCTGCTGCCCTGTGACGAGACACTGTTCTTGCGGGTGAAGAGCTTCCGTGGCGACCACCAGCTGGGGGTGGGTGAGATGGAGCGGTCGGAACGCTTGTGCTTGAGGGTCCGGACGGGTCCCTGAGAAGTGGCAGGCCGGTATGACGAGACCAGGAAGTCGGGCACGCAAGGGTCCGGCCTAGGCGTGTTGTACTTGTCTTTGGGCGACATGGTTTTGAAGTCCTCGCGTCGAACTGAGCTGAGAGAAGCGCTTCGTTTCCTGTCCGACTTTTCTGTCGGCACCCACATCATATTTACAGTCTGGCCGGGTAGATATGGGCACGCGGTTGTTGTGGGGACCGTAGGATCATGAGTCTCGACGCATCCGTCCAACTCATACTGTATCCGGTGTTAGTGGACAAAAGTGCCCTTTGACAGGGTGAAGTGAACCAACACCCATCCCAGCCACCAACTCACGTAATAATAGTAAGGCTGGCCCATCTTCAGGCCACCGTTCCTTCGAGATGATCCTGGGCGTTCCCCATCATAAATGACGTCCTTGAACACGTAGCACCCGCGCCACTGCCTCCGGTCACGTCGACTGTCGCGTTCCATTGTGTATGGTCTTTCGAAGTTGTCCCAAGAACCAACCAGCGAGACTGATTGTACTGAAGGGTGCGTTTCACTGTTGGTGTATTTACTTGTTAGTCAACAACATCCCGGGGGGACAGCATTGTTTTATAAAAAAGCCCGGCGAGTCCCAAGCTTTCCTTTTTGCTGACAGCGTGGAGCCAGCTGGGCAATAGGCTTCAGCCTCTCCGGCTTGGCCGGTTCAGGTGCCAATTTCCCGGCCTCTGATGACGCCCGATAAGGCGGCCGCCGGTGGACAACAGGCGCGCCATGTGGCTCGCAAGGAAAACTTAACGAGAACCCCAGAAAGCATATTTGCCCGAAGGGTACTAAGGCTGACTGGCACTCCAGAACCTTCAGGTACCCGCACGGCTGTGCTGATACCCGACCAGAATGTGGACAGGGGTCAAATCCTAAGCGATCCCTTGCAAAGAACTACAATGCGAGTGCGAGCAGCGGTGCTGGGGTTGTGATGACGGGTCTAATATCAAATACTCACGACGCTCCTCGACGCCTGAACCGAAACATGTCGGCCAAAAGCAAGACGGCACCGCTGGGGCGGTAGTTGTGAAATCGGAGATGGTGTAGAGCGAGGCGTGTGATGCAGGCGCGGAATTCCGGGTGGGGAATTCAAAAGCAGAACTTTATGAAATTGCAGCAAGACAGGGCAGAAAAGCATATGAGAATCGCCGGCCTCTCGGAGCCAAAATAAAAAAAAGAAGATAAGAAATACTCACAGCATGAACGTGAACAATGTCGTCGTAGTGTCCATGATGATGCGAGACGGAGATCAACTCGTCGTGTTGCAGGCGAAAAAGTAGAGGGGAGTTGATGGTTTGTCGGGAGAATTGGCCGCAGTCTTTCTTTAAGGCACCCGTGGGAGCGAGTGCTTGCTTTGGGCCCCTGAGGCTGAGAAGACCAGACAAGCGCCCGGCGTCAACAATTACTGAAAGTGGTAACAGCCCTGCGCGGTACTTAGTCGAAAATAGACGTGACGAGGTGCACAGTAGGGCAACTCTGTGTGTTGGGTGTGCTGGTGCGTTGGTGATCGAGCTGGCGAGGCGAGTTGAGGAGGATTGGCCAATGGCGTGTAAAGGGCTGGGGAGTGTGCAAGCGCCTGGGTCCCGAAAGCGGACGAGGGCCTGGGCACAGGTGATGGCGGCGCTTAGAGAAACAATCGTAGATTAAGTGTTTCGTGGCCACGGAATGGCGACCGCAGGAAGCCAACAAGCACAAAGTGAATTATCTGAAACAGACAAGGTAGCGCTGGGAGGATTCGGCGATCGAGGTGCGGTAGCAGCGAACAGCGAGCCTTGGCTGGAGGGCAGCTCAGGGTTGGATTGGATGACACCTTGGGAGCCTCGTGGCAGACGGAGTCGGACAGTCGGGGTGCAGATGCGAAGAGCGGATCCAGGGACCAGAACCAGACTCAGATGGAGAATTAAAAGAGGACATGCAGGCAGCCAGATGTATCCAGAAGAAGGATTCCAGGTACGGGGTCGGCAATCCACAATGATGACCACGAGGCGCAGCTCCCTGGTCTTTTAGATCAGACTGGGTACCGGACCCAGGTGAGTGGTCGCCTTTTGACTGGCCACGGGCTGTTCTCAGCTAGAGAGGCTGCAATTGAGGGCCGACAAGGGTAGCTGGCTGGCTGAGTTGTGCGATTGTGAGCCAACTGAAGAATGGGGGAGAGGGGGGCGGGCGATCCAAGTGATCCAAGTGCTCGGACCTCGTGGACCAAGACGTGCCCTGCCTGTCTGCCTGTTGCCTGTTGGTGTTCAAGCTGGCAATGGCTGGGAGATGCGATAACTGGGGCAAGTATGGAGCAAACGTGCTAGGCAGCCTGGCAGCCTGGCAGCGTCACTGGCCTCAGTTGTCGCAATTTTTTAGCGAGTCGAAGCGAGTCGATTCGGTTGTTCGGGAAGGGGGCGAAAGGAAAGTGAGGTGGATCCTCGAGATGCAAAACCAGGGTCTGGCTGTTCCAAGTCCCAAGCTCCAAGCAGGAGGCGCCGGCAGATTGAGCGCCAACTGAATGGTTTGATGGCCAGGCGGTGCTGATGTGATGGTGATCCCGGTGGCGGGCTGACGAGCCAAAGTATAAGATAATGGCTTTACTTTCGGTTGTGCCTCACAGCTACACCGGTCCGTCTGATGGTTGATGGTGGTGGAAGTTGGCTTCTCGGGGACAAGGCAACTGAGGCAGGTGTTTGCGCTGGGACGTCGTCGCTGTAGAAGTCAAACAGGGGGACAACCTTTGCTGATAGTGAGGATTTCAGTTCGAGGTCAGAGTCAGGACTTCAGGATGTCTGTTTGAAAGCCGGGAAGTCGGAAAGTCGTCATGGCCCCGTCACGCTTGATTGACCGAGTATCCGTACTGGCAGCCAAGTAATATCCACCGATTCCACTCACATGGCCCCAGCACGTAGCACAGCAGCCAGCCAGCCAGCGAGATCGCTGGGCGACATCGTGGCCGGGACCCGGAACCCCTCCTTGCCCTCCTCATTTGCTGACACACCATCTGACCATCCGGTCGTGGCCGCGGAGAGGACGGGAGAGGAATAAGGTCTGTGATCTGAGCTGAAGGAGATGACAATGGCGCCCCAACGTGGTAACGCTGCCACAGTTGCAGCAGCAGTCCCTACACTAGTTTACAGGCACAGGCAGCCTGCAGGCGACGACGACGACGACAAGATGCTTTTCTGCTCCGACAGTGGATGCTCCTCAATTTGAGCTGCAGATCATGTGCAGGGATCTATTTGTATCAGGCAGTCAGGCTTGCCTTTCTTGGGGCGGCAAGGCGGGTCGCTGCGGGTGGGTCTCCCGGGACGAACCAGTGCCATTCCTGACCAAGCTCAAGCTCCTGCCCGCCCTCTCTGTGCCTGCTCCCTCTTCCCGGCTGACTGGGTGCGACCTCGTTCGTGCTGAATCGCCCGGCCGGTTCGTTGAGCTACTAGTAAACCGCTAATCGAAATCCCCAGTTCCCAGCTCCCCAGATCCCCAGGTCCCCTGCAGCCCTGGACAGGCCCGGGCGGCCGATCCATACTGCATTGTACTTCGTACGTGACAGCAATTACAACTAGTCCTGCTGGCTGAGCCGCCAACAACAGACAAGACGACGTGTGGCGGGCGCCCGGGCAAGGGATCGCGAGTCGTCGAGGCGAGTCACCAACCAGGGGGGGGGGGGAACTCCTGCATGTGCTATGTAGGTATTCAGCCTCCTCACGCCCATTGCTGACATGCCCATCAGACTACTGCTGTCACGAAGCCAGCACCACACGCTCGGGTTCGCCACCAGTTCTGTTGGACAGGAGCTGCCTCGAAACGAAACACAGCACGGAGACCCTATCACTACGCCCGCAATTCCAGCATGAATCACGCCCCCCCTCCCCTTCGACTCGCCCCGTCTGATCCCACGTCAGACTCAAAATCCAGGCGAGCCATAACATTCATGCATCAGACATGGCTGGATGAGCTGGCTGGCCGCCCCGGTCCCACGGAGCGCCCTCGGCGATCGTCTCATCAATATTGACAGCCAGGGTGGTTGCTGATCTACGACTTGGCTTTCAATTTCCTGGTGCTGACCGTCCAGGCGGTCGAGGGCACAGAGGTTGAGCTGCATACGGCCAGACAACAGCGCTGTCAGCGATGGGCGATGTTACGCAGGAAGCTTTACTCTGCTTCATCGTGCGGGCGCGCGTCACGCAGGTAGGCCCCGGCCAAAAAGTCAAATACACCACACTACGGAGTACACGTGTGTACATGCTCCCCTCGACTGTTTTGCTCCGCATCGCTCGTTCGCGGCCGCGCCCGCTGACTCGGAACTATGCCCTCCGGGAAGAGGTGAGTACGAACGTGCGGGAGCCCGCCAACTGTCCGTCGGTCGAACCTCGAGCTGCAAGCCTCACTCATGCATTCAATGCGGTCTCTTCCTCCCTCCCAAGGGTGTGGCCCGATGGATTGGGTGTCGGTCACTCACCGAGCCAACCAGCCAGTCAGCCGGGTCGTCTTCTGAGACAGCTGAACAGGCTGTCTCGTCTCGGCCTATGCAAGATACTGTGTGCCCATATCTCCGGACCGCAAATAAGCTGTCCGATGTGTGGCCCTGTGGTCTCGTGGTCTTTTGGCCCTGTACTCCGTGAGACAACCTGGCCACGATCTGTACGCCCGTAATCAAAGAAAAGGTCCGGTTGCACCGCATTGTCTCCAGGCGTGTCTGGCAGCATCGCGAGACATGCCAGGCTTTTCTAGAACAATAAGCAGCTTCTGGTTTACCTCACGCGGCCTGCTTTTGCCTGTTTCATGGATATTAAGGTACGGCAAGCACGTCGTGGAAAGACAAAACTTTCACGTACGTATTAGTGTAATGGCCCACGGCCCTTCGGGTAATTTCCAAGACCTGATGCGACACCAGACGCCATTTTCTTATGACCAGCCACTGGTGTCATGACAGCGAAGGGCCCGCGCTCTGTGTCAGATCTTGTTTGCCATGCCCGAGAAAAAACCTGTACTTTTAGGCCTTCAGGCGTTGTCTTGTCATCCAATTCCCGCCGAGACATTCCCACCTTTCCGCTCTCGCCCTCCGTCCCGCGGTCCGGCCCAGACGGCCCCACTCCGGCGGCACATCTTGTTTGATGTCCTGCGGACCGCTGACTAGGATGGTCAGCTTAGGAACACTGATCTTGGGTGCATATGTAACCTTTTCCCCCCTTCCCTCATGTTGCCTTCGTCAAGTGTCTGGCATGCGAGCTTAATCGGCTCCCGTGCCTCCTGGCCCTCGCACGGCTCTTGCGCCCGTACTTTTGATCCCTAACAACGTTGAGCCCAGGGATATATGGGATGCCACCGGGCTGGGTACCGTTGGACCGCTCCCTACGCGGGTAAACAAGCTTCCCCATTGCCGCGGATCCCTCGGGGCTGGATTTCTCGCTCTCACTCTTATGGCGACGAGCGAATGCGACGAACGCGCGTTTCACGCTCAGAGGATGACATATGAAACATTCATGCCCTCGTTCCTGTTGAGATCATGTACGAGGCCGGCGGGCTGGTGCTGATGTACACGTAAGAAGCACCAAGGTGAACCCGACCGACCATGTGCCTCCCCGACCAAGCGCCGGAAGCAAGCAGGCGTTGTTAGCTCGGGGCTGAGCTTGCGATGCTCGGATCCGGACTGCCGCGGTGAACACCCGTCGCTCGAGGGATAACCCGAGGTTTTGCCCATCGAGCTGGTTAGGGGGGCTGGTGGGAAAGCTAACTCTGAACCCTCGCGCGTGTTGCAATGGTGACATGTGCCAGATCTCGAGTCCGGCCCGAGTGCGTTGTACCGTTCAGCCCTGCGTGCCTTTGGCCGGGCTGAGGTCAACTTGGCTGTTGTGCTGGGACTGGAGTCGGCGACGTCCATTTCAAAGTGAGACATGCGCTTGAATACCTGGCCGCCTTCGAGGCGGATGTAAAGTGCTTCTTGATTGCGTTCATCTTGCGAGTTGTGAGACCCGTGTCAAACACAGACTGCGGTGCGATGAGGTTGATCCCGTGAGACTTCGGTGTTTTGTTCGCTGCATGTGAAGTCCAGGTCCAGATCCGAAATTCAAGCGGGACCGGATCTCGTGAAGCTTCCCTGCTTTCAAGAGGCGTGCACAACTCTCTCTCCGTGTCAGAATACGGCAGCATAGGCTGTCCTATGATGGACTGTCATTCCTGGCTAGAATTTTATTTGTAGTCTCTGGGCAGGTCAATTCCAACGACGACCACGTGACGTTCTTTGTCCAGCACTTGCGCCTGTCTCTTGGACAAACGAGATGCACGTCTCCAGGACCAGTGGCCATGCCGCTGTGGACACCACATCACCAGATCAGATCGGTCTCTTCACTCACAGGAACAGAATGGGTGGGATAACAATTGGGTACTGTTATTGCAACACGGAGCCCAGGCTCCCTCCACCTCTATTATAATTACTCAGTATCACGAATCTATCCGTCCAATCCTCGCCGTGTCCAATGGAGCCAATGCTCGCTTTTTAAAAAGAAGAGAAAGAAGAATTCGCCGAGAGGAACAATTTTGTACAGTGTCGAACGTAATCATATGGATCTGGGTGAGGTATTGGACTTGTGAAGCACGCCTCGGAATAGAAAGGTAATAGAAGCAAGAACGCCCTGTGCCGATGCCCGGTATTCATCCCTCAATTTCAACATGTGCCTCATTTGGTCAATCCAAGCATCAAAAGGGCGAGATACTAAAGAATATTTGAAAGTAGCGCAGTCCAACGAGTGGTGGGGAACGGAAAGTCCGAATAATTTGAACGCCAAGGTCTGGAGCAATTTGGGAGCTGGGTGTTGACTCCTTACTGCGTGGCTTGAACCGTCTTCTTCTCATTCTTCAGCTTGGCGTTTTCCCTCGTTCTCTCGTACTTCAGCGTGGTGTCGCCCTGCCACATAGTTCCAAGCCACCGGTCCCAAGCGGTGAAGAAGGGCTGGCTAAAGTTGGTCTTGATGCCCCAGCTCTGGTGGTGGATATCGTGGTACGCGGCATTGTTGCTCGTGATGTTCTGCAGAGGGTCCCAGGGTAGGGCGTAGCCACAGTGGTCATCGACAGTCTTCATGGTGCTGCCCATGTAGAAGAAGATGGACATTCGTTGTGACATCCTCGATAATTTGTAAGCAAGACCCGCGCCTGCGGTGTCAAGTACAAAGCCTTCGACAGGGTGGTTGTACAGTGCGCCGTAGGCATATGGAACGTAGAGACGGTGGTGACGGGCGTGCCAATGAGCTGTGTGTGAGTCAATCCGTTAGCATTGGAGAGGATAGAGCGAGACTTGTAGGATCATAAGCCTCGAGGGTACGGGGTAAACATACTGTACATCCACTTGTTGACGTGCATTGCACGGTGCCAGAAGTACTGCCACGAGTCCAAGAAGGCCACGGCAACCCAGAATTGGAATCCGGGGATGATCAGCCAGTAAATCGCCTTGGCCAGCAACAGCTCCCAGGTCGCGAATGCCGGCACCGACACATCGGTGGTCGCGTCGATGCTCGTCAAGAACGGGTACTTGCCACCGGCCAGGGCACCGGCAAGCAGTGGGTGCGAGGCAGACATGTTCTTGGAGATGGCAGCTGCATTGAGACCGACCAAGCCCAGCACAGAAGGGAGTGCCCTCTGCGCGAGACGGATCCTGGTGGCCCAGACGGCAACGTCGTAGTTCTCCATGCCCGTCATCTGCGCAGGCTCAGTGAGCGACAGCACAGCGGCGGTGAACATCTGGATGATCTCCTCGATAATAACATCTCGTGCCACCTGCCATCTGGACGCAAGGTTCCTCTGGGCTATCTCTGCTGGGGTGTGCAGGCGGTACTGTGGGAACAGGTCATAGACGTCGATGATGTGGAAGATACCAGACACGACCCAGTAAGCGATATGTGGGCCGACTACCGCCAGCCAGAAGTCGGAGATGAAGGGCAGCAGGTCAGGTATGGGAGTCGTCGAGTAGGCGGGCAAGGGAGGCAGATCCGATACCATGGTGCCGTTGCTGACACCGGCGGTCGACATCATGACGGTGGTCGGAGAGGCGACCATCACGAGAGCGGAACGCCGGACAATTGAATCAATGATTCAGGGCGCGCAGGAGGACGTGCAGGGCGTGCGTGGACGGCACTTTTATCGATAAGTCGGAAGTCGGTGGCGTCGTAAGGCTTGGGCGTCGAAGGCTAGCAATTCGCGCTGTGCATGGAACAACAGAAACCAAGAGAGGAATTGACGATGCAACGGATTGAGGGACCAAGGGACCAGAGAGGATGGTTGACAGACGAGAAGCAAAAAAGAAAAAACCCCGTGGCCAACGTCGAATGAGTAAGCCCTTTGGAGGCTCCTTTTTGTTCGACAGAGGTTTGTCAGACGTTTGATGGGATCGGCTTGTCGCGAGCAACTGGGACCCGGCGGCGTGGGCCCTTTTTACCAATTTCGCTTCCTAGTGGAATCCGTCCGTTTCTCCCGAGTCGCCTGTTCTTTGCCACCACCCGTCGAACCACTTTTAGCACGCCGTCAATCCGACAGCACGTATGAGCAATGTTGATGAAGCCACTATGTCGAGAGCATTGGCAGACGCATTGGGACAACACGCTGGACTCTCCTGTCGACTGGTTTAAGTAGCCCACCCAGACATCTTTTGCATCGAGACAATCGCATTGCCATCACCGATGCGTTGTCCGCCATGGCAGACGGCCAGCATGAACTGCATGGGAGTTCCTGGACCGACACCTGCTCTCATGACGGGCCAAGCCCAATGCGTCCACTGGAGCCAATGCGACGCGCCTGGACGGGCTGGGAATGCTATTTCTGCAAGGCACGAATTTCCAGCCTAAACCCGAGGCTTGTGAAAGTCGCTCTCATGCCGCCTTATTAATGCATTAACACGGAGCAGCCAGATGGGTCCCGTGTCTCTGTTAGTGTGTCTGAGCAGATCCCCCCTACTCCCTACTCCGTACCTGCCCAGGTTGCCATGGTCCTCGACCGAGATCCCAAGGTCTTGTTCGCCTTGTTTCCTAGCGGCTAGTCAGTGCTTTGAATCTTGGTCGTGGACCCATCGCATCGGCTCCATGCATCGAGCCTATCGAGCGTATTGCCCGATGCCCAGCCAGCCCTGTTAAGCCACACAGGCAGCCAAAAGGGACTCACCGCAACGGACACCCCCCTCCTCCCTGCCGGGCTGTCAGTTTGGACCCGAACCCTGAGAGCTCGCCCAGCTAGTCCGAATCTGCAATGGCTGCTGGCCCAGTCCACCCCTCAAGCCCCACCTTTCGATTTTCCATTGACATTTTCCCCGCGCCCAGCTTCACAAACCGCCCAATCTAGCACCCTTCGATTAGCTGTCCAAATTTTCTTTCGCCTTCTCCTTCACGACAATCACCCGTAGCCTCCCCACGTCTAGCCGGTCTCCATCTTCAAATACCGCCAAGATGCTTATCTTCAAGGATGTTATCACCGACGACGAGATGATCTCGGACTCCTACGACCTGAAGGAGGTCGACGGGATCGTCTTCGAGGCTGACTGCGCCATGATTGAGGAGGGCGGTGTCACCGTTGGTAAGACTTCGCATACCGTGTCCCGAAGCTGGGAGCAAAAAGGGGCATATTGCTGACAAGTTTCCCCTACAGACACTGGTGCCAACGCCTCCGCCGAGGAGGCTGAAGAGGGTACCGATGACCAGATCGTCAAGGTCAACAACGTCATTGCTTCCTTCCGTCTCCAGTCCACCCAGTTCGACAAGAAGGGCTACCTGGCCTACCTCAAGGGTACGAATAAACAACTGCACTCCCTGGACTCCCTTTTGTTGTTGGTGGTAGGCAGGATTCTAACATGTGGGCTCCATAGGCTACATGAAGGCTGTTGTTACCGCTCTCAAGGAGGCTGGCAAGCCCGAGGAGGACGTCAAGGCTTTCCAGAACGGTGCCCAGAAGTACGTCAAGGAGAAGCTGCTGCCCAACTTCAAGGACTACGAGTTCTACACCGGCGAGTCCATGAACCCCGATGGCATGATTGCCCTCCTCAACTACCGGTAAGTCCCGTGTTCAGACCAGCTTCGCTTCAACCATACTGACATTATGGCCACTAGTGAGGACGGTGTCACCCCCTACTTCATCTTCTGGAAGCACGGCCTGAAGGAGATGAAGGTTTAAACGATCACACGCGGAAGCTTCAATATCACCTTCTCTTCCTCCGATTTTTGGTCCACTAGTCTACCTCACACTGTGGCATGGGCGCTCAAGCGTTGCCTGGATTGGATCTCGGCACACACAAACAAAAAAATGATACCATGAACGACGCGAAGATGTCACCACAATCTTCAGAATAACCCTCGGATCCAGGACAGTGTGAATTATGCTCGTGACAAGTACAGTTCTACTATGACAGGAAGCATCCACATTTCGTTCATCCTCGAAAGATGCCCTATCCCAAGTTGCTTTTCACTTTTCGTAGATTTAAATCTAGAGCTCATTTGTAGCAGGCTACACAGAAGGCAGGCGATCCTGCTGTGATGCCGTGCGGTGTGGTGCGCAAGTTAGGAATCCGTCGAGATGGGATATTGAGGTGTAGTTCTACCATGCCCAGAACGCCCGTGCCATGCAATGACTTGATGCCCACCCAGAATAAAAGACTAGCATGAGATGCTCCGTGTATGAGAGAGAGTCTGCTTAGGGACGCCCTGCGCACACAACGTTTGGGGTCGCGACTTTAGAACGGCCGCGTCGCCACAGGCACTGGAGGGGGTGCGTCCTCATCCCCGGCATCAACAGGGTTACCGCCCAGCGCCGGCTTCTTCTTAGGAGGCGGAGGCGGTGGTGGCTTCTTCTTGCCCAACAGCCCAGCCGCGTTACTGATGGTGCTGAGGTGCGACTGCGCGGGCGAAGGGGTCCTGCCAGCCTCGGCCCCGCTGCCACTGCCAGCGCCGCCGCTCGCGTTGCCCAGGTACCCGCCGACCTTGTCCGCCAGCCCGTACTTCTGGTTCAGACTGTTCGCCTTCTGAGCCCCGGCGGCGACCTGTTCGCCGTGCCTCTCCCGGAAGTTGTTGGCGGTCGAGGCGGCCGACTTGGCGTCGGCGAAGGAGACGGAGCTTGGGTCCTTTTTGAAGTCGGACATTGTCTTCAGGGCCGCTTGTTTCTGTGCCCATGTCGTCCCTTGGGATGGTGCTGCCGCCTGGGCCGGGGGAGGCGACGGGGTCGAGCTCTTGCCAAAGCCGCCGAACTTGGAAAACCGCGACTGAAGCTCGTTCACCGCCCCGGATCCTCCTGACACCGGCGGCGGGGCTGGACTGCTTGCACCAGATCGGGAAGGTGGCGGCGGCGGCAAAACCTGTCTGTTCCCACCGCCGATGCCAAATCCTGGTACCGACACGCCTGAGGCGCCCAACCGGTCGACGGCACCTTGATTCAGGAAGCCGGGCTGTCGGCTGGGCGGCGCCGGGGCTGGCAGCCCGGATGAGGCGGCGGGAGAGGGTCCTGGGGATGCATTGCTGTTCCGGGGAGGCAGCCGTGGGGGCAGGCTGGGGGGCGGTGGCCTTGCGGTAGCCGAATAAGGTGGCGGTGGAGGGCTGGCAGTTGGATCCCTGCCATCGGCGCCGTCTCTCCGTCCTGGCGGCGGAGGAAGGTGAGCTGTAGACAAGCCGCTGGTATCGACACGGTAGGGCCTGGGTGGTGCTGGAGGCTCGTCTACCGCCTGTTGCTGGTCTGCATAGCCATACTGCTGGGCCGGCGACGAAGATGCCGGCCTTGCGGATGTCGCGCCAACTCCCGGGGGCGGCAGGACGCCGGCGCCGGTCCGCTTCGGCGGAGGAGCGAAGGATGCCGGGTCCCTGAGGTGTGAGATGGGCGTGACGTCTCGGTCTGCGTTGCTCTGCGTGTTGGACTTGCGGCCGAAGACGGCTCCCTACATCTGGAATCAGCATGGTCCATCGAGTGTGCTTGCCCACGCATCGGCTGCCGTGTCACCCACAACTTGACCCCTGAATGTGGTCTCGTTCTGCCCGAGTCTGTCAGCATCGAAACCAACGCCCGCCCGGAAACGGTTACTTGCAGGAGACAGAGCAGGGTGAGACATACTTTGTCCGGGTGCCAACCGTGTTTTGCAATTTCCTTGAAATCGGGCATTATGAGCACCAGGTGATGAGTAGAAACGCACGCTTGGTTGCTCACGCGAAGGCAGAGTATGGAAGGTCCTTGCTCAAAGAGCTGCGTGATGGGGCAGCCGTCCGCTGTCGAGAGCTCTGCCAAACCGGGAGCCTGACGTAACTAACAGATGGTGCAGTGGCAGGAGAGGACCCCTGGAATTATACCCTGTTGCCCCGGGAGCTGCCGAGTCAGAGCAACCCAAACATCACCCGCCTCGAGCCTTCACCCACCTAGATAAGCCCCCCAACGCGGTCGACGCGTCACCCAGACAGAGGTTCAAGGCCGCCCGCGTCTCCCCTTCACATGTGTCACAATTCAGCATGACGGCCGCCAACACAGACACTGAGCTGCTGACAGAGCACTTTGGATACCCCCCAGTTGTGAGTCAATAACCACTAGCATTTAGTCGCGCATTGCAAACGGGAGGGACTGACCAGAAATCCTGCAGTCGCTCCTGGACGAGATCATCAACAGCATCAACGTCATCGCCGAGCGCGCCCTTGTTAGTGTCGAGCAGGGCCTCCTCAACGCACCAGCACAATACCTCGGCTTTGGGAAGCCACCAAATCCAGCAGCAAATACCAAATCGAAGAGGAGGGGCAGACAGAAGCCACCACCCGAGGATGCAAATCTCGACCTGTCCCCGGAGGCGATCGAGCAGCGGCGACACGATGAGATTTCAAGTGGCACACACCAGCTCGAGACGCTGCTGTGTACGTCTATCGATCGCAACTTCGACAAGTTTGAGCTGTACGTGATGCGTAATATCCTCTGTGTCAAGCCGGACGATAGGGACTGGCTACGGCTGGGGCACTACGAAGGGTTGAACTTCGACAATCTACCCACAAGTACAGCGGGGAGGGACAACAAAGATGGCGGCGCCGACAGCATGGATGTGGACACACCAGACCGGCCGACAGTCGAGTCCGTCAACCGCCTGCGCCGCAGGCTACAGGCGTCCCAGAAGCTCAATACCATGATGCACGCCGAGAAGGCGCGCAACGACGCGCTCCTCAGCGAGCTGCGGTCGCTGGTCGGCAGGGTCGGCGCGAAGGGACCTAGGACGTCCGGCGCGCCAGTCGTCGAGGGCGGCGCCGAACCACAAGCGGAATCGGGATCGAAACCGCCCTTTGCCTTCCTACACGAGCGCGGCGACCTCACCCTCGCCGACGCAAACACCCCGCTCACCACCACGACCGCCTTCTCCCTGTCGCAGCTGCAGGCGCTGCGCGCCTTGTCGACGTCGCTGTCGAATATACTGCCGAACCTGCAGGGCGGCAATGGGGAAGGCGATGGCGGCGCCGGCGGGCGGCGGACCTGGCGCAAGGAGCGCGTCGAGTATGTCGAGGGCGCGGCGCGGAAACACCTTGAGAGCGTTAGGGGTCTGGAGTTGGGCAGGGATGGGGAGGTGCGGGATGGAGAGTGGCAGGGCGAGGGTAGGAGGTTTGCGGGCGGTGAGGTAGCGGCTCTCGAAGGGGTTGTAAATGCGCTTGGTGGCTCTGGTGTCGGCGGGGGAGCTGACAAGATGGATGAGTAAGGAGCATGGCTTCCGTTTGCCAGACTGTGTCGGCCTGGCGGCAAGACTCTGGTATTGTTTAGGGAGGCAAGCAAGCATAAAAAGCTGCGAGGCGCGAGAAGCATGGTGTTGCGGTCCAAGCGAGGCTCGCAACATGCCTTTGCTTGGAGGGTTGGCATGGGACGCTTCCTTAAAGTGGCACACACACGATGTAGGATACGGGCGTTTACGGAGATGTTGGTTCAGGAAAGGAAAAGGACAGGCTAATGACTCGGAATTGATACCTCAGACAGATGCTTCAAGAAACACCCATATGCACGGTCATCTCGGCGTTCTTGTAGAACTACCTCAGGTTGCAGCGCCGCCCGCTGTCGTCCATATTCTAAGCCTCTTTTTAATGCAATTTTTACGGTCCCGCCACACGAGGAACCGGTCCTGTCTGAAGTTCCTCCCACTCAGCAGGCGACAGGAGCCGGCATTCCAACGCGTAGGCCCAGAATGCATGCCTCCAGTATCTGCCCCTCGACCTCTGACCACCATGGCCGAGGCTTCCCGCCTCAGAATGGTCAAGACTGGTATTCTGTCGGTGCCTCTTGACGGTCTCCACCATCTTCCTGGCCTCTTCCATTTTCCCCGCCCTGACCAGCGCCTGGAGAAGGGTCGAGAGCGTGTCCAGCGTCATGGCAGACCCGATGTTATTCACCTGTTCGAATATCCCAAAGGCTCTTTCCGTTTCACCTGCAGCGGCATACCCCTTGATGACCCGCTCCCAGAAGACCCTGTCAAGGCCACGACGCACAAACATTCGCCACTTTAGCCCTTCATTGTTCATGAGGTCCTCCACGGCCTCCAGGTTCGGGGGGTTGAGGCTGAAGTAGTGGTCTAAAAGAATGGTCTGCATCTGAGTCGACATGTGGAGGCCCTTGTCGCGGACGTGTCTGCGGACGGCCTCAACCGCCTCGTAGCTGTTCGCACCAGGCTCGCTGAGGAGTAGATACAACATGCGCCCGAATGTCTGCATGTTGGCCTGGACGCCGGCGGCATCCATCTCGGCGAAAAGATTGTTGACACTCTTGACCTGCTCGGCCGGGTCCGCGTCTTTAGAGCTACCAATGATACCCTCGAGAAGTACCGTGTACGTTGCCGCGTCCGGCTCGACGCCCTTGGCCTTCATCATCTTGAGTAGGCTGTCAATCTGGGCAGTATTACCCTGAAGCACCAGGGGCCTTAGCAGAGTGTTGAAGGTCATGATGTCGGGCTCGACGTTGTTCTTTGCCGCCCAGTCAAGGACCTTCTTGGCTGCAGACATGGCATTCATGCGCATTAGTGCGGCAACGGCCGCGTTGATCGGAGCGATCGTGAGTTTCGACTGGTGCAGCATCTCATCCAGAGCCCGCAGGCCTGCCTCCGGCTCGCCACAGCTTATTAGTCCCACTACCCGAGCCGACCACGCTTGTTCGTCCACCTCGAGACCGGAAGCTTGCAACTTTCTCCAGACATTCTCGATACCGACAGCGTTCTTGGACCTCCGGCACCCCTCAATCAACGAGGTCCAAGTCCTGATGTTCGGCTGCGCCCCGACGCGTGTCATGCTCTCCCAAACCTCGACTGCTCTCTGCGGCTTGTGCAGCGCAGTGAAGGTCATAATGAAGTGGTGAAACACTTGGTCCATTTTCTGCAACTCCGCCTGTCGTTCGTCACTGGGCACAGCGTCCGGTCCCCAGAAACGCGCCCATGCGTCCTCGACGGCATCGGAATCGCGCATCCCAAGACCTGTATTGACTTTTTGCATGATGTACTTTTCGTCCGGACCTCCGTGCCGGTTGAGCTCTGTTCCCTTGACAGTCATCTTGGATAAGCTCTTGGACCCGTTGGTCTGGCGAAGCTGGGAAATCAGCGAGTCCCAACGGGACAAGACATAAGCCAGAACGTCTGGATGCTCTTGGAACATGTTGTGCAGCCCGGTCTTCCAGACCGTAACAGATGCCAGGACCTTTCCCATGGGGTCAAGAAAAGGCTTCGCCTTCTCCTGTGCCTCTAGGGAGGAGTGGGCAGAGTCTGACAGAACAACGAACGAAGCGATTGCCACCGGCCGGATCTGAACGAAGTCGTTTCCTTGAATATGTGGGAATAACAGTTTAATCGCCTTGATCGCCTCGCCAGTCCGTGCGAAATTCTGGAGCAGATGCTCATCCAGCCCTGGGAATCGAAAAGACCTGGCGCGGGAGCGGCCGCGATTGAACGCGATCAAAGTATCGACCATATCCTGCAGCAGCACGTCTTTCCTGGCCATGGACTTCTCATATGCCCCGGCATCTGGATAGTCTGTCTTGGTAGTGCTCCTTGTCACGAGATTCCGGATGAGGCTCATGACAGAGTCGGCCCACCTCTTGCAGTGGATGGAGTCGAGCTCATACAAGAGTCGGGTCACCTCGGACAGGGACGGTAACTTCTCATTGTCCCAGTCATCCATCTTGGCCTCTACAACTCTGGCCATTACGATGGTCCCTCTGTGCTTCAGAATCTGGTCCCTGCCCCCGGGGGGCACGTTCTTCCACACTTTTGTCAGGAAGAACTCGAAACAGGTCTCGATGCTTTCCCGCTTCAGCATTGGCTTTAGCTGTGCGAGGTCGTTATAGTACTCGAGGGCGGTAAGTGACTTCGGTGCCGAGTTCGAAGGCAAGTTGTCCTCATCAACCTGCTTCCGGACCACCCGCTCGAAGATTTCCAAGCTTCTGCCCTTGGGCATGCTCTCGTTCCTTCGCATAGCCCTCCTGCGATCCAGGCCTCTGAAGCGGGGCGTTGCAGGGCCTCCACCCTGGGCTGGCGCCTCTGGTCCCGATCTCTGCTGGGCGTGGGCTTCTGCGGCCTCAATCGAGGGAACAATATCATCGACATTGTTGTCTGAACCTGGATCCGGCCTGGGCTCAGAAGCCGAGCTCACATAAGCCCTGGGCAAAAGCTGCCATGGTGGGAGCCGAGGAGCCTGAGCTCGAAACAGAGCGTCGGCCAGGAGGCGCCTGCGGCATGAGCAGCATATGGTGCGGAATCTCTGCATCGGGGGCGATTTTCACCCCCAGTGCGACCAGTGGTGGAAAGGTAACCGTGATGCCTTCAGAAGTTGGTCGGGCCCTTCAGATTAAGTTGAGATCGGCGTGTCTTCCATTCTGGCCTGGGAAGTCCAGCACGCTGTAAGGATTGTGAGGTTCGAAGCAGGACTGTAACTGGCTCGAGATGCTCGTTGCAGCGCTACGGGTGAAGATGGGTGCTGGAAAATAATGGTGGAGAAGCTTGGGCCCCCCCTGCCGGTACCAGTCACCTCTGCATGTGCTAGCTAGGTATCTGGGCATAGTGCTTGGTACTCCATACGGCAACACTGCAGCGAGTCACTCGGGTGCATTCACCACAGGGCGCTCCGTACCTGGGTCTGCCGTCTTCTACGTCGTCGCTGGGCACACACAGTCTCACTTCTGTGACAGTCCAGTCCCACGTCCTCTGTGATGAATATACAGGGTTAATTCACGATGCACTCGGCCAATTGGTAAGCCCCAACATAAATATTTCCTGTCGTCTCTTTTCTCCATCCCTCACTAGATCACCAACACCTCAATTGGGACAATTGTTCTGCCACAGCCCACTGCGCCTACCGAGCCTCACCCTTCTTCACCTCCCCCAAGATTTGTTAGATCAAGGTATAGACCTTAACGGAGTGGTACAAGGGCTGACAGAAGCCAGCCTGATTATAACCACTACACCACCATGACCACCCTCCAACCACGAAAGCCGTACACGGAGGAGGAGCTGAAGGCCCTCTACCCTCCTGGCCTTGAGCTCGTCCAAGCCCAAATCCTCCTCCGTCATGGGGAGCGGACTCCGGTCTCGGCCCGCTTTCAGAACGCCGGCCTTCACCCGTTCTGGCCGTATTGCAAAGCTGCCAGTCATCTGAGAAACGTGGTGCTTGAGGCAAATAAGAACGATGTGATCTTCTCCTCGTTCGAATGGAAGAAACGCCTCGAGGCCTTCGGGGAGAGCTCAGATGCGCCTATTCTGGCCACAGGTGCCAATGGTGACGTGGATGATCTCTGTGAGATGGGTAAGAACACTTTCGAGTCAAGGTCCGTGTTGATTTACTTGTGGTATCCTGTACTGACCGTTCTCTAGGTATGCTTACAGACAAGGGGCGGCTGACCACGTACCTCCTTGGCGAGCGTCTGCGAGGGCTGTATGTCCAACAGTTGGGGTTCCTCCCCGATACCATCGAATCGAACGACTTCATGTACCTGCGTGCCACCCCAGTTCCACGTGCACTGGAGTCTCTTCAGCAGGTCTTCGTTGGCTTGTACCCGGACGCGAAGCGCGCTGCTGACTTGCCGCCGCCAACCATCCTGCACCGGAACTTGTCTCATGAGCAACTGCTTCCCAACGAAGGGAGTTGTGCGCGCTTCAGGACCCTGATGAAGGCATATGCCAAGCGCACGGCAGACCGCTGGAATTCAACCCCCGAGATGGACTACCTGAACGGCATCTACGGCAAATACATGCCCGAAGGCACCCGTGTAGCCGTGGACGGGAAGCCACGGCTCTCTGGCATCATGGACACTGTCAACTCCACTCTCGCCCACGGCCCTGCGACCAAGCTCCCCGAGACGTTCTACGATAAAAAGGCCCTCGAGACATTGGAGAGGATTGGGACTGAGGAATGGTAAGCTGGGCCCAAGCATTGTGTAGACACCGATATCGCTAAGCGTTGTTTTACTCTTCAGGTTTGCTGGCTTCAAGGAGAACCGCGAGTACCGTGCGCTGGGGATGGGCTCACTGCTCGGCGACATCACGGCACGAATGGTCGCAAACGCAGAAGCATCCCACTTGGGGAAGAGCCAGGGCAACGCAGTCATCAAGTTCGGATTGTCTGGCTGCCACGACACCACTATCGCCGGCACCCTCGCCAGCCTCGGCGCCTACGAGACCCATCGGTGGCCCCCGTACACCAGCCACGTCGCACTTGAGGTGTTCCGCAAGTCCACCGCTGCTGCTGCCGCAAAGCACGCAGCCCACAGCGACGTGCCTGCTGCCGGCCCTGCCGCCACCCCCGGGGCCAACCCGAGCTCCCTTGCTGGCAGTGCCCTCCACGGCATCGGCCGCAAGACCGTGCAGGAGATGACTGCTGACGAGCTCAAGCGTATCGAGGGCCATTACGTGCGTGTCCGATACAACGACGAGCCCGTCACCATTCCCGGCTGCAAGGCCGAGGGCAACCACTTGGAGGGTGATGAGACGTTCTGCACCCTGACGGCATTCAAGGCCATTGTCGACAAGATCACGCCAGCGAACTGGAGAATGGAATGCGCAAACCCAGATAAGGGGAATGCCTTCCCCCAGAAGCCGGAGCCCGCCGGCTACTAGAGGAGGGGGGGGGGACAGAGAGAGAGAAGGGCGCCAGTTGAGAGAACTGCATTGAGTCTTTTAGGTCGATACATGTCTGACATAGAAGGATACCCCTCCAGCATAACGAACTAGGTGGTAGACAGGTAAGCCCAGAGGTGCCGTCGAATGGGAGCTCCGGAATAGAAGACATTAGAAGAACTTTCATGCCGATTGTCGGGCGTCGCGGCCTCCTGGACCAACCATCTGCTTCGTCTGGATTCTGTAAATTTCACGCCATATATGATGAATCGATAGACCAGTAACGATCAAATTGTCCAATTTCGTCCAGCAGTCAAGCTCCTGAAAGCACCCAGTCACAGTGCGCAAAGTTCCTCCCGGCAGGAACAAACCTGACCAGGTGCATTGTGCTTGCGTATGTGGTTTCACCGTCGGATTTCGAAGCAGACCTGAGGGCACTAGATCCTGTAGGCGTGATGAATGCCCTCCCGCGTTTGTTCAGACATCTCGCTTCTGGAAACACGGCACGTCCCAGCCAACGGGGTCATATGGGGCAGCTACGTGGATTTCCATTCAGCTCGCAAGTCAGTCTACAGGAACTGAATAAATCTTGCTGAAGATGTAGCTACCGTGTTAATAGGAGGCGCTGACTGCAGTCGCTGACGGTGCACGAGCACAAGAGCACATGTCTTGAGAACACGTGTCGCGGTGCCGCATTTGCACAGGCGTCGCGTGATGATCATCGTGTCGTCCACGCCGGCCCTTCCACAGGGCACAGTGTCATCAGCCCTGGATTCGAGACACCCTCCAAGTCTTCTTTGCCATGTTCTTCAGCAACGCCCACAGACAGGCCATCCACCAATATTGCTGCGAGGAAAAGGAGTCCGAGGCGGCAGGATAAAATCTCTGCAAGGCCAAGATGCTCGCTCATGAGCTGAGTCGCTTTGTGCGTCCCTGGCGGATGGCCATGAAGTCTAAGGACAGACCTTTGATACGGAGCCCGGCGGGGCCCTTGGAGTATCACTTGCCCGGGCGTTCGATTTTGTGAATATGGCGGCTTTTCTTTCAATACTGCAGGAATAAGCGGGTGAATATTGGCAGGATTTTGGTGCGGCCACCTGGTCCTACCCGAGTCCGCCGAAGAATGTTGGCCAATCCACGAGCCGTTCTGAACTATCGAGTCCGACCATATCGCATTAATTTCCAGGGGGACAGGTCGGTCGACATGGCCGTCGCGAAAGATGCGATCGCTTTTGTAAGCTTGCGTTCATGCAGAGGCCACGCCAACCTTCCGCCCCCTCGTCCTCCCAGTCTCATCTCACTTGGCGGCCACCTGCTCCCCTGCGACCGGTCGCTGCTGCTGCTGCCTCGCGGCGGCGGCCCTCTCCTTGGCCCGCCTCTTCCTCGCCCTGCGGACCTGGATCTCGAGGTCCTGCATCTCAGCACTCAGGGTTGCCAGGCGCGGAATGACCTGGTCTACCGCCTCGACGGCGCAGGCCTGGGTCTGCCGCAGAGACAGTGGCGTGAGCACGCCGAACCAGCGAAGGGGGTCCCTCGCGTTTTGCTTCTTGGGGCCCGCCTCGCTTTCAGCTGTGTCGCTGCCGGCAGGCACGGGCTGCTGCTCGCCCACCGGCGGCGCCTCAGGCGCCACCGGCGCCTCCTCCTTCTCCTCCTCCTCCTGCTTGTCAGCTGGCGGGGACGAGTCCTGATTCTTCTGCTGGCGCGAGGAGTCTTTGTCGTCGTCGTCGTCGTCGTTATCGTCAACGCCACCGGCGCCGCCTTCGCCACGGGCCCGGCTGCTGTGCGACACGGTGAAGATTGGCAGGCGCCCTTCCGAGGTGCTGATGCTGACCTGTCGCAATGCCTGCATCCTCTCGTCGTAGAAATCCGGGCCGTAGCGCATGCCCCTCTCGGCTGAGAAGTTGGCCCGGGCCAGGTGCTGGAACATGCCGGTCTGGAGCTGGCCCAGCCTCGCGCGCAGGGAGGTGTACTCGTCCAGCAGGGCGAGGTAGCGCTCGAGGAGAGCATCGATGGTGTCAGAATCCATGGCGTGGCGGCCGATTGGCTGCTCAGAGGTCTGTGTTATGTATGAGTCGGGGTGTGTCCAGCTCCCAGGGAGACTGACACGAAAAAAAAAAATATAATAACCTGCGACCGGTGAGAGGGAATGAATAAAGCTGAAGCTGAAGCAGCTGCTGGTTTGATGCGAGGTTGTGCACATAGTAGTGCAAATACAATCTGCCCTGTGGCTGCGGGCCAAAGTTCACGGGCAGCGCATCGGGTCCTGCCGCAAAGTGGGGAGCCTCTCAGCGCCCGGCGCCCACTGCCCACACAGACCTGGCGATGCTTCCTGATTCTCGGCGCATGGGGTTGCTTATTCCTGCCCCTGAATGCCAGCGACTTATAAACATGTTACTTGGCTTGCTTTCTCGAGTAAGGCCACCGCGTGCCCTGTGGACCCTACACCCTAGCAGGCGCTGTCGCCTACTGTGTACTCAAGTACCTAGGTACTATGCAAGTGGCCATGCCAGTCGGCGTGTTGTCACACGGCGGCCTGGTGGGAAAAGAAGGAGACAAAAAAAACCCTTATTAGTCGTCAAATCCAAGTCCCGCTGCAAGTCATCCCACTAGTACATGCGATTGATTGAATGTGGCATATGGCACAGACTCAGCCCAGATCTGATCAGCATCGACAGCCGGGCAGGCCTGGCTGGCCCGCCCGCCAATGCTCGCGCCCGCAGGCAAGGCAAATCAGGCAGGTCACTGCTGAGGACATCGCACGAGATAGATAGGCCACACAGGCGGAGGGATGGATGGATGCATCTGCCGGCCAGCCGGCTTACCGCTCGTGGTCGTAGCCTACAAGGCTTCGGTTTCAGTGGCCGTTTCGAACGGCTGGGGGGCACAGACAACGCCATACCCGTCCATGTCCAGTCCATATCCAGTCCATGTCCAGTCAGTCCAGTCAGGCCAGTCAGCCTGGCTAGTCAGCCCGGTCCAGCCCCAGTCCCATGCCCAGTCCGCTTCTCCTGTAGATCCGCAGCCTGGGTCACAACACGCCCAGCTCGTTGCTCGGTCTTTGCCCACCATCCAGCCTGCCAGCCAGCCATCTACTGTGTGCTGCCTACACAGTTGAACAGTGCGGTGTCGAGGGTGTCTACTTGTCACCCAGCCGAGTGCAACCCTCGGGGCGTATTAGAGCCGCCAGAGCCACGCCATCCCTGCACAGATCGCCCACCACCGCCACGTGCCGCTGGGAAGTCAACATGGCACGGGCGTTGGACCTCTGTGCCGAGAGCCATGGGCTGGCTATTATTGCCTTGAGGCTTTTCGATGCGATATTAGTCGTACGAGTGCCGTCGTCGTCGTCGTCGTCGTCGTCGTCGTCGTTGTTGTTGTGCTCACTTATACACACAAGACAGCATGCGGGTTACTCCCAACTGGGGCAGTCCTGGGTGCTGGCGTCGTGGCGCGGCACGACGGTCGAGCCCATGGATGGCCGGAAAGCCAATGGCCATCTGGAAATCATGCGACAAGGCCGCCAGCTTCGTAGCCTGGCGGTGGCCTGGGGATCTGGCGGATGCGTCCTGTCAAAATTGCTCGCATGCCAGAACGAGACATGGCCTATTTGGGACCGGCGCCCAGGGCTTCCGGAAGGCTTCCAGACTGCCAGACTGCCAGACTGGACATGCCACAGCCACAAGTGCGCCTTGACACATTCATCGCCAGCAGTAGTCCATGCGAGCACGCACGCATGAAGCAGGTGGCACCTGTGCTGTGGTTGTACACAGTAGCCTCCCCTCCGGCACGGTAGGTATCTGACCTGCTTCTGCCACTGCTTCTCGCTTCCTCTACCGGCCATCTCACACCGCCCCAGGACGCAAAGTCAGAGGCCGGCCCGAGAGTGCCTGGTTGGAATTGGAACTGGGACTGGAACTGGGGGGCCCGGAAGTCTCGAGGCTAGCCGGGTCAGGTCGAGTCGACCCGGCAGCGCGGGCTGTCAGGGCATGTCTGTGTTGGGGTTTGTGGCGTTGACATGTTTGTTGCCCTTTGTACCGTTGTGCTGCGTCGTGTTTGGTTTGCCTTGGACCACAGGCGCGGGGGGAGGGGGGAGGACCACAATCAGGATTCAGGATACCCCCGCGACAAGGCCCCGGCTCTCGTCCGTCACAGATTGGGGCTATATGCAAGTTGAGGGTCGAAGGGATGGATGGGGCGCGTCTTGTTCTCTCGTTCATCAGGTGCAAGATCTATGTCTTCTCTTCTCTTCTCATCTCAGCAGCCAGCAGCCAGCAGCCTCGATGTCTCACGTTCTAGTCGCTATCTGCCTAGTGCATAGACCTCTAGATTGTTAGCTGGTCACCCGCGGGTGCTCATTCGGACTGCTTTTGGAGGTAAGCAGCCCAGTAGTCCGGATGATGGAGGGGTGACGGACTGAAGATTCGCTGATGACAGAATACACATGTACATGCCACAACGGACGAGACTGTGAGACTGTGAGACTGTGCAGTTCCTGTGAACCCCCACTGACTGCCCAGGCGATTAGTGACTGGCGTGACTGACCGACCTCACAAGGGTCCTTCCTGTACTGTAGACTACTGTGTAGGAGGGTGACGGCTTCCAGAGCAGACTGTTGGGCTAGATTGTTCCGTGGGCTGGGCCGGTGGTCGAGATACATCTTGCGCCTGCTGATGGGCGCCGTGCCCGCCGGTACCTGTACCCCGTACCGCCCGCCACGGTCGCTCAGAAACAAAACAGCAAGGGGAAGAAACCGAAAGCCCCCAGTCCGCGGGAGGTGGACTGGCTCTCAGGCTAGCTGCAGGTGCATGGCCTCCAGTTTTAGTGCCCCAAAGGGGATAGCAGCACTAGCTGCACCAACCTGACGGGCCCTGCCAGGCTCGACTGGATCTCGACTGGCTCTGGACTGGAGAGTCCGGTTGGGGTCTTGGGGGTCAAAAGGCCTGGGCTCCCCTTCTCCCCCCTGGTCCTATCACAGGCTGCCCGTCCTCCCTTCCAAGGTTGGAGACTGCTGCAAGCCTTGGCCCCCTACCAGAGCCCCCCCCATCACACACAGACTGATCGCCATCGCTCGCGAGCACTTCCCATGGTCCAGGTCCTCCGCCGTCCACTCGCCCTCCCGCCCGCCGCCTCTCGTCTTTCCTCCTTGCCTGCAACCAGACAAAAAGTTGCACGAGGCTGAATTGCATTTGCATACATATCCATTCAATTGAACCTTATTACCTGGCCACACGTTCTCTCTCTCCCCGTCCGAGCTAATCCAGCCCGCTCTCACGGCGGACCTCACTCCCGTCGTTGCCAACCAACCCTTTCACTTCTTTCCTGCCTCTTTCTCTCTGCCCTGCCCTGCTCTACACACACTCTCTCCCCCCTCACTTGCCCTGCCGCCCCGTGCTGCTGCCCTGCCCTGCCCTGCCCCGTCCTGGCTTCGTCTCGCCTCTCCTTGACCGCCTGCCTGCGCTCATCACCTACTTACTCCAAGTCACCTGGAATAACTGGACGCTCTCCGCCTCCCCCACCACCACCGCCGCCGCCGCCGCCGCCGCCGCAGCAGCAGCAGCAAGTCACATCACAGCCGAGCGAGTCAAATCAAATCAAACCATCAGGCCGACCCCGAAGCCAAGTCCATCTTGTTGTGCTCAGTCCTGTCACTGTCCAGTCGGTTCGAGCAGCAGTCAGCGCACCGCAGCGTGACGCACCCAGCAGCGCGCACAGCACATCCACCCCGTCGAGGCGTCCTCAACCCCCAAGACCTTTATCAGTGCTGTGATCCGGGCAACGGCTCGCGATAAGGAGAAACCACCTTCCTGCGGGCTTTCTGCGGGCGTCCTCTTGCCTCTCAACCACCACGACAGACCGCTGCCCCTCCCCAGGAGCAACTCTCATCCCAAAGAATGGTGGTCGCAACAATCAAGTCCGTACTCCACTGCCGTCCCATTCAACACTTCGATCCTGCACCCCGTCCTACGTTGCCCAACCGCCCCCGTGCCCCATGCTCCTCACCCAATGGCCCAGGGGCTGGGCGCTGGGCTGCAGCCCAGCGCCCTGTGCCGCTGCTCCTGGTTAAACTTCTGGCTTGCACATGCCACCATGCATCCCCCTCCCTATCGGGCTCTGCGGGTCCAGCTCGACCTCGGGGTGCAGCAGCTCCTCCCTACCACACCTCGTGACTGCACGCACCGCGCCAAATCCTTCCTTGCTGCGGCAGTGGCTGATTAATTCTACTTGCAGATGCGTTGTCGTCGGCGACGGTGCTGTCGGCAAGACATGTCTGCTCATCAGCTACACCACCAACAAATTCCCCTCCGAATATGTCCCGACGGTATTCGACAACTACGCAGTCACCGTGATGTAAGGCGCGCCCTCTCCCGTCCCGCACCTGCAAAACATTGTCCGCTGCGTCTGCACTACGCGTGTCAAAGCGGCTTGTCGCGTTACCGCGGCACCACCGTGCCGTTCGACACTAACCCCGAACACCACACCACCCTGGAGGGGCTTGTGACCGCGCTGACCACAACATGTGCTGAATTAGGATCGGCGATGAGCCGTACACACTGGGACTGTTCGATACTGCCGGTCAGGAAGACTACGACCGATTGCGGCCCCTATCATACCCACAGACCGACGTCTTCCTCGTCTGCTTCAGCGTCACCTCACCCGCGTCCTTCGAGAACGTCCGCGAGAAATGGTTTCCCGAGGTCCACCACCACTGCCCCGGCGTTCCCTGCCTCATCGTTGGAACGCAGGTCGATCTGAGGGACGACCCCAGCGTAAGGGAGAAGCTGGCCAAGCAAAAGATGCAGCCGGTGCGGAAGGAGGACGGCGAGCGCATGGCGAAGGATCTGGGCGCTGTGAAGTACGTCGAGTGCAGTGCTCTGACGCAATACAAACTTAAGGACGTGTTTGACGAGGTACGAGTGTCTCTGGCAGGATCGATTCTGGTGGCCGCGGACTAATCTGGGACACAGGCAATCGTTGCGGCGTTGGAACCCCCAGCACCAAAAAGTAAGAAGCATAAGTGCTTGGTGCTCTAATTTGACGCCTTGGACTGCGAGCATGTCATGACCGTTCTGCGTCGGCCGGGCGGGTCTGTCCCTGATCCGAGGCGCAGCAGGACGAGCAGGTGGGTTGCCTGGGATAGATGAAGTGTCTGGTGCAGAACATGGGCTGTTCTCCCCATGTACACTCATGTACACTCATTAGACGCCCAGCAGCTCTGGGGCACCCGGCGGGATGAACAAGGCCGAGAAGTCGGGTTCAGGCCCACGATCGTCTGCGAAGGCGGCAAGCACGGCAGGTTTCCCAATGGCTCTGAGGCCGTCCACGGACTACTCAGACCAGAAGAGAACTGCTGGTGTTCGGGTGAAGGAAGCTTCTTTTTCCTTTTTTTAGATCTGGACGTGTTATTCGTTGAAGCGATTCTTTTCTCCCCTATTTCAATACGAACAGATCTGCATCTTATTGACTGGAGTTATTGTCGAGCCGAGACTCGTGGCCTCTTGATAAGCCACTCACTGGCCTAGCAGCACTATTTACATGATTGATTACGGAGGCGTTGGGGACATGAGAAATGCGGTCTTTGTTCAACTTCGGATAGGATCACTCTGGCGACCGGTGCGCAAATACTATGTGTGACCCCGCCGTCCATCACCGCACAGATGCTCCCGATGTCATGGAAAGGGAGCGCCTGCTCATACCCAGGTACCAGTTTGCCTCTAGACAGACCAGTGATGACGGCAAAAGACACGGGATCCAAACATGGCCGAAGACGGCACGCTCCAGCCCACCCCTTCCGTTTCCCCCCGGCTCCCGGCGTCACATCGCGGAGGTGTTTCTAAACATTCTTGGCATCTGAACTCTTCTCAAATTCTCAGGGACGTCTGATTGGGCCAGCGGGCGTGCGGAGGCACCCAGGTTGGCGTTCCGGGAAACCCTCTTTTCGCAGATATGCTTTCCGGGTCCAAGGCGCGCAAGGCAAGGCAGTGAGCGAGTGGAGGGCGTTGGGGCCGGAGATGGGAGGGGATATGGGGAGGGGAAAGCTTATTGGCACGTACAGCACCCCTAATGTGTGAAGGGACCACGATGAGCGCAAGGCTTCTTTCCTTCGGCGGAGCACACCCAAGACGGGATCGCCCTTGCAGGTCGCTCTTGCAAATGTCCCGAGGTTGCTTTGGGCAAGCCGTCCGCCGTTGGGCAGATGGAGGTACCCCTTACATCATGACATGACATGCTCGTGGCTCCCAAGACGCCGTTTGCTGGACGATGTGCGGAGTAATAATGGGCTGTGCCCCGCGTTTCGAGGGCCAGATACTGCGGAAAACGCTATTAGATGTAATTTACGAGGGTTTCATGGCTTGTATGTGTCTCTTGACTGGCGCGACTCTTTCGCGTCGCCGGACAACCGCCACCCGCAGTAAGCCATGACGTGCAGGAGAAGCCCTGGGTTAGTGACCACAGCCCGTTGGGCCTCTAGCTCACCGTTTAAAGTCAAGGGCCGACGTTGCTTGGCCACACGAGGCTTTTGGCCGAACGGCCGGCCTGTTCGCCGCACCGGAGCTTGACTAAGTCGGATTGACCAATTACGGCCAGTCCATGTATCTCACCTCGGCACTGCTAACATCCACGGATGGCGTAATGCCCTCGTTCTAGGACCCTTTCTAAATCCCCGACGCGCTGGTAGACTTTGCTGTTTGAGGCTTAGGTCAGGGTATCACGCAGCTGGGCACCTGCTACTTGCTAGGTGAGCACTGATGGCTGGTGATCCGATGTGTTGCCGCAACACAGGACAGAGGGTCGAGATGGATTCCTTAACCGGGCCGGACCGGCACACCACCGAGTATTAGTTTGCTCGTTGGTGCCTCAAAGAAGCGCTTGGCCGGCCCTTTCCACAAAACCCAAACCATCTCCTATTGTTCTTTTCCTGCACAGACCGACCCACGGACTGTGTGACGCATCTGATCTCGCCCTGCCCGCCATAGGCACTTATTAGGTAGTCCGTACGCTACACCAGCCTCGGCACAGTCCCCCCCCCCCCGTGGACCTCAACCGCCGAGATGAGGAGCGGATGGGCACCACTTGTCCTGGCCGCACTGGTCTCGCTGACGGAGGCCTGCGGCGGGCACCACAAACATGAAGACCGCGTGTGGACGGCAGAGGAGATTGCCGAGCTCGAATACAAATGGGGCATGGAGGTGAGTGGGTGGGCCGGACGAGACTTTTCTTCTTCTCTTTCACACACGCCCTTTCCGAAAGCCCACACGGCAGGGCCAAGCATGTCGGCACGGCTTGGCACGGCCCATGCCTCGTGTCCCTCCTGCGGCCGCCCGAGCGAATATCATCTCCCGTGCCTTCCCGGGAGATCGATCTCTGGCGCTCACCGCCGATGTGATAGCTGTGGGCTCCCGTCGGGTCGCATATGAGATGTCACCCGCGGTATGGACGATCTGGGGGTTACGGTGATGGGCTGACTTTTGCCCGACTACAGTGGCCTTTTGCTGGAATAGGCAGCTTTGCCCATCTGAAGCACGTCAAGTGTCTTACAGACCCCACAGAACTGTATGACATCGCGATCGTGGGGGTGCCATTTGACACCGCCGTGAGCTACAGGCCAGGTACGTCTCCGAGGACATGCCAGGACACATTTATTATCGGCCCGCAGCGTGGGAAATGAGCGCCAGGGGCTGACCAGAACTGCTTAGGCGCAAGGTTTGGACCTCGGGCCATCCGTCATGCTTCTTCACGACAGACGAGCTTCCGGGGGTTCAACCCGAGGGCTAACATCAACCCCTACCAGAACTGGGCAAAGATCATGGACTGCGGTGACATACCCACCGTACCAGTCGACAATGCCGTGGCCCTGCGGCAGATGACAGAGGCGTTCATAGAGCTGGGCAGCCGGAGGCCACTGTCCCCCCTGCTGGAGAAGCCCAAGCTTGTCACCCTGGGCGGTGACCACAGCCTCGCGCTGCCCGCGCTGAGGGCGCTCAACAAGATCTACGGCAGGCCCCTGCGCGTGCTGCATTTCGACGCCCACCTCGACACCTGGCACCCGGCCAAGTACCCATCGAGCTGGCTGACGGAGCAGGCGCACTTCAACCACGGGTCCATGTTCTGGCTGGCCGGGAGCGAGGGCCTTTTGGTCAACGACACGACGCGGCCGTCTGTGCATGCGGGCCTGCGCACCAGGCTGTCGGGCGACGGGTGGGGCGACTTTGAGGACGACACGGCGCAGAACTGGCTGCGCGTGGTTGCTGATGACATCGACGATCTGGGGACCGCGGGGGTGGTGAAGGCAATCCTGGACGCCATCCCACCGGACGACCCTGTCTATCTGTCTGTGGACATTGATGTCCTCGACCCGGCATTTGCGCCCGGCACCGGGACCCCGGAGCCGGGTGGGTGGACGACGAGGGAGCTGATCAGGATCCTGAGGGGCATCGAGGGCCTCAATGTTGTCGGTGCTGATGTTGTCGAGGTTGCGCCCGCTTACCAGGGGCAGGGCGAGGAGACTGCCCTGGCGGCGGCGCAGGTTGTATATGAGATGATAAGCTCCATCGTCAAGAGGGGGATGAAGGAGATGGGCAAGGAACATGCAGCCCCAGAGGTGGAGGGGGACAAGTCGGAGGAGGATGTGAAGGACGAGCTGTGAGGTTGGAGTGCTACGTGTAGCTATCTACATCTCTCTGATCTCGCCATAGTCTTCTTGGTGGGGTTACGAATACATAGTACAGAGTACTCGAGTATGCGGTGGAGAAGTCTACAGTAGACATTGCGACCAAGTGATGGGCAGATAACGCCGGAGTCGACTGTAGCAATCAAAAAATATGAGCATTAAATGCAAGCACAAATGAACCCCTGATTTTCATTTCAAACCCGAAATGTGCTTCAGAAATAACTACAGAGGCACCTTAAGTACCTAGGTAGGTAGATAGCAGTCGCTGACACGGTTGAGTCAACGGCCAGCTATCCGTGCTGAGGTCCCTGCGGTGACTCAACCCGCACACTCGAGCTCCCTTATCTTTTCCCACCAGATGCCCGACCCCACCATAGCGGTTTGAGGACTGGCAACAAAACCACAACCACCACACGGACCTCGACCTCTGCTTCGACAGCGCCAATTGACTCGAAGCAAAGCCAGCAGACAACATGGCAGCAATCCAAGAGCTCGCAGAACGGGTCAAGCCCGAGAACGAAACCGTCTACGTCGACACCGATGCAGGTGTCGACGATGCCTCAACCGACGGCTCTGAGTCAAAGCCGTACAAGTCCCTGGCCTACGCCATGATCGCCAACATCGAGCGGCCCACAACAAAGTACCTGTCCCGTGCCTCCAAGACTGGCGACGACCCAGGCGCTGCGCTGCAGTGGAAAGAGCCCGCCAAGAGCGCCGTCAAGAAGGCCACCTCTGCCGTCGACCAGCACAAGAAGAAGCTGGCCAAGCAGGCCTCGTCCGCCGCCGTCGAGGAGGAGGCGAGGAAGCAACGCCTGAAGAACCTCGAGGAGGCCAAGAAGGTCGTCATCAAGCAGGATCCCAGCTTGCCAGAGGCGAGGAAGCTGAGGATCGACGACAAGAAGGTGGACCTGGGAGACGGCGACAAGAAGGGCGAGAGGGTCAAGGTGTCCGGCCGCATCCACCGGTTGCGGCCACAGAAGCAGGCGGTAAGCAGTCGCAGTCCACTACAACCCTATCGGAGACGCTGGTTCTGACCTATTCCTGGCAAGACGTTCATCGAGCTTGTTGATGGATACGGCCACCTGCAGTGCATCATTGCGGCGGGACCCCTCACACAGACCTACGACGCCTTGACCTTCACCCAGAGCACCTCCCTGACGCTCTACGGCGAGATGAAGAAGGCGCCCGAGACAGCCAAGGTGCCGGACAACCGAGAGCTGCACGTCGACTACTACGAGGTGCTGGGCGCCGCGCCCACTGACATGGAGGCGCTCACCAACAAGGTCTCGGCCACTCAGGACCCATGGGAGTCGGACATGCTTGACCAGAGGCACCTGGTCCTGCGAGGAGACAAGGCGTCCTCGGTTATGAAGCTCCGGTCCGAGGTTGACTATGCCTTCAGGCACCTGTACAAGCAACTGAAGATCAGGCAGGTGTCGCCGCCTGCTCTGGTGCAGACGCAAGTCGAGGGAGGCTCCACGCTGTTTGGATTCAACTACTACGGCGAGGACTCGTACCTTACGCAGTCTTCCCAGTTGTATCTCGAGACCGTGCTCCCTTCCATGGGCAACGTATACTGTATCGAGAAGTCATTCCGTGCCGAGAAGAGTCTGACGCGCCGTCACCTTTCTGAATACACCCACATCGAGGCGGAGCTGGATTTCATTACCTTTGAGGATCTGCTCAACCACTTGGAGGATATGATCTGCGGCGTTGTGGATATGGTCCTGGCGGATGAGGAGATGGCTGGTTACATCAAGCAGCTCAACCCGGGCTTCCAGAAGCCGTCGCGCCCCTTCATGCGGATGAAGTACACTGATGCGATTGACTGGTAAGTTGCTTTCTGATGGGTATCGACATGTTGTTCGATCGCCTTGCTAACATGATGCAGGCTCAACGCGCAAGACCCCCCGATTCTTAACGAGGAGGGCAACCCACACGTCTTCGGCGACGACATCGCCGAGGCGGCAGAGCGCAAGATGACAGACACGATTAACAAGCCCATTTTCCTCACGCACTTCCCCGTGGAGATCAAGGCTTTCTACATGAAGAAGGACCCCAACGACCTGCGCGTGACAGAGTCCGTGGACGTCCTGATGCCCAATGTCGGCGAGATCGTCGGCGGCTCGATGAGGATGGAGGGCTATGACGAGCTGCTGCAAGCGTTCAAGAAGCACAGCATCAGCCCTGACCCGTACTACTGGTACCTCGACCAGAGGAAGTACGGAACCTCGCCCCACGGCGGATATGGTTTGGGCCTGGAGCGATTCCTGGCCTGGCTGGCCAACCAGCACACCGTGCGCACCTGCTGCATGTACCCTCGCTTCATGGGACGATGCAAGCCTTAAGCGGTGGCGTTGCTGGGGCACGAGCGTCTTTGGCGCGCTTCATCCATGGGCTCTCAAAACTAGGCTACTTTTGGCTGGGATGTGGATTGATATTCGGAATAGAGATCTCGTGTAGAATCTCCCTTGCCGATTTGGCACGACTGCTAGAGTCTCAGGGGAAAAGAGAAGAAAATCAAGCGGCCCAGAAAGGGCATGTAATGACGACTCAAGGGTCAAGCAGGTCCAGAACCGACCGCGTGTGACTGGTGATTGTTGTGGCTGCTCAGAATAACCCATTCCGACGCCTCAAGATAACGTGTCACATTCAGGGTCGGTCGGTCGGCTGGCTGGCACCGCCGACGCGGCTGTCTCGCGCCCTACCCCCCTACCTCCCGTTAACCGCCAGAGATCGACAGGGACAGCTTCCGCGCGCGCGAGACAGGTACCTTCCGCGCAGCCGGCTGGGCAGGCTGAGGCTATCCTGGCTCTCTCTTGTTGGGGAGAGGAGCGAGGGAGTTTGCTGCTGCCACTTGCCCCCCCAGGCCCTTGCCTGAATAGAGGAACCATTTCCGATAATGCATCCCATTTGTGGAGATCTGGGTTTTGTTTTACGCGCATGGCTTTTCCGGGCTGCAGCCTTTTCTCTTGTGCCCCTCCAGCTCCCCTTCCGTGAACGCCTCATTTCCCCCCCAGTTTATCTGTTGCGCCTCAGCGGGGGAGAAGTTCGGTGTGAGAGGTGACTTGTCTGCCTCCAAGGTAGAAAGCCTCTTTTTTTAACTTGGTATTTCCCCTTGGTATGTCTTGAACACAGGTCATGGCAGTGAGTGGTTGAGCTGCCCGGGTCAATTTAGTATGCATGCGGGCAGTCGAGCTGTTGTTCCAATCCAGGTTGAGAAAGCAGCTCATCGTGGTGTGATGCCTCCAACTGCAAACATGGGTCCCTATCAAAAAGTGGAAGGTGATGGCTCTTCTTTTTCTCTTTTTCCTTGTGGTCTCCTTGTCCTCTCCTATCTCGCTGCAGCCTCCCCCCACCCCTTGCCCGCTGCGGCTCCACTCCCCGACTTGGTGTTCCTGCAGAAGTGCCTGCGCCGTTGCGTGTCGGTACCTGGCTAACTGCAGCGTGGAAACTGCCGTGGTGGCTGCAGTCGATCTGCGAGGAGAGTGTGATGGGGAGAATGCTTTTTACCCGCTGAAGGTTTCGATTGTGACCACGCACGCACGCACACGGTACTGTGGCATACCACCAGCGAACTGCAAAGAAAGGGTTGTCCCTTTTTGGTCGTCCACTGTGCTTAGTTTGGTTCCATCTACCACCCTACCGCCCTAGCACGCCTTGATGTGGGTTGGTCGGTGCTTGCAGATCCGCCCAGGTTACACGGGGCCTGGGGGCCTGGCCCTTTGTGGATGGGGGCCCTCGTGTCTGAATAAACGGCTCAACCTAATTAGTAGTAAAACCAACGGCCCCCTTTCCAGCTGGAGACATTATCCATGACTGAACGAACCACAGCCAAGCGACTGTCTGGCTGGGCAAGCGATGAATGGGCTTTGCTTGCTGTTGACATTTTTGAAAGAGTATGGGGGAGAGAGAGGGTATATGTGAGAGACAGGGCTGAAACTCATTCGTCCCAACTGAAAGAATGCACTGCAATCTGAGAGCCTCTCCATCTCGGCGGCGGCTTCGGCAATTGCCAATGGGTCCTCTGGTCCTCTGGTGCTGAGATGCAAATGGGCTGTCCCACACACAGGCCACCAACTCAAATCCAGCCTGTCTGTGGCCCAGGGTATCCGATGCGGCTTGATCGCCCACCTGCCTGTGCATGGCGAGGACTGGCCTGGCCTGGGCGGCCTGGGCCTTGGGCAGGCGAAGCGCCCCTGGATTGGCCGCTGCCCATGTTTCGTTTCTGGCTTCGAAACATTTCGATCGTGATGGGTGCTTCGCTGCTACGCAGTGTATGTAGATACAACGTCACGACAAGAAACGGGCTTTGGTGACCGGGACTCTTTACGGTTTGGGCGCACAGCAGCCTGGCTGCCCTGGGTGGGGGTGGGAGGGGTTTAAGAGAGAGAATTGGGAGTTGGCTGAGCTGGTCGACATTACACGAAGATTAAATGGGATGGTTTATCGTAAGGTTAGGTTGTACGACGGCGCGTCAGCAACCAGCCATCTGTTGTCTGCAGCGTGGACTTTGTGAAATTACCCGGCGCACTCCAACGTTGGCAGCTGCGCTACTGCGGTCTGCTCTCTCTGTAGTCTGCAGTCTGCAGCTGGAACCGTCTCGGTGGCCACTGGCTTGACTCGTGGTCTCGGGCGATAAATGAGCAAGATTTCTCTGGCCCGGCGGAATGACGGGGTAGGTGCTGCTCGTCTCTGTTCTGAATCCTCATGGGGCACGCAGTCGGCAGACAGACAGACTGGCAGACAGACTGGCAGACGGGCAGTACCGCATAGAAGGCACCTTCTTTAGTTAGACATTCTGCCTGGCGTGATAATAAGGCTGGACGGACAGATGGGTACGGTACGGGTATGTTGCTTCGTACTGACGTGGCTGACATGACTGGCCTGACTGACCGATGGATTGCTCGTACATACTGTGTACCTGTGTAGTCGGCGTACAAATTACTCCGGCAGGCTGGGTGTCCCAAAGGGAGAAGCAGTCGATCCGTCCCCAGATTTTCAAGCGCCAACCAGCTGAGGGCGCTACTCAGGTACCAGACTAAGGGGTACCTGGCTTCCCGTACCATGCCTGCATGTTTCTGTACCGCACTGGCAGGGCCAGGAGGCCAGCGGCCAGGCAGGCCTGCAGACCTGCACGGCATGAACCAACCTGAAATGAAGTGCGTACTTCGGCTGGCTGAGTTGTCTCCTGCGCAGTCCCGATCACAACGATAGCTAGCACCCCCGAGACGGTGTCGAGTGGAGGCAGAGAGAAGGACAGCATTGTTGAAGCAACAAGCGGTGACTCGTGCGTGCTGGGAGGGACGTAGGGCGGCCGCTGTCCTTCTCTTCATACCAGCCCGGGGTCGTCAGAGGAAAACGTGCTTTCTGCTGCTGCTGCTGCTGCTGCGAATTCGAACCTTCACCCGCAGCTCTTGCTGGGACCGAGTGAGCCCCCCCTGCCCACGGCATAATGACACATGATGAACTGCCTCATCTAGTCTATCAGTCAGTCCTGCATGCTGCTGGCACATGGTCTGCCGAACCTTCTTCTCGTCCTCTTTCCTTCAACGAAAGGCGCGGAAGAGTTAAATTGCAGCGACGGGGGTCTGCGCACTAGACTTCGCCCTTGCCCCTTTCGGCGGGCACCTTCAGATGTTCACCGCGAGTACGACCCCCGTCGCCTGCCCCAGTCCTCCTCCTTCCCTCCCTACCTGTCCAATTTTACATGTACCTAGTAGCCCCCGGTCCCTGGTCCCTCCTCTTCTCACCACCTCCCCCCCCCCAAAGGGCCCAATTCACCACCTCTTTCTCTCCTTTTCTTGCCTGGCTCTTGCTCTTGATCCTGAATCTCTTCTTTCAGGCTCATCCTCCCCTTCGTTCCCTCATGTTCACGTTCGTGTCCTTGGATCGCCCCTCAACCCTCCCATGACCCGACCACGAGCCTGAGCCTCAGCTTCTTCTCTTCGTCCCTCTTCGCAATCCTTCTGCCTCCTCTTTAATTCGCTGGCACTTTATCCACGTCGAGCAGCTCCACGCCGGCTTGCCTGACTTTGTGTTCGAGATCACGCTCGTTATTCAGCATATATTGGTTGTAGTCTTTTTGTCGTGTGCTCTCCGGACCTAGACAACCCCCCTCCCGCGCGAAAAGCCCCCGTCGAGCGAGCCCTCCCCGTTCGTCGCATATCCTATTCTGGCTTCCGCTCCTCCAGACTCGCCACGACTCCCAGTCGCGCCCGTCCTTCCAGTCCCGGTCGCCTGTCTTTGTTCGAAATCACGGGTAGAGAGACTCGCTGTCGTCCAATTGTCGTCATCTCCCGACATTATACTCTACCACTCGGTTCTTGACTCGCTGGATTTTGGGCCGCCCGTCCTTTGACCGCCTTCGCGCCTCGAACTCTTTTCTTGGATCCTCCTGCCTCGAGTCCTGTTCCCCACCGTCACACTTCGGCCTGAACAGCTCCAACAACCTCAATTGCATATACGGCATACAATTGTATTCTTCGACTTCCTGGGTGCGGCTACGTCTCTTCGAACCCGGCTTGTCCTGTGAATTCTGAACAGCTTCAAGCTTTTTCACACCTGTGTCAACGCCGGTTGTGGAATTTTGAGATACCCCTTTGTACTTCAACGGAGCGTCCGCGCACCCTCATTAGCATCTCGACCAGTGCCTTCTCGCAGGGGCACTTTTATCCTTCAAAACGGCTGTTCTATCTCAAGTCGGTCGGGACAACCTTGTCCCACCTCATCTCCTCGGGATGCAGGACCATAACCCCGGTCCCATCGGCCAGGCCGGTCCAAGTGGTGGCCAGGGACGCTTCCCTGGTCACATTTCGAAGCCTTCGAACAGTGATACTGGGTTCTCTCACGGCGCTTTCACTTCTAACATATCTGGATTCGCCGACAGACACCCCCGACGCGGCAACATCCCTACGATCAACACGCAGAGCATCAACTCACAGAATGTCCACCAGCAGCCCCAGCCCAACGTGGCTGACCTGACCACCCCCGGCACCGCCTTTGATATGCAGTTCACGCCTCTCCTGCCCTCCCAGCTGCTGCTCGGAAGTCCTTTCCAGCCTGGCACGCCGGCCGCTTTCGCCAATGGCCAGTTCCAGAACCTGAATGCCTACCAGCAGGCTCAGCAGGTCCAGCAGAACGGCATGTCGAGTCCCGTACAGCAGCCAATGTCTCCTGGGGGCTATGTCTCCCCCTCGACCTATGGGGCTCCTCAGTTCTTTTCTCCCCAGTCCCCTACTGCAGGGTACAGCACCATGGGCGGCCAGATGCAGATGCCGATGAACCCTGGCTCTCCCACCATGAGCCCAGTGGTCAGCGGGACCAGCCGTACGGTCTACCTCGGGAACATCCCCCAGGACACTCCGGCCGATGAGATCCTGAGCCACGTGCGCAGTGGCCAGATCGAGTCGGTCCGCCTGCTTCCTGACAAGAACTGTGCCTTTATCTCCTTCCTGGACGCCAGCTCCGCAACCCACTTCCACTCTGATGCCATCTTGAAAAAGCTCTGCATCAAGGGTCAGGACATCAAGGTCGGCTGGGGCAAGCCGTCTCAGGTCCCCACGTCTGTTGCACTTGCAGTGCAGCAGTCTGGTGCTTCTCGGAATGTGTACCTCGGCAACCTGCCTGAGGAGATCACCGAGGAGGAGCTTCGTGAGGATCTTGGCAAGTTTGGTGCCATCGATACTGTCAAGATAGTCCGTGAGAAGAACATCGCGTTCATCCACTTCTTGTCTATTGCCAACGCCATCAAGGCCGTTTCTCAACTCCCACAGGAGGCAAAGTGGCAGGCACCGCGACGAGTTTACTACGGAAAGGACCGTTGCGCTTATGTCTCCAAGACGCAACAGCAGAACGCCGCGCAGTACCTTGGCATTGCCCCCGGGTATGCTCACATGCTGACCGGTGCTGACCGTGACTTGATATCCAGTGCCCTGGCCCAGCAGTCTGTGGCTGCTGCTGCTGTTGCCACTACCGCTGGCGGCATCAACAACCTCGGAAACAGGACCATCTACCTCGGCAACATCCACCCCGAGACCACCATCGAGGAGATCTGCAACGTCGTGCGAGGTGGCCTGTTGCACCACATTCGGTATATCCCGGACAAGCACATCTGCTTTGTCACCTTCATCGATCCCACCGCGGCCGCTTCTTTCTACGCTCTGAGCAACATTCAGGGCCTCATGATACACAACCGCCGGCTGAAGATTGGCTGGGGCAAGCACTCTGGCGCTCTGCCCCCTGCGATTGCCCTGGCTGTTAGCGGCGGCGCGTCGCGGAACGTGTACATTGGTAACCTGGACGAGAGCTGGACCGAGGAGAGGCTGAGACAGGACTTCTCTGAGTACGGCGAGATCGAGCTGGTCAATGCTCTGCGGGAGAAGAGTTGCGCATTTGTGAACTTCACCAACATCGCCAATGCTATCAAGGCCATCGAGGCTGTGCGAAGCAAGGACGAGTACAGGAAGTTCAAGGTCAACTTCGGCAAGGATCGATGCGGCAACCCGCCACGACAGCTCCAGCAGCAGCAGCAGCAGGCTCAGTCTCCTCGTAACGAGGTTCCCTCGCCACAGGGCCAGGGTGCACAGGGTGGATCCCCGACCAATGGTCAGCCGGGCTTGTTCACGCAGAGCAACCCCCTCACCATCTACTTGAACCAGGTCTCTCAGCAGGCCCAGCACCAGCACCAACAGCAGAACCAGGCCCTTGCTGCCCAGCAGGCTGTCCTCTTCGGTACCGCTTCATCTTCGCCAAATGAGCTGTCGCTGCAGATCCCTGAAGGTCCGGTTTCTGGTCACGGTCAGTCCGCAAGCATCTCGAACGGTTACGCGAACCAGAACTCGGGCTCTGGGCCGACAACTATTGGTGGTCTGCTCGCTCCCAACACACGCGGCCAGCACAGCCGCGCGGTCAGTCTGCCTGTCCTGGCCCCAGGCTTCGAGAACGGCAACAACAGCCCCCACGGTTACCACAGCGGTGCCGGTGCCGGCTCTGGTGCTGGCGGCGACGACGGCGCCCGACGCGGCCACCAATACCAATCCAGCTTTGGTGGCTACGGCCTCGCCATTCAAGGTGGCCTGAATGGCTGGGTTGAGGAAGAGGTGGCAAACTAAAAAAGAATACGGCTTGAAAGGATCGGATATTCATTTTTAATGTTCGGCTCATTATGGACTTCAAGTAAAACTTGTCCGTTATCGAAAGGGTTTCCAAACTGCTATCTCTTATAATCACCAGATTCCTGTGTACGATCTTGCTGGCGGTGGCTTCTTCCGCATCGTTGCACTTTTCTTTTTCCTTCTATGTGCACGAGGACAAGACATTGGTGGGCATAATAGGGTCCGTGGCTTCTGCCAGTCGCCAGATTGAAAGTTGAATGTTTTTTGTCCTGGGGGCAGCTGGAGTGGATTGATGTATGAGATACTGGGGAGGTTGTGTGTTAGCATGGTGATTTGAGATGACGAGCAGACGAGACGAGAGAACATTGGAGATAATGACCGAAAGCGGGGGCAGCAGCCAGAAGCATGGTGACCCGATGGGGCGGCCAGCACGCAATATGTATTCAGGTACATTGCGGCCGTACGGATTGAGACGAAAGGCACGCACGCAGCACGCACTTTTACGTACGGCACTTGCATTATGTTCGCTCTGTACGGGCAAGGAATGAGCCTGTACGTATAAGGATAGGAGTCAACGGAATGCATGGGATGGGAATGAAATTGGCATCAAATCATCACTTCCAATTGATACAATATGTGGAATTCGTGACTGATGGTAGACTCGTGTTTTCAATCCTCTAGAACACGCAGATACCGCCACCAGGTACAGGACGGGCATAAGATGTTGAGTACTTGCTGCTTGTCTAACTGTATGCGTTGCGTGGGCGTATAAACCGGGCGTCGTACATGATAATTGTTGTTGCTAGTTAGTGCTTGCTGCATTACACTATCGATTGTAAGTCAAAGAATAAATCTAACGCCAACCGGGCTGAGCGATTGAGACATGTACAATTCAAAACTCTCTCTTATGCCGATAAAGAATCCAGCTCGGGGGCTGTGTGCTTGATGATAAACCTGGACCCAAAGAAACGCCGTTCACAGTGCCTGTTCCCCCTTTCCCTATCCGATCCCCCCCCCCCCTCACTCCGTGGATTCCTTGTGCTACCTAGTTACAACTCACAATGCCATGTGGCCCGACCACGCCGAACCCCGTGATAGGACACCGCCTTCATATCTCGTCCTCGCCCTGTTTCCCCCAGCCCTTGCAGAAACCGAACCAGCCCCTTTGCGTGCAGTGCGACTGAGTCGGCGCCGCCGAGGCGGACGTGGGTGACGGGGCAGGTGACACCGTCGGCCTTGGCGTGATGGGCCGTGTGGTCGTCACGGTCGGCCCGGTCACTGTTGGCTCCGAAGTAGCTGCGCCTGTGGTGGATCCCGACGTGGTAGTCGTGTCCCAGCATCCCCAGAAGTGACCTGGTGTTTCACAGGTGGTGGTGGTGGTGGCGGTGCTTTCGGTACTTGACGATGACGACGTGGTAGTAGTGGTGGTGGCAGGAGTGGTCTTGTCGTTGCAACCAAACCAGCCTGGGGTCTTGCAGGTCGAAGTGGATGTGCTCGTCGTAGTGGTCGTAGTTGTCGTGGCCGTCCCGGTCGTGCTTTCATCCAAACACCCCCACCAACCAGGAGTTTTGCAGGTCTCTGTTCTCGTCCTGGTCTTCGTGGAGGAAGTGGATCTCGAGGTGGTCGTAGTCTCGGTGCCGTTACTCTCGTACATCTTCCAGTTGGCGCAGTCGCGACACTCGGGCGTGAACTTGCATTCAGGAACCTCGTCATACTTGAGTATAACGTCGTTGATCACGGACCGAATCTTATGAGTGCCGATGCCAACGCGCCAACCCTTGTCGGCGACGACATCATAGACGCATTCGCGCCCTGTGTGGCATGCTGACTCCAGAGCGTAGCCACCATAGGAGCATGATGCCGTCGCGCCGTTGCATGTCCCGATGTACACCGGGTCTGCGGTGTGGCCAAAATGATAAGCGCCGGTGTAATCTCGTGTTTGAGGGTTGCTTGGGTCGGCGCCGGGTGGGACCGGGAGGCCGAGTCGGCCAACCGGGAGGGCGTCAGGGACAGCTTCGAATGTGACCACGGGCAGGCCGTATGTGAGGCCGAGCATGGCACTAACAGCGCCTCCCAAGGAATGGCCAGTCAACCAGATGTTTGAATCCGGGTAGAGTGCAGTCACGTTTGAGTACAATTCCCTCGCCGCCATGTAATACCTGCTCTCGTTCCTCAGTGCCTGCACCACACAGGTGTTGTTGCACGAATACGTGCCCGTCGCGCAATCGCAGACCTGGTGCCACAGCCAGGGACCCTGCTGAGCGCAGCAACAACTGAAAAACAGATTGTCGTTGACCTTGTCGTTTGTTGTTGTGCCCTCGCCGTCGAATATGGCCATCGAAGTGCCTTTCAACCCTATGACGACCGTCGAGTTGGTGTCATCGGCGAAGATGTGGCCCCGAAGCCCATCAGTCTCCCACCCAAAATCGGCCGACCTGTTGAAGGGACCGCCGACCTCGGACCATTCCGCGTTGTCTGGGGTCTCGACATATGCGTTTGCGGCCATGTAGGCGAGGCTGACGATAGTGTCCCTGTCGGTGATGTTGGGGCCGGGGATGTCATCTAGAGTCCAGGCATCTGGCGATAAGACCGAGACGTAGCCTTGCTGCCGTGACGTAGCGACCATGGGATCCACAACACTCGGCCGTCTATCGACAAGCCTCTGAATCCTAGTAGCATCGCTCCGTGCTCGTAATGGAGGCAGGCGTAACTCTGGATGGTCGTCCTCGGCAGCCAGCCATATTTCCTGATCTGTGTGTGCGACATCTTGTTTCCTGTGGAGGGTCGGGTGCCTGTGTGTGCCGTGGTGGTAGACATGCCTGAGGGTCTGGATGGGAGACGTGCGAGTCAGCGCCGATGGCGTCGCAGGTGATGACGGAAGCAGTGTCGCGGAAGTGGAGGGAGACTCACGAATGTGTGCTCTGCAGGAGCTGGGGGTTCAGGGGTAGGATTAAAGTAGTCGGGGCGGAATTGTAAGACGGCCTGGTCGTCTGCCCTGGGCTGGCTGGCAGCATGTGCGGGTGATGGTGAGAAGGCGAGGAATGATAAGAGGAGCTGGGCGGTTACTCTGCCAGCAGAGGTGCAGGCATCACCACCCGCGGCCTTGCGCCTGAGGATCATGGTGGAGATGTGCTGGGCGCCAGGGAGATAGATGATAATGAGAGTCAGCCGGAAGAGAAGCGACGGTGGACGAAGCAGTGCTGTGCCCGTAGGGAATGTAGTGATGGCGGATAGGGGCTGATGAGGCGAGTTGCGATGGTTGAGGACAAGGCGCGGGCCGTCTGCCTACTTAGTACTTGGACCGCGGGAGGCACAATGTAGTCTACCATGTGTATGGATGACGACGTCAAACAGGCAGGGATGCTAAGGGTCGAGTGCAGCACTTACCGTGCCTACCTAGGCCCGAGCCCGATGCAAGTACCACACAGAGGCGGGCTTATCTTGGTCATATGGCCGGCAGCGCTATCAGCAGCTAGAGGGGAACATCGCACTGGCATGTTGGCATGTGACCCTGACATGTTGATCCCCCTCCAGTCAAACCCGCATTGTAACGGTTGATTGGGACCGCAGGCAGGCAGGCAGGCAAGTCCAGGCACTCGTGATGCCACCGTGGACAGGAGCAGGATGGCACGTGTGCAGCGGGAGCAAGGCGAGGTTCATCCAGTCCAGTCCCTCCCTTTCCAGTGCTCGGGACTTCTGCAGCTGCAGCTGCAGCTGCTCCCTACCGTCACTGATGAAGGGCGAGAGGGGTGAGTGCTGGCCGGGGCGAGACGGGAGCGACGGACCATTTCGCATGGCCGAGCAACAGCAGAAGATCGCAATCATGGGTTGGCTTGACAGCTGCGAGCTCCGTCGTCGCCGCTGTTAGTGGAGCGACAGGGGTGGGGGGTGCCCCACCCCTCAATGCACGTCCAGGTACGGAGGTACGTACTTATTGTGTACTCCGTACAGGCAGTTCTGGCAGTGAGTTGTCTGCGGGTGGACCGGCCGGGAGCTTCTTCATTCACGATTGAGGAGGAGGACATGAGAGCTCGCCCCGACCGACTGACACTGGCCACCCCTGGGTTTGTTTTGTTTATTTTGGTCCAAACACTTTGGCCTGGCTTACTCGACTCGATCGACTGGATCGACTCGCTGTGGATGAACGACCCGACACCGTGCCCGCCCAGCTCATGACCGTTTCGGCCCCGTGGACGGCATAGCTGGCTGGTGACGGCCTGGCCTGCTTCGCTGCCGCCCGCCCCTTAGCTGCCTACCTGTCCGTCCTCTGGTTTCAACCGCCGCCTTGGTGTTTTATGCGCACCGCCCTCCCCTCGGTCACCCATCCTATCGCCCCGGCTTCAACTTCAATGCATCCTGCATATATCGCGTCCCTTATATCCCGCTGCTCCCGCATTGCAGTCCATTCGTCATACCGCCCTCCTGTATGTCATGTCATTGTCCTGCCTAATAAACCATATCTACCCCCCCCAACCCCGTCTACCTACCTCTCTTGCCACCAACCTGCCCCCACCGGTTTGCTCCCACGCTTCCGACGCGCCCCAGCTAACCGCCAGCCATGTTCTCCAGCTTCTCAGTCACACTTGCCGGAAAAGTGATGCCCGCTCCAACCCCCAGGCCAAATCCCTTGAGGACAGCCAAGTCCTTCACCCGGGCCGAGCACGATGACCCTCTGTCGGTCGCTCGCCCTAAGAGGGCCAGCACGATCCAGAATGGCACCCTCCCAAGGATCACAACCACCGGTATCTCCTCTCAGATCGTCGAGGAACCCGAGAGCGCCACAACGGATGCCTTCGAGAACTCGAAACATGACGATGAGCCTCCTGAGCAGCCGCGCACCTCGGTCGACCTGGATGACCTGCCCATCGAGTTGATCAGCCTGACAGACAACTTCATAGAGTCCCTGTCCGCCAAATCACGACCCACCCCTCCAACTATTGACGACATTTCCGAGCTGTTCCAAAACTTCTACCAACAAGCCGCCCGCCACATAGACACACACATCTCTGCGCTCCTCACAAGACACAACCGCGGCTCCTCTCCCGCGCCATCCACTTCCTCTAGGGCCTCCGCCACAAGTTTATTACGAGCCAAAGCAGCAGCCATCGGGAACAAGGACAAGAAAGCCGGGACGCCAAAGGCAGAGCTGCCCGAGCAGCAATTGATCACGGCCGACGAGCTGGCACAGCGGAAGAAGGCAAGAAAGGCCATTGAGCAGCGTCGCGGCACCTTGGAAGAAGCCGTGGAAAGGCGGCTGTGCGAGGGAATCTACGCCAAAATATACCGGCATCGTACAACTCAGGATGAAGCTGCAGACGACGTGCTCCGCTCCAAGACAGCAGCGTTGGCGGTTGTTGGCATTGGTCTTGCCGACCTCGGCGTCCAATTGACGGAGCCCAGTGAGCCCCCAGAGGCTCAGGCCGAAAAGGCAGAGGAGGTGCGCAAGTGGCTCGACGGGGCTAGGAAAGAGCTCATAGCCATGAACGAGAGTCGCTACCCCCTGGGCAAACTCAACCACCTGAAGCTCGCGCACAAGAGCATTGTGGATACCCTGTCGAATTTCCACCCGTCATCTTCGGCTGATGAGATCATGCCCATGCTCATTTACACTTTGATTACCCTCCCACCCGAGCACATGAACGTCACAAGCGACCTGAGGTTCATTGAACGGTTCCGGTGGGAACCAAAACTTGTCGGCGAGGCAGCATATTGCCTGACAAACCTGGAGGCAGCAATCGGCTTTCTCGAAACCGTCGATCTGTCCACCTTGCGATCAGACGAGGCACCTTCAGGGCCTGTCAGGCCATCCAGCCGGCCGGGCACGCCCCGGGCTGAAACTTTCCCACCCGCGTACTCGCCGGGACTTTCCACTGCGAGCACGGCTGCGGAGCTCCCCGAAGAGGGCGCTGCCAAACCTGCAACATTGCAACCGACGAAACTCAGGGAGGACCAGCAGCGTAATCGCCGTTTTAGTGACCTGGTGAACACGCCAGCTCAGGCTCTTGGTGCCGCCGGCGACGCGATGCGCAACACTGCAGATGCTGGGCTGAAGACCATCGGCAACAGCTTGGGAGACAGCTACAGGTTTTTCATTGGTAGGCTGAGAGAGCCCGCCGGCGCAGGTGAGGAAGTCGCTGCTCCCAAGACGCTCGAGGACGCCAGGAAGTTGATCGGCACTCCCCCGCCGGAGGACGACACGTCGACTACCAGTTCTTTGATGGCTCCCGATGACACGGAGAGCAAGCGATCGCATCCCAGGGATGAGAGGATGTTGAATCTCATCAGCGGGCGCAAGCCGTCATCCGTGCGAGACCACAGCGCCGACAGCTCGAGGAGTGCGGGGAGCTCGACAAAGAGGCTGTCCGGGATCTTTGGAGATGACAAGGAGAAACAAACACCAACTAGCGCAACTCCTACGGCGGCCAATGCCAACCCGGCCATCATGGACTCGATGCGCAACTTTGGAAACTCACTGAACCCTATGGCCAAGCTGGCTGGGGGGATTGGGTCCTTTAGGGCCTTCGCGAGGACCCCGTCGCAGCCTGTCACACCGCAGGTGCAGGTGCCACCCAAGGCGGGGGCTGCTGATGGGGGTGATCTGGCTACTGTAAGTAGTTCTCATTGTTCCAGCGGCTCTGCAGAGCGGGCGGGGAGGGGGTTGATGGAGCTGACAAGAGTGCATGAGCAGGCCTTCCCCGACTTGGCAGCTACCCTACCCCCCAAGGAGACACCAAAGATAAACCCGCCGAACAAGCGGTTTATGGAGATGCAGAACCCTGGGGACCTCAAGATAGGCGAGGTTCTAGAGCTGCTCCGAGATTACAGGAGACTGGCGGGCGCACTCAACGACATGGGAGCCTTCAAAGAGTGAGATCAGTTGTCTCTTGGATTGTAAAGGCAGAAAGGTGTTGAAATGATCTTTTGTGGCTTTTTTGTTGTTGGTTTTTCTTTGGTGTAGTTCCTATCTTTCTACAGGCGGTTGCACTTTTGGGACAAAATAGACTGGAACTGGCAAGACGGGTTACGGCTCCCAAGGCGGGACGGGACCACAGGCGTACATGATTTCATCAATACAGCATTGGGCCGGACGTTATGGAAAGGGTTTGATTTTTGTAGCATATGGATTTGCACACTCATTCGGTCACTGCGCCATTCATTCGGGTTTGAGCCAGGCAAACTTTGGTAGGAGAAAAAAAAGAAAGTACTGTATCATCACTTGGGTGCACAGCAACCTTGGGTATTCCTCTTCTGATTTTCATGTCCCTCATATTATATTTTTGACTTTTTGAGTTATGATTTTGTCTTCTCTACTGGAGCTACGTACGTATCTCTGCAGGTATAAACACTTGGCCCCTGGTACCAGACCACGTAACGTCGTGTGTGAGCAAATGCGCAAGTGGACCGACCTGACTGATGCGTTGGCATCGACCGTTTCTCGAACACCCTTTGCGCCCGTGCCGACCCACAACCAAAAACAGATGAGCACCAATACTTTCGCCCTTGCCCTGCCCTGGCCTTTCGTGTCCTCCCATTCTTCGGGGCCGGCGGCGTATACCGACTGTATCTCCTGGGGGGTCGTGAACCGGGGCGAGGGGGGGAGGATGTGTCTCGTAGGACAGGCAATCCCCTACCCCTACCCTATATACTAAGATTATGTAGTGTCGATAGTTGATGAATGATGAGCGCGAAGCAAGTTCAGATGAACATAAAAAAAAAAGAAACTGGAATTCGTTCGCTTGGGCATGCAAATTTAAGTTTCGTTGAAGCCCGGAACGCCCGATACAATCCCAAATTTCGCCCTCTTTCCGCCTTCGCCATAATTGTGGACTCGATTTGACTCGGTGATGGTACGTTTAGTTACGGTATTTGTATGCATTGCTACGGCCTCAGACGAGGCAGGGCAGGCCGGGGTCTTTTGGACCGGGGCATGGCCGGATCAGCTGGCGCCGTTGCCCTTCACAGGGCTCTTTGGGCTGCCGCTGGTGTTGGAGCCGTTAGTCCTGTCCGACAGGGGGCCGCCGCTCTTGGTCGGGCTTGACCTGCCCGAGGTGACGGACCCGGGTCCTGTCCCGAGCGCCGCGGCGCGCTCGTCTGAGATCATCTTCTCCATGAAGGCGATGTAGTCGTACTGCGGCTGCCCGCGGTCCGACTGCATGTCGGGCCCGTTGTGTGGCGGGATCATCTCGATGAGCTTCTCGATGACCTCGTCCGGCACGAGCGAGTGCCGCAGGTCCATCTCCGTGACGTACGGCTTGCCGTCCGCGACCTCACGGAACGACTGGAACACCTGCTCGGCCGTGTTCTGGTCCTCGGTCACGTCCACCATGAAGCGGATGAACTGCTCAAAGCTGACGCGGTCGTGGCCGTCGGATGCATCCTCGAAGTAGTCGTGCATCTCGTCCTCGGAGAAGACCAGCCCCAGGGACGCGAGCGCGGCACTGAACTCGATCTCGGTCAGGTTGTTGGAGTCGTCGCGGTCAAAGTGCTTGAACACGGACTCGAACTCCTCGAGCTGGATCGGCGTGAGGTTGGTCATGCTTCGCGCAACCATCTGGTTGTCCAAGAAGGACAGCTTCTTGGACACTGACGACTTGACCAGGGACAGCTCGTAGCAGAGCTCGTCGTAGGTATATGTCGTGAAGTCGTTCTCCTCAATGTTTGCCTCCTCACACTTAGCATCGACCTCAGCGATCTTCACGAGGTAGGCGTCCAGGGGCGGCAGGTTGTCACTGAGCTTGCGCACATGGTGCAGTTGGTCCTCGACATCACCCTCCAGCCCTGATATGGCTAGCTGCATCGTGTTGAGGGCCATGGCAAAGTCGTTTGCTTTATCGGCGAACGACTTGCGCAACGCGTTTTTGATGCTGATGAGAATGTCAGCATGTGCGGTTATCTGGGAGACTGGTTTGACTGAGGCGTGACTTACTCTCGGATGGTCTCGTTTATCAGTTGACCCCTGGCCATCTCTGCGCTTGAAAGGCTTGTCCACTCCTTGTCCAAGGTCTCCAAGCTGAGTTCGACTGGTGGGTCGTACGGGCGAAGGCGATAGGTGCCGAGTTTGGTCTTGATGTTGCCCAGTAGTGTTGCCAACTCGCTCTTCTCTGCGACCCATTCCCTCTTCTCCCCTCTTTTGTAAGCCGAGAACTGGGCTGCTTGTGCTTTTGCGTCGGCGTAGGTACCCTCGAACTTGGCCGTCTGCCAGCTGACCACCTGTTCCCGAATGGCCTTGAGCAGCGCTCTCATCCGCCTCTCATAGGCACTTTGCATCTCCCAGGCGCCCTGCATGTTGTTCACAAACTTCTCCACTCGCCGGCCGGCGTTCTCGACCTTCTCCATCTGCGAGAAGGCGTGGAACCAGTAGGCGATATAAGTCATCAAACTTCGCTCATCAGGCTTCGGCACGTCACACACATCTTCGACATCCAGCAGCTTGGGGATGCCGATCTCCTTGTGGGCAATGTCGAAGGCAAGCTGCATGTTACCCTTGTGGTCTGACTTGTCGAGCTGGTCATAGTCGATCAAGTCGGGCCTGTGGATATCCAAGAGGGCACAGAAGGCCAGGCCGTCGTTCCAGCTGGCACTGAAATCCCGGACGTCGCATTCCTCGTAGCAGGCAGTCTTGCGCTGACACCACAGCAACAAACCCTCCTTTGCCGTCATACCCTCCTCGTTAATGTCACTGATCGTAAATCGTAAAATGAGCGTCCATATCAGGCCCAGTATGATCTTCCTGTTCCCGTCGACGACATCCTCGGCACCCATGTTTACCATCTGAATCCCTCGCGATTTGACAAAGTCCAGGCCCAGGTTCACGTTTTCAAAGCGCTGCACCCGGAGTTTTGGCTTGGCGGCGTACCGGCCGAGAGACTCCTGGGACAAACATTCCAACAGGTGGATGAGAATGACCTGTTGGCGAGGCACGCGCTTGTGTTAGCAATCGAGAGCAGGCGGAGGGGGGGGGTAGAGCAGATCGGGGACGCACGCCGTCGCTGAGGTCCTTGACCAGGTCCTTAACCTCCAGGCCCCTGACGTCTATCTTTGTGTTGAGCCATTTCGTAAAGGTCTTCTGCTGGACCGTGATCCAGTGCTGCTGCTCAGCAAAGGCCATCTTGGTTAGGAGCTTCTCATGGGGCGGCGGGCCTGGTTCGGTGGCGGCGAGCCCAGCCTGTCGTGAGTCTGGGTTTGTGCCTTTTCGAAAGCGGCGTGCGCTGCCAGGACGTCTGCGGAGGCGGGCTGAGACGTCGTCGGGGTCTTGTCTGCTGGGGTCCTTTTCTTTGTCGTCGGCGGCAGGGTCAGATGCCAAGCTCTGGGAGGCGGCGCGCTTCTGGAGGCGGGCAGCATGCAGTTGTTTTGCGTTCTCGCGGCTCCGAGTCAGCGGGCGCTGCGGGGAATTTGCTTGTGATTGTTGTTGTTGGTGGTGGTGGTGTTGGTGTTGTTTTGGCTGGTGCTGGTACTGACTCTGAGCTGTCGCGGCGGACGAGACGCTGCTGATTGTGGATCTCCTAGAGTCGTAGCTGCTAAAAGTGTCCGACAGGCAGTCGGAGGCCGTGGAGATTAACGAGGCTGGCCTGTCATAGCCCGGGACGAAAGATGGCGGCGTCGCATTGGTTGTTGTCGCCAGCTCGTGTTCCCCGCCTGGTAAATAATGCAGCGGGTTGCCGGAGGGACCCACTGCTCCCCCATCCTGGCAAGCCTGGGCCTCGTGGGCCTCGTGGGCCTCCTGGGCCTGCATTTTGTCGGTAGTGGCGCTAACTGACAGCCGTCCTAGCAGCTGCCTAGGCCCTTTCAGGAGTCTGTCTTATTTGGCTGGCCAATCCCCAATCAAACCACGCGGCCGTTACGCCCAGTAGCAGTAATCCACGAAATGAGCACCGGCCGACTCGAGATTGGGTGTTGCGATGCTATTCACAAATCCCCCGGGATTGTGATGTGATGTGATATGCGAGGTCTGGTATAAAAATAATCCTGGACTGGACGATGATGATGATGATGATGATGGCTCGTGTTGCACAGATCGGATATTTAGAAGATACCACGTCCTTGGACCAGAGACCAGGCCTCAACACCAACCGAGAAGGCGGGCTACATCGACCTTTTTACATGCTCATGCCCTCCTTGCCTCGTTGCCTCCCACCCAAGACCGCGGGATGCCCTCCCATCTGTTCAAGGTTGTGGCCTCGTTAGTCCAGACGGGATAAGGGGGGGGAGGGCGGCAGACTAAGCCTATTCCTCATTCCAGCTCGCCTCTTGGGTGTCGTTTTGGCTGCTCCAAGTTATCTGAAACTCTGCCTCCTCGACGACGTCCTCATCCCACCATGTCGGCGGCAAATCACAGCGCCCGCCCGTCTACCACACCAAATGCCCTCGGCGCCGCCCCTTAGCCCAAGGCCCCACGCCTGTTCATGCGTCCCGGGCGCCCAGGCATGGCTGGCATGGTGCACCCAGGCATCACGCACACAAGGCAATCATCCCTTCCGAGACGCAAGCTTGCGGCCGACACCCCATCGGCCTTCGTCTATTTGCGGGTGCGCCGCCACCGACCGGTGCTGGGGTCTCTCGCCTGCTGCCGCTGCGGCTGCCTCATCCGGTAGCCTCACGCCTCACGCCTCACGCCTCACGCCTCACACCTCACACGCTCCGAGTCCGCATGATGTTGCATAGTACTGCCAATTCCCTACCAACACCACCACCCCTCCCCTCCCCCCTGGCAGCCCTGGATCGTATTCCCCCGGACATTCTACTCAACTTGAAGACCTTTCCAGGCACATTGGGGCGGCCTGCGACAATATACGCAAGACACTTCTTGCTCCGCCCCCCGGGTACTGTAATCAAGAGTCGTCCCATCATCTCATCTGGAGGGCCCTGGGTCTTGGTCGAGTGCAGTCTGCTGTCTGGCCATGTCGTGGTTGGCTATCAGGCATCTTGACCACGGTGCGCAGGAATCCAGTCGGTCACTACCCGGGACGCACTCAATGTCAGGAGATTGACCGAGACATCACATCGGACCAAGTCCTCTCACGTCTACTCTAAAAGTAGATGCACAAAATAGGACGACCCGTTTTGGGGTGACCCAGCGCATTCAACCAAAAGACAGTCATTTCCACCTTGGATGCCTTCGTTATTGTGGGAGTAGACCCGTCTTCCTCGTTCGAGTCAACTGCCGTCACACTAGTTGCTTCCTATGCGACTTGCATCACACAATTCCGCTTTCGTCGGCACCGATGTTACGGGTGGTGTGGCGTAAGCCGTTTCGTTGCTAGGTCACGGGAGTGGCCGCTCTCGACATCTCTCTCACTCTCTCACTCACACACACACACTCTCTCTCTCTCGATGACGAGTGTGGTTTCAGCCTTAGCGGGAACTAAGTGCTGCCTGTGCCTCATACAATTTTCTCACCGGAATTTACGCACGCGCTGTGAAGTTGGGTAAAAATCCGACCAGATATCCCAAGGCTGACGGACTGTCGTGCAGGCTCAGTGCGTTGACAAGCACAACTACACCACGACCCCGGAATCTGGTCGAAGTGGTGTAAGTTGATGTGGGTGTGCTGCCTAAGCGTGCCGTTTGATCGCCAGCTACTACTGTCAGCTAGTTGCTCTAGTCTTGGGGTCTGATGTTTGAACGTCCGAGTTCTTCTGGCTTCGTCCGAAGGGCTGCCCTTCAAGGGAACCTTGGAAGGTTTCCACAACCCGATCACATCAACAAGTTCTCGCACACAAGATTTGCACGTCAGCTGTGTCCTGAACCTCGGATGGTCTAAATACTCCGGCGAGCCGTGATAGGACCACCAGACGATCGTGAAGGGGCTTTTGTGTGTCCGGGAGACCAGGCGGCCATCCTGGTATCACTGCTTCTCTGTTCCACTTGCCCATACCACTGGGCGAATGGGTTGGCTTTGGCAGCAGACATCGTATCCCTAGTCTGCACTGTGGATGCTGTTTGCTCAGGTCGGCATCGCCGTGGAAGTCTTCCCGGAGGTGGCGAGCGCACAGAAACCAACCACGCCGGCCCCAGTCTATGACACGCAGGGTGATCCTTTCCCAGCAGAACAAAACAGCCGGAGAAGGAATGTGGGTGGACGGGTTGACGCTCTTCCCATGCATGTCAGCATATTCATATCAACAAAAGCCGGTTGGTCAGTGAAAGCCCGGCAGGTCTTCAATACTGTCCGATCGGAACCAGCGGGGCAGTTCATGCCATATGCCTACGATTTGGTTGGATTCATAATTGGTGAGCAAGTGTCGTTCCCGACGTCTCTTGCTAGTTGCGTCACACGGCGAGCAAGGCCAGTGTGGGTGACAAGGGGCGGCGGCTCTCCAGAGCAACCGAAAGGGGACAGGACCACGCGGTAAGTATTGGGGGCGTAACCAGCCAAATAGGCGCTTCTGCATACCTGTGTCAACCTGTGAGTCGATGTCATCCCTCTGTGCGACGTATCCGGAGGAGCTGCCACAGTCTCAAGCACGGTGTACGTGGCTGGAAGGTTTGGTAAGCTGTCAGTGGCTTGATGCTGCGATGCCCTCTTGGCCTGCATTCAAGCTCTAAGTACATGCAGAAGAGCACAGCCGCTTATACGGCGTCTCAATGAGCCACGGCCTGTCGATGCTGACATGCGTGTGTGGTCGGCGTCTTTTGGGGATCTCGGTCGAATTCGTCAGATCCAGGTTGCACTGACGACCAACCCCAGATCACGAGATGCCATGCTGCACGGGAAGGGCCGTGTAACGCCTCGCGAGGCTCTTATGCCTCGTGTTCCAAGAACCCGCGAACCATTCTGCGGCCCTTAGGTGAGCCATGCTGACAAGAAGTGTTACTGCTGACCCACCACGTCTTCATTTATGAAGTTGACAAGGGGGGGGGTGGAGGTGCCATCTGGCTGGCACCAGCCCAAATGGCGGCATCGTGTCCTAGGCCCAAGGGAACGAAACCATTGCCTGCCAGAATGTGCCCTGCCATCGATGGATTCTGCATGCTCCATTCCTTTGCCAAGAGGCCAAAACCTGTATTCACCGTCGTACTCTACTATGGTCGACCAAATGACGAGCCTCAAAGAGGCGCCAGCCTCCCCCCCCCCCAAGCACCGCTTCGTAGGCAGGTCGGGGTTGTTTGATTTGGCCCCCATTAGCGCCGACGGGATCCGCCTGCTTCTGTCTGCTCGAGGGATGCATATAAGCCTGACACCACCCCGTACTTGCAAGGTGCCATGTATGCGAGCTGCCCGGCTAATGCACCGAGTCCTGCATGGAAACAAGTGCTCGGCAGGAAGCGCACCGTGGTACGGAGTACGCTCCTCAACAACTGCTCAGCCTTGCATGGCTTGCCGCTGCTTGCTGAAAGTACACTGCAGTTGGGAAAATAGGCAGCAGAATAACCACAGTAATGAGAACCAGGGGGCCCACAGCCCCGCTAGTCCGCTTCCCGTCTAGTATCGCCCGTCTCGACGGCATCGTGATGGGGCGCAGGAGGCCCGGAGGAGGGTTGGGCATGCGGCTTGACGTTGTATGGTGAAAACAAGTACCTGGCAGGCCGGGTCAATCATCCGGCGGCAAGGACGTCTTCCGACGTCGACCCAGGAGTGCAGAGGCGGGAAATGTTCACCGTGGCCGGGCATCTGTATGCCACCGGAGATTAGGCAGCAGAATAACAACCAATGCCAACGGTTCGAGTTGAGAGGTTACCGTGCTGGGATTGTGGCAGGATTGACGTGCAGCCGATGGTTCTCCGTGCGTATTGTATGTGTCACTCTTGCAGCTCGGGGCTCGGTACCAGAACAATGAGAAGGGCCATGATACAATCCCCACCGGTCGGGAGGCCATATTGCGGTGCAGAAACTGGAAGCAGCTGCCCGATATTGTGCATCCCGAAAAGGTGGTAGGTTCAGCTACCAGGCGCAAAGGCACCACAGAGCATGTGTCGAAAGAGTGGCGTGGGGAAAGAAATTCTATTCGCAACATCGAGAAATGCCAGGTATAGCATGGGTGGATGTGCCCTCTGTGTGTACATACATGGGCAGTGTTCATTATGCCTTTGCCCTCCAAATATCTCAGCGAACATACCATGGTATAGAAGCCTTCTTTTTCGTGATGTGTCGTGACATTCGTACAGATGGAGTCCTCTGTGCCGCGTCTGGTTACCATTGGGCAAAGTCAGCCCAGTCCTTCTCCATCATGGCACTAGCAATGTCCCGTGCCCTCCGTGACACTCGTTCCCTGAATGCACCCAGCCACATAAGCTCAAGGGTACCGTCGCCAGTCTGGTTGGCAAGCCCGGCGTAGAATGTCTCGACGACCTTGACAGGAAAGGCGAGTAGGTCTGGCTGTGTCGTGACCGCCAGGGCAAAATCCAATGCCCGGCACACGTTGACCGCCATCTCCCTGACCCTGCCGGTACCGTAGCTGTCCGGGTCGATGGCGAGCTGCGGCGGGAGGTCGGGGAAGACCTGGTGGGGATAGGCGTCGACGACGGGCGAGAAGACGCTGTGGACAGCTATCTCGAGGCACGGGGCGAGCAAGACTTGTGCCGCCCAGTAGTAGGTGAACGAGAGCGACGCTAGCGGATCCTGGAAGGCAAAGGGCTCGGGGAAGGGAATCTGTTCGCCTTGGTCGTGCGCGATCCAGTATCGCCGCCGGCGGGGGTCGAACACCGAGACATACCACTGCTCTAGCTGGGTTCTCGCGCCGAGGCAGTTTCCCAGCAGCTCCTGGGCCATCGACCTGCGGGTCAACGTCGGGTCCAGCGCTGTGATGTGGTCGAGCGGCTGCAGGAAGGGCGTTGTCCGCGCCAAGATATCGAGAAGGCTGTCGAAAGAGCTCTTGTGGTGTAGCTCAAAGGGCAGCGTGGCCCATTCGTGTTCGGCGCAGAATGTGCTCGTTCTGCTCAGCAAGGCTGTTGTGATGGCACTGGGTCGAAAAACTCGGGTGAAGAAGTGATGTGAAGGGAACCTTTGGAACTCCACAGGTCCAAGCTGTCTGATGCCTTCCATCTGGGCTGTGGCATCTTGAAAGTTAACAGGTGGCAGGGGAAAGTTGTGTTCGAACAGGAAGAGGAGCACGCTGTCGGCTGCCGTGGAGCCCGCCTCCTTTTTTGCTGGAGAGATGCTCGTCAGACATTGAGAGCGAAGTTTGAAGTCTACATTGTCAAAAGTCGGTCGTACATCGAGAGTACTTGTCGGTGCTACATATATCGCCGTTGTTTCGCCGCTGTCCCCAAAGCTGCTTCGAGCCACACTTCCCAATGGGGTGTGTAGAGCAACGATCTCAAGGCGACGGGTTGCACCGTTACCTTCCACGTGGAGTTGATCAACCCAGGCTGGGGATAGAGGCTGCAACGGTTCCAAGGGTGTTGTTCTGCGTCCACCCTCACTTGGTGGAGATTGCGACTTCTTGGGACTTTTAATATTTCGGGGCGGGTGGCTGCTGCATCGCCCCTTGTCTTCGACTGTCCCAACAATAAATACTGTCTCGCGCTCTTCGGGCAACGGTCAGTATTGATCGATTCAGACGAACGAGAGGATTGGGCGAGTAAATGGGCGGCGAATAGACGTACGATATCCTAAGCACTCTCGCCCAGAGTCTATACACTTTCGGCAGTGTGGGCGTTCATTATCACACTATAGGACAAGGATGTCAGCAGCAAAGTCCAATCGTTGCAGTTGATATGGAATTACCTTAATTCTTCGGCTTCTGCATGTATTGCAACCTTTGTATTTGCCTGGAACACCCACCATCCTGACTGTTCATACCATCAATGAGGCAAGATGCCAGGTGAAACACTGATAGCATTGAAAGGCAGGATATGGCTGGGAAGGTTCCAACAATATAACTAGCGTGGCTCCTTTGGGGCGACGGGAGAGAAGGGTATTTGGGCACCGTATAAAAGCACGGGGGAAAGTGCTTGGTGGGGGCTGAGGCCTGTCCTGTCATCTCGTGCTTGCATAGTCAGGTAGCCCGCCCCTCCGCGATGCATCTCGACTGAAGATCTGTCCCTTCATGGTATTCGAACGGGTTTTTTGCCTCCTCTGCCTAAATCAACAAGGAAAAAAACCGGATCGGAAGGTTTGACTGAAGCAGAGCAGCATCTTGGCACCAAGCAGGATCAATCAATCAATCAGGGTGAAGTGAAAGGGAGTTAAGCAATGTGAGAAGGGCCAAGGGGCTGAAGTTCCCCGAGGCTCAGCAGACGGCGCGATGAGCCACAATGTGGAACGAGAGCCGCAGGAGATTTCACGAGTCTGGGACCTGTTCTTGCTCAGCCATTCACATAGGTTGGTTGTGGGTGGACCGGGTTCCTCAAAGCGAGCGAGGCCTTCCTTGCTTGAGTATGGCGTGCGTGACGATAGTTCGACGACCACCATCCACCTGCAAGCGTTCCGTGTCTGCGCTCACCGGGTGGCAGGGCGTGATTGGCGAGGCGGATGGGAAGGATTTGTACTCCGTAAGCTCAGGCTATTTGCACTGGGCCGTAGGGCTGACAGCGCGTATAATTCACTAGCTCGATGCGCCCCGAGTGGAAGGTGGTAGTTACACAAGAAAACCTGCTGATTTGTGACTGGCGGGTCGGATAAGCACCCGATATAACATGACTGCATGGGCTGCGATGTCTCTGGACTCTGGCCATGCAGAGTGTGAGCAATATCAATGACTTGCTTGTGCGGGTCCATGGAGGATTCTCGCTTCCAAGGGAGTAGGCAGCGTAAGCGACAATAACCGCCCAAGCCGCTCTGTAAGCTCCCGTGTAACACGTTCACAGATTCCGGGGAAGTTTGGCCCGAGAGTGGCTCAAACAGAGGAGTTACTCACTCGAAAGGGATAATGGCACAGTCGAGGTAGCAACCCTCTCCGGGCCAATAGTCGTGTGGCAAAACGCTTGCACTACACCATCGGGCACACATCATCCCAAAATTTGACGAGCAAAATATGTGACATTTTCCCATTGGTCGGGTGTATACTCTAAATGTACTTATATGGATTCATGATCCCGTTCTGGACGTGGTAGAGGTCAGCACTTGTATGCGAGTGCGGATGAGGCTGATGCCAGCCAGGTAGGGGGTTGGGGGCAAGGAAACTCGTTACATACCGGATCGTATAGGTCCTTGATCTGTTTCATCAGGCCTATCATGTTGTCGCTGCGGCTGTAGCCGATGAACTTCTTCTTCGCCAAACCAAGACCATGCTCAGCACTAATGCTGCCTTCGTGCTCCTTGATCCACTCGAAAACGTAGGGCTCCAACACCTTCTCGACCTCCTTGTCGTAACGCCGCACACAGACGTTGAGGTGGAGGTTGGAGTCACCCATATGGCCATAGCCAACGACATCGACGACAGGGTACTCGTCGGTCTCGCCCATGAGGCCAGCGGCCTGGATTTTCTGTTTGGTGTCCTCTACCAGCTGGTACAGGGACTTCAGGGGTATTGAGACGTCGTATTTGTAAACGCCGCCGAATGCGGCCGAACTCTCGGAGATGGCCTCCCGCCAGCCCCAGAGTGATTTGAGCTGGGTTTGGTCCTGTGCCACAACGCCGTCTGATACAATTTCCTTGGTCATGACGTCCTCGAGGAAAGCCTCCAGCTTCTCATTGTCGTGCTCCGCGTTTGAGCCGCTGGTCTCAATAAGGCAGTAAAATGGGTATTCGTTCTCCAGAGGAAAACTGTTCTTGGTGACCTTTTTGACAAGCTGCTGGCTCTCGGCATCCATGAGCTCAAATGCCGACAATATCTCAGAGAGCTGCCCCTTGGCCTCCCGGAAGGCCTCCCGGACCTTCTCGTACGACTCCAATCCAAAGAATGCTACGTTCACTGCCTTTGATCGCTGGGGGCAGTGGATTGAGACACCGGTGATGATGCCGATGGTACCCTCTGCGCCGATGAACAGCTGCTTGATGTCGTAACCGGTGTTGTTCTTCCTCAGCTTGAAAAGGTCATCCACGATAGTGCCGTCGGGGAGGACAGCCTCAACACCCAGTACGGTCCCATGCAAGCTCCCGTAGCGAAGGAGCCGCAGACCTCCCGCGTTGGTGGCAACGTTGCCTCCAATGTGGCATGAACCCTTAGCGGCCAGGTCGAGAGGGAAAATGTAGCCCCTTTCTGCCAGGTAGTTGTCAACGACCTCGAGCACGGCACCCGCGTCGACGGTAAGGACTCCGCTGACATCGTCGAATGAGCGCACTTGGTTCATCCGGCTCGTATTGATGACTATCTCATCAAAGATGGGAACAGACCCTCCAACCAGGCCGGTGTTGCCACCCTGTGGAACGACGGCCAGCATGTTGTCGTTGCAGTACTTGAGGACCTGGCTGACCTCCTCGGTCGATGCAGGCTTCAGAACCAGCCTGCAGTGGCCTCGGTATTTACGCATCCAATCGAGATTGAAGGGTTCCAGGTCCTCGGCAGTGGCTCCATCGGTGACGGCGTCGATGACGGCGGCTTCACTGCCCAGCACCTTCTTAAAGTGAGCGACATGGTCAGGGGTGAGTTCTGAGAATCTTGGGTCTCTCTTTATTTCGGGATACGAGTCGGTCGTAAACTTCCCGTGTCCTGCAGCGGAGGGCCTGAAGTGCCTCGGTACCGTGGTGGTGATGCGGCGCGCAGCAGCAGCAGCAACAGAGAAAGACAAAGGACTCGGCCGTGAGAGAGCCGCCGACACGCCGGCCTTCTCCGCCCTCGTCAAGGCGCGTGTGAGTCGGGACCGAGACGCCATCTTTGGAACGGTCGAGCTTGCTGGAAACACACAGTTCAGAACTGCAGGTTCAGGGAGGATGGACGTGGCCCGGCAGCCAGATATACACACTTATAAGCCGGCGGCGTCGTCTACTTTTCCCTTCCGATCCGCCACTGGGGCCGACCGGCAGACGAATTCCAAATTTGCGCGGGACGGAACATAGGGCGTGGGCCTGAGGGTGGGGGTGGGATGCTGCCGTGCCTACACAGTACTTGGGCAGGTACACAGTAGGCAGGTCGCAAGGCAGGCATGTACCCAGGTACCTGATGCTCGGCCCACCTCACAGCCAATTGGAGCTAACAGCACCCCTGGCGGTTGGCAGCTGTGGTTCAGCGTGGGAGCGCGAAGCTTCGTCGTCAGAGCTGCAGCCTGCCTACGCAGTTACTGTGCCTACCTCGACCGCTGCCATCGCCATCACCACCCCCCAAACAGAGCTCCCTCATCGACATCAACGCGCCCCACCCGACGATTCCAAGCGCATCTGCCCCCCTCAATCGAAAATCCTCATCCACCCAACCCGAGTGTAGACAGCAGCTTTGGTTGTCCGACAAGATGGCTTCAGGATACGACAGAGCTCTTTCAGGTAAGCAACCCATGAGCTGCGTGCATCTGTTCGTTCTACAATGCTGATCCGACCGCGCTTCTAGTCTTCAGGTCTGCCCATCCCCTCGGTCCAAGAAGCCCCGTGTCAAACCATACTCACATACCACAGTCCTGATGGACACGTCTTCCAGGTCGAATATGCTGGAGAAGCCGTCAAGAGAGGTGCGCATCACCACTGCTTCCGTGCATAACCTAGCCAGTGCCGCGAGGCTGACTGACAGCCGCCAACAGGAACCTGTGCGGTTGGTGTCAAGGGGGCGGACATCGTCGTTCTGGGATGCGAGAAACGGTCCGCAATGAAGCTGCAGGACACCAGGATCACACCGTCCAAGATCGGCCTCATCGACACCCACGTTTGCCTCGCTTTCGCCGGACTGAACGCAGACGCAAGAATCCTTGTCGACAAGGCCCGTCTGGAGGCACAATCTCACCGCCTGAACTTGGAGGACCCGGTCACTATCGACTACATCACCAAGCACGTTGCAGGCGTCCAGCAGAGATACACCCAGAGAGGTGGTGTCCGACCGTTCGGCATCAGCACCCTGATAGTCGGATTCGACCACGGCAGCAAGGTCCCAAGGCTGTACCAGACAGAGCCATCCGGAATCTACTCCGCATGGTGCGTTACCTCAGTTGGTTCTCCTCGGTGAGGATGAGTTGGAGCTGACAACGAGGTACAGGAAAGCAAATGCCATCGGTAGGTCTAGCAAGACAGTGCGAGAGTTCCTTGAGCGAAACTACAAGGAGGACATGGACCGTGAGGCCACGATACGGTTGGCCATCAAATCGCTGCTGGAGGTTGTGCAGACAGGCGCCAAGAACATCGAGATCGCCATCATGGCGCCGGGCAAGACGATCGAGATGCTGCCCACGGAAGATATCGAGAACTACGTCAAGAACATCGAGCAAGAGAAGCAAGAGGAGGCCGCTAAGAAGAAGGGGGCGCGGACAACCGGTGCAGGAAGCTCGTCGATCCCCACGCGCGCTGCAGGCGAGGAGTAGACTCTCATGGCCCCCACGGATTCAGAGGTCATAGTGGGTGGGTCCAGGAGCCAAACAGGGCGGATGAACAACTCCATGGAAGCCAGGCCAGACGGCCTGAGCGAAGCTATGGTGTTGGCTGGGACATCTAGACTCCGCGGAGAAAATGATAGACGATAACGAATCCCGCTTTTGGCATTGTACAGTACGAGCTCATGACCTGGCGCGTTCAGGCGCCTTGTAATATCATTCCCTAGACGCCGATGCTTAATGGACTTGCAATACCTGAGCCATGTGCCCTTTGTGCGCGGTGCATGCTCAGCCCAACTTGTCGGCGTCTTCATCCGGGTCGAATATGAGCTCCTCGAGCATCTTCTGACGCTTTTGCTGGAGCCGCTCGTCTCTTATCATGCGGCTATCGACCCGGGCGTCCTCACCCTCGACCTTGAGCTCGGGCTTAGGTGTCACGGCATCGAGGACGAAGTGGTTATCGCAGTGCGGGCAGTACTCGTCTGCTTCCTCAAACTCCTTGACGTCCTTGCGGAAACATTTCTTGCACTTCTTGCATGCGAAGGTCATCTCAAGCCGCTCCTTCAGGGGGTGGTTCTCTTGCTCCGCATGACACTCAACACAGTCGAACCATCTTTGGCCTATCTCATGGCCATCTGGCGGTCAGTATTTGTTCTTTGTGGCCCCATTTGGGTGGTAAAAAGGACGTCATCATTGACGGACGTACAGCACGGTGACCGGACGGAGACTTGGGCGTTCAGGATGTGCTTGCTTTGTTGCTGTCAGCCACGCTCAGGAGTTGCTAAGGGTCTTGTTCACCGTGTCATGAGCCTGTGCTTACCACATGTTGTTCAAATGTAGTGTAATCCAAAGAATGACAGAGGTGGGTAATTAGAGCCTCGCGGTGTAGAGCGACTGACTGTGCTGCTGCATCAGCATCTGCTAGTCGATTTCTAAGGATGTCGCGTCACGTCCGATCATGGGTAATAATTAACGGCCGGCCCCACCGTGGAGCTAGTGACAGGGGGCGAAAGCTGCCTAGCTTATCGATTAGCCCGCCGCCTTCCAGAGGGAAACTCGACGTCGCCGTCACCGTCTTCCCACGCTTTGAAACCCGTCCCCTACGTCTCGTCAACGGTGATCACGCCAGGCCCCCGGTGCAACGCAACACCTGCGCCGAGTTCTTGCCGAACCTTTGCACTCCGCGCCCTGCGATGACCCGTTCTCTTCGAGTGCTCAACATTTGAAAGCGCTCCCCCACGCCCACGATGGCCCCAAAGCGCAAGGCGATTCCCTCGGGCAAGGGCACGGTCAAGGCTGGCCGGTCCTCCAAGGTCTCAACCCCAGGACCTGCCACGCCTCGTAGCACGGGGAGCTCAGAACCAGAGCCGGAAATAGAAGAAGACGATGACGAGCTCGATGAGGGGATCCAGCGCAACGTAGACTACTTCGACCTCAACAATGAAGAGTACAAGTACCGCGAGCCGCCTGCCTTCGTCGACATGGCCTCCAAGTTCTTTGGCGCCCAGCACGAACGCGACTTCACTAGGATGAAGATGAAGCCCGATCACCAAAATAGGCCTGTGTGGATCCAAGGCGACTTCAAGGTCGTGCTTGAAAGCTTCCACCCACTCGCGCCACAGGCGCAAGACTTCCTCATCACGATCGCCGAACCCTTGTCGAGACCGACGTTTCTGCACGAGTATAAGCTCACTACACACAGCCTTTATGCCGCCGTCTCTGTTGGCCTGAACCCGAACGACATAGAAAACACCCTCGATCGTTTCTCAAAGACGCCAGTTCCCGACAACATCAAAAAGTTCATCAAGAACTGTGGTAGGGCTTATGGCAAGGTGAAGCTTGTGTTGCGGAACAACAAGTACTACGTTGAGACCACAGACGCCGAAGTCCTGCAGTTGCTTCTCAAGGACCCCATAATTGGTGGGCAGTGCCGAGTACACGGCGCTGAAGAAGTCACGACAAGTGCTCCCAAGATGTCAGGACTGGCCATTGCTGGGACCAAGGAAGCCGCCGGCGTGCGCGAGGCCGAGGGCTTGAACAACAACAAGGTCAATGCTGGTCAGGCTGGCCAAGGCCCGACGGCCCAGGACGTGTACACCGCACTGAACGATGATGACGACGAGGAAGATGCAGATGTAGTCCATGCGTTCCAGATCCAGGACGAGAAGGTCGGCGAGGTCGCCAAGCAGTGCCTGGAATTGCGCTATCCCGCTCTGGAGGAGTACGATTTCCGAAATGACAACGCCAACGCCAATCTGGAGATCGACTTGCAGCCGGCGACGCAGATTCGTCCGTACCAGGAGAAAAGCCTTAGCAAGATGTTCGGTAACGGTCGTGCGAAGAGTGGTATAATTGTGCTGCCCTGTGGGGCAGGCAAGACACTGGTTGGTATCACGGCTGCTTGCACGATCAAGAAGGGCATTATCGTCCTGGCCACTAGCAACATGTCTGTGATCCAGTGGAGGAATGAGTTCATCAAGTGGTCGAACATCAACCCTGATGATATTGCCATCTTCTCCTCGGACAACAAGGAAGTGTTCACCGGCAACACCGGCGTCATCGTCACGACCTACTCCATGGTGAGCAACTCGCGAGAGCGAGCTCACGAGTCAGCCAAGATGATGAAGTTCCTTCAAAGCCGTGAATGGGGCTTGATGCTCCTTGATGAAGTGCATGTCGTCCCTGCAAACATGTTCCGCAAAGTCACTGGTGCTATCAAGGCTCACTCCAAATTGGGTCTCACGGCGACACTGCTGCGAGAAGACAACAAGATCGAGGATTTGAACTTCCTGATTGGGCCCAAGTTGTACGAGGCCAACTGGATGGAGCTGTCACAGCAAGGTCATATCGCAAGAGTGCAGTGTGCCGAGGTTTGGTGTACCATGACGACGGAGTTTTACGATCAGTATCTCGCAGCACCTTCGCGCAAGAGATCGCTCTTCTACGTCATGAACCCTAGCAAGATTCAGGCGTGCCAGTATCTCATCAAGTACCACGAAGAGCGAGGCGACAAGATCATTGTCTTCTCGGACGACATCTACGCCCTGGAGTTTTATGCGAAGAGGTTGATGAAGCCGTATCTCCACGGCGGCACCAGCAACTCTGAGAGACAGACTATCTTGCAGCTGTTTCGAGACTCGCCTTCAACCAACACCATCTTCCTCTCCAAGATTGGTGATACGTCCCTCGATCTCCCAGAGGCGACATGCCTCATCCAGATTTCGGCACAGTACGGGTCCCGACGCCAGGAAGCTCAGCGCCTTGGCCGAATCCTGCGAGCCAAGCGACGAAACGACGAGGGCTTCAACGCCTTCTTCTACTCGCTTGTCTCCAAGGACACACAAGAGATGTATTTCTCGTCAAAGAGGCAGGCGTTCCTGGTCGACCAAGGCTATGCCTTCAAGGTGATCACACATCTGCACAACATCGAAAAGACGCCAGACCTAGCGTTCGCGACGGCGCAGGACCGGAAGGAGCTCTTGACCAAACTTCTGATCGACCTCGAGAAATCTGCGGCTGTCTACGACAGGGAGGAGAGCGGGCTGGCGGCGGAGGGCAACATGTTCTACGGACCGGACGGCAAGCCGCTCCGGCACACGGGCAAGAAGAAGAACTACGTCAGGAGGACGGCGGGCGCGCTGAGCGACCTGAGTGGTGGGCAGGACATGGCGTACGTTGAGCAGAACAAGAGCGCGAACAGGTCCATGACCAAGAAGAAGAAGGGCCCGCAAAGCGACTTCTTCAAGAAGATTGCGAGGGACAACGAGAGGCGGAGGAAGGCGGCGCAAGAGTGAGAGGCCATGGAGGCCTGCAGACCAGTGCGCCCTGTTCCGGGGCATATTCAAGCATGTGGCGTTTTGGATGGATTATGCACCGGTATAGAACCGGTGTGATTGTTTTTTGTAAGTTTACTGCGTCACAGGCGGCCGAAGCCTATTCACGGCGGCACATGGCGGCTTTGCAATGGGGATCCTAAATTGATACCTACTCAAATGCGAGGATTGATTCTTGGGAAGCGCGCTTGAAGAGAAATGTCGATCAGGGCTGTCTTCCCAAAGCACCTGCAGGCAGACTTGAACCATCATGGCATGGGCATCGCGCTGAGTGCCCGCTCACGGGCGAATGCAGCCGTCCGTCCATCCGCGCGCCCAGCGGTTCGGTATGTTTGCTGCCAGTGGAGCGGTTAGCTCGCCAGAACTTCCGCTGGCGAAGCATGTGGCTTCGATGGACCATGTTGACAGATGCTCTGCATCCATAGGCCGCTGATCGACAGTCGACGGCGAGAGGGCGTGTTGTCTTCCGGGTCGTTATCTGCGGTTGTTCTAGGGACATGAGATGTCACCTGCGGATGGCACCACTTTTATGATAGGTATTCTGCAGGGTGCCGGCCTGGCTCCCACACCCTCCCAAACTTATTTGCCCGAGTCTTGCTCGCGGCCCATTGCTTGGAGGGCCGCCCCAAGCCGCCCCAGGCAATGGCAGAATGGCTGTCCTTGAACTGGCCAGACTCTGGCAGCGGTATTTGATACATGGTGGCAGGGCGGCAGTGCGGGCATTAGCTTGGTTCGCGTGGCAAAGTCAAAAGCCCTGATTAGGCGGGACCGGGGAAATGCAGGAGTGCTGCCAGGCCGCCAGCCGCATAGGCCAAGTCCTGGTAGTGGGTCACGACACTGAGAGTCAATGTGTGGGCTTCGCTGTAGTCTCGGCCCCAGTTCATGGGTCTCCCTTGGAGCGGGCACAGTCGGTACTGTAGGTCGAACAGGGGGCAGCAGCAGGAGAACCGCTGGCTTGGTACGGGGCCCTGACAGGTTCGCTGGCAAGTCCGTCAGTACTGTGTAGTCAGTCAGTCAGTCAGTCAGTCATTCGGCAAGGTGGCAGCAACGGGTGGTCGAGTGATGAGTGAGTGAGGTTGAGTTTGTGTTGCCTTGCATGTATGGGTCATAGTCAGCGCAGTGCTGCTGTTGCAACCAACGATCGAACGAACGAACGAACAAACGAAGCTCTCGACGTGGCCCTGGCTCGGCTCACCGGGCGGTGTGTGGTTCGTGATGGGATTTTTTTTTCTCGCCCTCTTCTTATTTTAAGATTGACCGGTGGGAATCTGGTCCAGGACCACAAGTCAGAAGGTTCCATGCTGCGGTCTAGAGGTGCCTTAGTCGTTGTTCCCGGGAACGAGATTGAAAAAGGGGCCAGTGTCCTGATTCCAGACTCGGCCGGTTTATTTTCACACTGGCAATCTGCAACAATTTTTATGCTGTGCCGCAAAGCCAGTAGTTGTTCGTCTTGTCTTCAGCCCGGCCCAGCCCACTTGTTCCCTCACATCTGCTCCACAGCCTGCCCTGACGATTGACTCCGCGTGGCGACGACGGTCTGCGGACTGGGCCGAGCTGGCACTGACTGACGGTGGTGCTGGCGTTGGTCGCGGCAGGAGAAAAGGGAAGAGTCGCGACGAGTAGTGCCGTGCTATAATAATAACACACACAAACCAACCTTACCCTGATACGACCCTGCAATTGTCGCTGTCGTCATCCGACCATTTCTCTACCAACGCCCCGGGATCCTCGTCTCCTCACAACAATGCCTGCCATCGTCTCCTCGAGCCGCTAGACGCCCGCCACGGGGGGCCTGAAGCTGCTCGCTATCCAGCAGATCGAAACACACAAGCCACATCCTTATGCCCAACGTCATCCCGCCATCCGTCCAAGCCGGCCAGAGGAACAACAACCTCCAGCCCATCAGCCGACCGCGACTCCAGCGCAACCTCTCTGGCTGTCTGGCTTACAGGGCGAGCTAAATTAAGTAAGTCAGATCCAGCTTGGCGCCCGGTGGTATAGCAGTCACTGCCTGGCAACCTGGGTAGCGCCTGCTCCTTCCTCCAAGGGGCCTGCACCACTGCAGCCAGCCAGCGCCCCCAAACATTCAACTACTGCGCCTAGGCCGTGCGACCTTGGCCCAGACGTCTCATTGCGCCTTCCACCATCCCATGACAGTCTGCACTCGTCGACCAACCTAGCCTGTGCTGCACAGCGCATTTCTCGCTTCCCGGGCCACATCTCGCATACTCGCCATACCGTGTCACTCGACCGCCGCCAGCCTACTCACGCATCCCCGGGCCTCGTCTTATATTATCCTTTTCCTTCTCACCAGCTCAGGCTCCAGGGACTGGACTGCACCAGTGCGGATCCAAAAAAAAAAAAGAAGACATCTGCCAAGCCTCGCGACAATGATTCTTTGTACTCCGAGACCCCAGGGCAGCTATTCCGCAGTGTCCCGTCTCTGATTACATAGATATCACCTTTTTCATTTTTTTGCTCCCTCCTCCCGCAGGTCGCCGCGCCTTGCGGTTACTCGTCATCTGGTGGTCAAGTGGAGCCCGCCCATCATGGTTTCACCCGTCTTCAGCATATTCTGGGACCAGCTCAAATCCCTCAAGCCGTCCTTTGTCTCCAAGAAGCCCCATTTCAACTTCATTACTGTTCATTGTAAGTCACATCTCATGCCAAGACTGACCGCCTGTATAACTGACCTGGCTGTGCAGACTTCTGGGTCATAGGACTGTCCATTCTCGCATCCGTTGTCATCTATGGCACTGCCGCAGGGGAACTCGCATATATAGATGCGCTCTTCTTCGCCGTCGGCGCAAACACGCAGGCCGGCTTGAACCCCGTCGACGTGAACAAGCTGAACACATGCCAGCAGGTCATCATCACCCTGTGTTCCATGGCCTCGAGCCCCATCACCATCAACTCATTTGTTGTGTTCCTACGCCTTTTCTGGTTCGAGAAGAAGTTCCAGAATATTGTGAGGGAGGCGCGGAATCGCAGGACCACCATCTCAAAGTCAAAGTCCACAGCACAGCCAGAGCAGCAGACTCGGCCGCAAAATGGTGTTAATGGCCGCCACATTACCGTCATGCACAATGGCATTAGGACGAGGATGACGAATGATGGCATCGTCCTAGATAACACGTACAAGCCTTCGGATGGCAGCAGTTCGGGCGTCAGTCCTGACGAGACACCCCCAGGGCAGGGTTCCGGTCCAGCAGTGACCGACAGTCCCGGCCCGGGTATCCGGTTTGCAGGGACCGTCAAGAGAAGCGATGGCGTCGAGGACGACCAGCTCAAGTACCCACGGAAACGGACACAGGAGGAGCACATTGCTATCCTCGAACGCCAACGGAATAACAACAATGACGAGATCCTCCGGATACCCGGGCCAATGGATGTCGAGAGGGGACTACGTCCCAGCAGGATAGAGGAGGACTCCGACGAGCAAGACCCGCCCCTGTCGCCCGGGGCCCGGGTCAACAGCACGGGTGATGCGGACAGGTCAGCACGTCCCAAGGGAATAACAATCCAGGAGCCGGCTGCGAAGGAACCCAAGCACAACAGCACCATGGATGACATAAACGACGACGCGAGGGCTTTCATCAACGTGCTCACCCCATTCAGGCTCCGAAAGCCCCGTTTCTTCAGCAAGGACGATGATAAGCTCCATCATGACAGCGATGCCCCGTTCTCCAAGATAAAGAGACGCCAGACCCTCGACACGATCAGAAACGCCCTCACCAGGGACAAGGAACAGGACGAGGCGCCTTACCTGAGCTGGCAGCCTACCCTCGGCCGCAACTCGCAATTCCATGACCTGACCGAGGACCAGAGGGAGGAGCTGGGCGGCATCGAGTACAGATCCCTCAAGACCCTCTCATTGATACTTACCATGTACTTCTGGGGATTTTGGATCCTGGCGGTAATCTGCCTGACCCCTTGGATTATCAACTCATCTTATTATGGCTCAATCGTGGATAATGCCGGCCAGTCGAGGGCGTGGTGGGGCATCTTCACCGGCAGTTCTGCCTTCATGGATCTGGGCTTTACCTTGACCCCCGACAGCATGAATTCCTTCAACACAGCAGTCTTTCCGCTCTTGGTTATGAGTTTCTTCATCGTCATTGGGAACACGGGATTCCCTGTGATGCTCCGGTTCATAATTTGGGTCACGAACCTCTGGGTGCCTCGCCATTCCGGCCTGTGGGAAGAGCTCCGGTTCCTCTTGGACCATCCTCGTCGATGCTTTACTTTGCTGTTTCCCGCAGCGGCGACATGGTGGCTCTTTTGGCTATTGGTCATACTGAACGGGATCGACTTGATCTTTTTTATTATACTAGATGTGAGTACAGTTCCCGACACCCGAGCCCGTTGGTTGCGCATAACTAAATGATATCTTCGCAGCTCGGCAGCGGACCAATCGCAGAGCTGTCTCCTGGCATCAAAATCCTTGACGGCCTCTTCCAGGCAGCGTCGACGAGGACGGCCGGGTTCTCGTGTGTCAACCTCAGTTATTTGCACCCCGCCGTCCAGACATCCTATCTTATCATGATGTATATCTCTGTCTTTCCCATTGCCATCTCTGTCCGTCGCACCAACGTCTACGAGGAGAAATCACTCGGCATATACCAAGACACCACTGGCGAGGATGACGAGGGCACGCACGCCAATTCTTTCAGCTATGTCGGCGCCCATTTGCGGCGCCAACTCTCCTTCGACTTGTGGTTTATCTTCATTGGCTTCTTCATCCTGTCGATATCGGAGGGCAGTCGGCTGTCGAGCAATGACTTCTCCATGTTCGCTGTCCTCTTCGAGATAGTGAGCGCGTACGGCACCGTCGGCCTCAGCCTGGGGTACACCAACGTCAACGCCTCACTGTCGTCCCAGTTCACGGTCGTGGGCAAACTGGTCATCATTGCAATGCAGATCCGAGGCCGCCACCGTGGCTTGCCGTACGGCCTCGACCGCGCCGTCCTCCTCCCGAGCGAATCCCGGTTCCGTAACGAGGCCGAGGAGCCGCCGCTGACGGGCATGAGGACCCGGACGATGCCCAGAAGGGCCTCGGTCGTGTCAGTTGCGACAGATGGCAGAAGTCTCAACCGCGGGCGCACCAGGAGCATAGACAACCGGGTTGACCGTGTCAACTCCAACGTGATCTCTCAGCTTCTGCAGATAGGCCCCGCCATACCACACCATGACACGAGCCTCAGGAGGGTAACGTCGGACCCGACAGTGGATCACCCGGGAGCTACCCTCGGGCCGGCATTTGAGCCTTACATGAGCATGCCGCGCCGGTCAGAGACGTACTCAATGTCGAGGCGGTCAATAAACAACGCGACGCTGGCAAGGGACAGGGAAAGGGAAAGGGAAAGGGAAGAGGTCTAAAGACCGAGTACCTGCTGTTGTTTTCATACTCTACTTCTACTACCTGGGAGGCTTCCTCGCCTCCCCTACTCCACCTTTTGAAAAGGGATCTACCAAGAAGAGGGAACCCGCGAGGTTTGTTTCATGCATGGGAGGCGCACATATACAGCGATAGAAGACAAGAGGAAGAGAGGTACATACCTTGGTTTACGGTTCGGCGGTCGTCCTTTCTCACACTGGGATACTCTTGTACTACAACACGGGGCGTTTCTTTCCGGGGGTGGGGGCTGTTTTCGTCTCAGTGGTGCGGGAAAACAAGCAGGCATCTTTTTTGGCTTTTCATTGTACCATACATTTTGTACCGTCATCATTGCGCCTGTGCTTGTTGAGAAAGCACTCGTTCTAGCCAGATGGTAAAATACATGCATAAACTCGAAACGGCAAAAGCCTGGGTGAGTGGTCCGGGATTCGCCCACGCATATTGGTATAGGTGTTGGTTCGAGACCACCAGCAAACCATGAGGCTTGCTCACCCGAGTATTCGTGCACCAGATGTGAGCTAGCCCCGTGTCTATAGAACAAAATCCTCGCAAGGTGTGCATATGGAGGAGACGTGTGGGTTCCATCTCTGCCCTGCTCACGGCACCAAACAACGTCCCGTTGCCTCGCCGCTCTAAAACTCGACCCGCTTCTTCTGCTTCCTCTTGCCCTTGCCGGCAGCACTGGCAAAGACATTCCTGCTGCGCCGCCACTCGCGGACGTGGTGCTCGACGCTGCCCACGTCGTGCTTGGGCTGGCGCAGGTACGTGAGGCGCGCCCTCCGCATCCTCCTCGACCGCCTCTTGATGATCTCGATGCCCGTGACGTTGCGGCTGTAGATCTTGAAGGACATCTCGACGCCGGTCTTGGCCAGCTGGCCGCGCAGCAGCAGGCTGGACTCGATGCCCCGCCGCCGGACGCTCATCAGCACGCCGGCGAAGGGCTCGGCGGCCCGTTTCGTGGTCACTAGCAGGATGTCGCCTACGCGGGCGCTGTCCGGGTTCTCCTTGCTGAAGAGCCGCGTCCGGGCGCCCGAGGGGTCCATCTTGCGGATCTGGTAGGCGTGGTGGGCGTCGACCGGGTTCACCGGCGGGGGGCGCAGGTGCGGGTGTGTAAGCTTCAGCGAGGGGATCACGTTCGACTGGGAGGTGTAGACCGCGAAGCCGGTGCGCAGCTTGTCGGGGGTGTGCTTGTCCTGGATCGGGACTGTTTTCGCCCGGGTGGGAGGGACTGGTCAGTCTCTGCGGTGGTGTCATGGGTCGGGCCGACGCGCATGGGAGGAGGAAGAGGAGGAGGAGGAGGAGGAGGAGGACCTACAGAATGCCGGGGCGGCTGTCTTTGGTGCTGGGGGCATCTCTCGCGGCAGCTGGGCCTTGCTGAGGCGGAATGACCTGTTCTGTTGTCTCGAGTGCCGAAGCACCGTCTTCAGGCAGCCCAGGGGCCGCCGTATGGGTAATGAGTTCATGATGGGCCGGGGCGTGGGTTTATGACGGCGGCGAGGGCGGAGGGTGCCACATGTGCCGGTGGTGGACTATCAGTTGTCTTCCTCAAATTCTTGGGACTACGAAGTTCGCGCAGGGGTGTTGCGGGTAGCTAGCAATTGCCGGTGCTGATTGGACGGCTGCGGGCCCAAGAAGTGGGTTTTTTGGGGTGCTCAATGCTCACGTACCAAAGTGCCTGTGTAATTCTGCTGTGAATGGCTTGGCAGCTGCTTGGGTAACCTTTTTGACCTGTTGCGATCAGCAGGCCGCGGACACGCTTGCACCAAGCTGCACCGCGCTCCCACAACAACCACAGCAGCCATGTCCAACAACTCCATACGGCCTGCCTTCAGGGCGGGTCGGGCTGCCCTCGGGGCCTCGATACGAGCTGCACCGCCGTCGCAGCAGTCCAGATGCTTCTCGGCCTCGACACCACGGCCAGCCGGCAATGTCATCACCTTCTCCAAGACGTCCAACGCCGAGCTCGACAACCTTCTGCACGAGATGCAGCAGAAGATCATCCTCCCCAGTGTGCTGCCCCTCCACCAGAGGAAAAAGATCTTCCGCGAGCGCTACAAGGAGAAGCTGGAGCTGGAGCCCATCGAGATCGAGATCGACGGGAAGCGCATCAAGTTCCGGTACCTCGACTTCAGGAAAGGCGAGGTGCCCACCACGCGCAAGATCTTCTTCCAGGCCCTCGAGAACATGAAGACCAAGGAAGACTGGCAGAAGCTGCCCAAGCTGCTCGAGGCGCTGCACCACAACGCGCGCCGCAAGTTCGAGGTCTCGGACTGGCCCAAGATCGTGAGGAAGGCCGGCGCCAGCGGAAACCTGGGCCCCGTGATCGAGGCCGTCAAGAGGCCCGAGAGGACGGGCTTCAAGCTGGACATGTCGGAGAAGGTCCAGGAGATCATGAGCTGGATCGTGTGGGAGGCCGCCGAGGCCGGGTGGACCGTCTCGTCGCTGAACACGGCGCTCAAGTCGGCCGAGAGGGTACTGGAGGCCCTGAACGGGGAGGGCCACGAGCTGCACACCAAGGACAAGGAGCGCGCGGAGCTGATCGGCGGCCGGTTCCCCCTGAGGAGGGACCCGCAGGTCTTGGCCACGCCGCTGTTCCTCGCAGCCATGCTCGCGGTCAAGCACGGCAAGACCGAGTACGCCGACAAGATGCGCAGGTACGCGCAGGTCATCGTGGAACAGTGGCCGGAGGGCAAGGGCCTGCTGGATCTGCACCCTCACGAGGCATATGTGGACGTGGAGGGCATGCATTACATGATGGAGAAGAACAAGTTTACGATCGTGGCGTCACCAATCCTCAAGGGCTTCGACCTGGCGATCGAGGGACTGAGCAGCGACCTTGCGAGCCAGATCAAGCTGCGCAGGGACCCACTAGCCGTGGAGGTGGAGGATGCTCTTGGGGCGGAAAAGTCGCAGAACGGGCGAGGGAAGTACTTGTATGAGAAGTGCTTCCTCGAGCCCAGCAAGGCGCAGAAGAAGACCGGGGCCAAGGCACAGGCTAAGGAAGAGGCAGAAGGCGCAACAGCGGCCTGATGATATGTACAGCTTGTGAATATTGTATCTATCAACCAACCAAGAGTCTCGGGCCTATCATGGCAAGACAATGTACTTCTCCAGATGCTTGGGGATGGACCCTATCAGCTTCTTCTCCGTCAGCCACTTCCTCGAGAACAAGCGGTCCTGGTATCTGTAGGCGCCATCGCACAGCATGGTGACGACGGTGTGGCCCTTGCCCAGCTTCTCTGCCGCCTTCTGGGCAGCCACGACGTTCAGGGTGGAGCTGGCACCCAGGTAGAGACCCTCCTCGTCCAGGCAGCGGTAGACCATCTCGATGGTCTCCTCGTCGGGGATGTGCAGGGAGTCGTCCACCAGGCCAATGTCGGGCTTCAGGTTGTCTGTGATGCGGCCCTGGCCGATGCCCTCGGTGATGCTGGAGCCGGTCCTCTCGACCAGCTTGCCGCCGGACTGGACGTAGGAGTGCAGCACGCTGCCCGGGGGGTCGGCGAGGAAGCACTTGACCCTGCCGCCGCTGACGTCCTTGAGGTAGCGGGTGACGCCGGCAAAGGTGCCGGCGGTGCCGGTGGCGCAGGTGAAGGCGTCGACCTTGCCCCCGGTCTGGGCCCAGATCTCGGGGCCGGTGGTCTCGATGTGGGCCTGGCGGTTGGCGGTGTTGTCGAACTGGTTGGTCCAGACGGCGTTGTCGAGGCGCTCGGCGTGGCGGCGGGCCTGGTGGTTGTAGTTGTCCGGGTTGTCGAAGGCGACGGCGGGGACGGGGTAGACCTCGGCGCCCAGCAGGCGCAGCAGGTCGATCTTGCCCTGGGACTGCGTGTTGGGCATGTAGATGACGAGGCGGTAGCCCAGCGACCGGCACACGTGCGCCAGGCCGATGCCCGTGTTGCCGGCGGTGCCCTCGACGACGGTGCCGCCGGGCCTGAGCAGGCCCTTGCGCTCGGCATCCCGCACCACGAACAGCGCCGCGCGGTCCTTGACCGACCCGCCTGGGTTCATGAACTCGGCCTTGCCGAGAACCTCGCACCCGGTCCGCTCCGAGATCTTGTTCAGGCGGATCAGCGGGGTGTTTCCGATGGCTGCCGAGGGTGTTAGTATCCGTGGTCCGTCACACAAGGCCGACGGGCTGGCTGCCTGTGGTGAGAAGCGCGCGTACCTCCAGTCAGGCCCTTGGCGATGCCTTGAGCGCTCGCGATGCCCATCTTGGGCGTCGAGGCCTCGGCCATGCGCAGGGCGCTGGTCGCAAAGGACCGAACACTTTGCCGTATCATCCTGGCGGTGTGGTTCTGGAGGGCTGGGTTCCAATTGCCTGTTGTTCGAGCGAGGAAGAAGCTGTCGCCGCGAGGCCGAAAAGATTCCCTGACAAAGCACACTGCTTGGCCCTCGCAACCGTAGCGGGGCCGATCACGGCACCGGCCGCACCAAAGTTACGGGCCCATGCAGCCGAGCGCGTCAACCGAAACCCTGGATCAAGTGCTTAACTAAGTACCTAGGTACCTAGGTACCTAGGCAGGAATGAACTTTGAACTTTGAACTTGGACAATTCAAATGCAGAAGCTGGCACTTCACTAAAATTATATTCACCCTCCCGTCATCATCGCTCCTTTTCTATACCCGCGGTCCTCTAGACCATCACACCATCATGACAGCAACAACTATCAACACACTCACATGCGATAAAATTAAAAAAGGAAGAAAGAAAAAAACAACATTTTTCAAGTTGTGCAGTAGTCATGCAAGCTTCATTTTCGAGAGAGATTTAAGTTTGTGTGCTTTGCTGTCCCCATTCGTATTCGCAGGTCGATCCTCTCCCCGATGGCACATGCATCTCGGCACGACGTAAATCTAAGGCGGCATTGACTCAGTTTGCGTGAACAAGTTGGGCTGTCTGCCCGTCCGAATATCAGTGCCGATGAAAAAATCTCCAGGCTGGCTTGTGCGGCTGAGTCTAATGGCTATGGTGTACTTCTCATGATCCTCTCATTTTTTCTGGACCTCCGAGTTTGACTGTCAGAAAACCGCTTGGTGAGATCATGCTTGCTTTCGCATGGGTTCTAAAGATTGATGGCATTTCCTACTGAATTCTAAACTGGAAGGGTGGAATATACTTGTGTGATGCTGGCGACTCTATTCCTGCATGTTTCTGGCTGCCCAGGTGGCTAATTACAAAGCGGTCCTCGCCTGAGCTTGACCATGTCTGTCTCTTAAATCCATGCAAGCCCCTCAAACCGGAACCGTGAGACGCATTTGGTGGTGATAGGGAAGGCACGACGCTCGTTCACATGTATATGTGCTTTACGGGTGGTTCAGCCATCTATTTGGGAAGGCGTTGCTCGCGAGACATCAGCTGTGCTACAGATGACTTGGGGTCACACACTTGCCATGGATTTGCGCCATCCATCATGAGACACGAACACGACCCATGAACCACAGGGTCGGCCATCAAGCCCAGCTCTCGATGAAGCCGTCGCACGGGGCCCAGGGCAGGGCTCGGCTGGGTCACCAGTCCGTGTTGCACAAGAAGCGCTTCTGGCAGCCAGCCGATCAGGGTGGCCCTCATCATGATCCAAACCATTCCGGTTTCTGCCTTCGCAACCTGGAGACAAGCCTTTCTCGGGCAATGCGCCTGCACCGTCGATACTCCTCATCCGAAGAGAGCGCGCCGCAGTCGAGACGCGTTCGCGTGGTGGACCCAACAGAGGTGAATCGCCAGCTTCTATATCCTTGAATATATCCATTGGCCCTTGTTGACGCGCTTCCTGGGCAGGATATACAGTTCCGGGAAGTGATCCTCCCAAGATCTGAGTCCTACGACGGCAGCACCGAACAAACTGGTGAGCCTTTGATCTCTGACGCTGCCCTTGCTTTTTACAAGGTTGGCACTCGAACTGATTGGTGGCCATATTAGCCACATTGCCCAGAGTATCGACGAATGAATCGTTTGCGTCAAGGAGCAGTGAGGCCAGCGTGTGGATCAGTGACACTGGATGGTCCGTATCTCTTCGTCATTGTCCTCCAATATCGAGGATACCTAGGGACGTCACTTGAGCGGCACTCGTGGGAAGGGAAACCAAGACAGCATCGCGCGGCCATTTCTAACAGACTACTTAGGAACATCTCAAAGCTTCTCGGGTTATCTGATAATATTCGTGCTGCCTTGTCTCAAGGCAGGACGCTCACACTGCTTGAGTTGGATGAGTTGGCCTTTGTCCTCGACATGATTCTAGTGGACGAAATCGATGGCAATGGAGCTTCAAAGACTCCAGCAACGAGCCTTACCAGCCATGCAATCACATTCTCAGTCATTCAAAACACTCGGCTTGACAAACTTCTTACCGACATCATCCGCGTGTACGAGAACGACAGCATGACGAGACCGCGTATCGCAGAGGTGGGACTAGGCTCCGAGGTGGAAAAGGTGCAGAGCCTGCAGAAATACTGGCGCGCCCGCTTCAGATCAGAATACTTCGCACTGGACCAATACAGACTGGATAGCCTTTTTGCTCACGCCCTTCGGGATGTTTCGTTCTCTGCAATAGCTTCCGATGGCCTAGGCATATGGTCACCTAAGGAGCCGCTCGCACACGAGCTCTCAGAAGCCGAGGTGACCTTACACTACACACCTGGAACGTAAGTACCTTACCTGCCGTGTGAATCCTACGATTTCAAAGACCCAAGAACTAATCGCCCGCCTGTGTAGCTGGTGGCTCAATCTCGGGTGCGCACACCGAGATGGCATTGTTGGTGCTGCTCTTCAGAGACCGACCAAGGGTCGATACGGCGTTGCCGCACTTCCACTTTTGACAGGCAGTGAGGAGAGATTGCCAGACGGGAGGATGGAGTATTGCCGCCGCGGGAAGCAGCACGAGATGCATTACAATTTGCTTACACAAGTGGGACAGAAGACCAAGGTGCTGCGGGGTTTCCGCTTGAAAAGCATGTATGCTCCTGTCGCTGGGCTTAGATACGACGGGCTGTGAGTGAACGCGGTCCCAGACCCGATTATTCAGTCTATGTACTGACACTGAAGCAGTTATATCCTCAGAAGCTGGAGCCTCAAACTCGATCAAGCAACGGACATGTACTGCATGCGGCTCATTCTGGACCGTGTGCCTGGTCAGATACCGATGAATGAGATACTCCACACCCCGAGGCCGTCGCAGCTCGACGACTGGAGCCTGTATGAGAAGTTGGAAAGAGAGCGAATCAAGCAAACACAAGGCGAGGCAAGGCTAACTGAATGGATCATTGGGCGGGACAAGGAGAGGATAGAACGAGGTCACTGGCGTCGGAGTCGTGCATTCAAGTCCGAGATGAGACTGACCAATCCCAGAGCCCCGGAGGCTGGGGGAGGCGCCCAGGATTCCCACAGGAGGAGAATATCTGATATCGACACGGACCTTATCCCCCCTTCCGAGGAGCCCGAGGCCGAAGACGAAGAGGGGGAATAATGGTGTGGACTGACAAGATCCTGTCGCGCAAAGACCCCAGCATGCTCCATTCCTATTCAGAGGGTCCATTTGAACGCTAACACCATAATTTGATTTCAGTCGGCATAGATCATTACACAGGTTCTACTCGGTCCTGGAAGAGATATCAGCCCAGGGCACCAAGACAATGACTGCGTCTCAGGTGACCATGCTGTGGTACTTCTCAAGTCACAATTGATTCACAGCATGAATAGAAATAGTCGCGTTTGTTTCAAACAATGCGTTTAGCGTTGGGGCTTTCCCTTATCAGTGATGGGACAATGAAGATCTCACAGCATACACTTGTTGTGATTAAGCCTTACAAAACTTTTCTCAAGAGTCGACCACTGATTGATTATGTGGTTTCGCTTCTTTTCCGTATACGTCCGAGGACATATATGGCGCCTTCATACGGTGCTTCCTCTTTTTCCTCCCTCTTTTTCCTCCCTCTTTTTCCTCTTTTTCCACCCTCTTTTTCCTCTTTTTCCTCCCTCCTCTTTCCCCTCCCTCTTTCCCCTCCCTCTTTCCCCTCCCTCTTCCACCTCCCTCTTCCACCTCCCTCTTCCACCTCCCCTTTTAAGTTTAACTTATATAAATTTAACTAAGCTTTAACTACACTATATTTTTCCTTTATACTATATAACTATCTTTTTATTTAATTATAAATTACTTTAAGTTAAAGTTTATATAAAAAGTTTTTAATAACTTTATATATATTTTAATATTTTTTATAAGAAAACTTTAATATTAATTATACTATATTTTTTCTTTATATTATATAATTATTTATTTCTTTTTAAAACTTATATATAAAATCTTTAATAGTTTTTTATATATTTTTATAATCTTTTATAAAGAAACTTTAAATCTTTTATTATATTTTTATATTATTAAAAAGTTAATAATTATTAATAATAAAAGTATAAATTTAAAGAAGAATAAATATTATAGTTATAAGTTAAATACTTATAAAATTAACTAATAGATTTATATATTTTATTTATTTTATAATTTTATTATAAAAATTAAAAACTATTATTTAAATAAATAAAAGTATTATATAATTAAATTAATTAATAAAAAAGATTAATATTTTTATATATATATATATATATAATTAAAATAAATAAATAGAAAAAATATTAATAAAATAAATAAATAAGTTTATAAATTATATTATTAAAAGTACCTTTTAAAACTATTAAAGTTAAATAAAACTCTTTAATTAGTTGTAATTTAACTAGAAATACTATATTAGTATACCTTTTATTTTATTCTAATATAAATCTCTAATCTCTTTATAATTTACTGAATTTCTAATTATCCAAAACCTAGTAGCAACATACCCATGCAGCTCAATTCTAGCCACCTGAACCAGTTCAAACAGGGTATCCTTTATGTCGATCTACTGAAGACGTTTCAAGACTCTCTCAGAGTTTGTAAGGCCCTGGATGTCCAATATATTTGGATTGACTCGCTCTGTATCTTACAAGACTCTGAAGAGGATTGGGCCATGTAGGGCTCCAAAATGGCCTAGATATACTCTGACTGCATTGTCACCATTGCCGCAGATGCTGCAGCAAACAGCGGAAGGGGTTTTCTACGGCGTGTGGCAGATCCAGATGAGTTCTCCGTGACCTGGAACAAATACAACGAGACTCAGGCACCTGCCCTCCCTTTTAAGGATTCCGACAAGCAGCAAGTGTATATTAGAAAATATATAGAGGTGAGCTATCTGGGAAGCTTTCCTCATCACCATGCGGGTGACGGAACGATTGATAGGGAGGATGAGCTCGGGAGCCATCTATCGAAGCGTGAATGGTGTTTTCAAGAGAGCCTCCTGCCTAATTGGGTTTTGCACTTTGCCTTTGATCACCTGAGCTGGAGTTGCGCAACCGAATCTTTCTGCGAGTGCATGTATGGAACAATGGATCCGGCTGTGGACCGATACCGCAGCCTACTTGCAGATGGATTCGAGCAAGGCTATATCATAGACCGGGCGGCTATGAAAGACGACTGGCAGCACATTGTCACGGAATATACACGACGTCGTCTGACCTTCCCTTCAGACCGACTAGCCGCCTTAGCCGGCCTTGCAGCCCGTGTCCACGCCGAATATCCTGACATCGAGTACTTAGCCGGCCTGTGGTCCGATGCGAAACTGCCCCAATCGCTGCTTTGGGCCCCAGCCGGCAGAAGTACGCGAATGCAACCTTACATGGCCCCAAGTTGGTCCTGGTCAAGTATTAATGGGCCAGTGAGCTGGGCGCATCAAGACTCTTACGACACCGACAATCATTTCAAGCTAAAGCTTATCACTGCGAACTGTTCTCCTGCAGAGCAAATAAGTACGGGGCCCTGGAGAGCGCAGAACTAGTCGTGCAGGGCCAATTATGGCGTGTGAAGCTAGTCGGGGTGGACAGATATATGTACGATTCCATCAGAATTCTGGAAGAGGACGGCAGTGACTCGCCATACAGTCTGCCGATCGGAATAGAATGGGATGTGCCTAAAGAAATTACTGGATTCGAGGAGCAAGATACTCCAGCGAGGCTAGTCGCTTTTCTGAGACCAGCACCTGCTCTGAAAAGAGTGAGTCGGACTGGGAGGAGAGTCCATATGAGGGAGACACGTCCACTTGGGGTGAGAGTTCTGGTGAGGACAGCTCATCTGAAAGCGACAACATGGCAGAGGCAGATGGAGATTTTGCCTTGCTGAATGTTATCGGATATGTCAATTTCCTCCTTTTGCGCCGCTGTGAGGAGAGCGAGAGACCGAATACTTTTCAACGAGTAGGCGTCAACTCATGGTATGAAGGAAAGTCGGACTGGGGTCCGCCAATGGGCCCGGAAGTGAGGGCACTGGGGTTTATGAGTCAAGTAACGTTAGTATAGGTGGATGCTGGAACTATACATATCTGGGTTCGCTCCTATTCCGCATACGTAGACATACATGGCGCCTTCAGAACTACACACATACCTAGACATCGTGAGCCTTCATTGGGTGCCTGCTACGCTGCGACGTCGTCTGTGCAGTGGATGCCATCTCATTGCCTGCATGTGATGGATCTCTGGGCCCCGTGTGGCACATTTCGTCTCGATACTCCACACATCTTTCGTTGCTGTCTCTGATTAACAAAAGATCTGCGAACCACTCAAAAGCTCCAGAGGAATGCTGTAACCTTCTGGAGTATGTGACTGTGTTAGTGTGATTGATGGTTTATGTGATGTGATGTGATGCGCGCCTAGCAATCAGCTATATAACCCTGGAAGATTCCGTTGAGATGCTCTCTTCTTTCTGGGTCCATGTCATCACATTAGTTGGGCTGGGGAGAGCACTCGAGTATGGAGCTGGCGGACCTCCAACATGCCGTTCTCCATTGAAAACGTCACGTCAACAACAGGCAGACACAAGAATCACGGGACAACATTGAGGACAGAGTTGACGAAGAGCCGTGGAGGCCTTGTGCTCGATTTCCCTATTTTTTTGGATCCGTACGTAGGGTTTCCATATCTCAATTGTTCCATATCCGAACCATGCCAACCGTCGAAGCCTGTCGTACATCCGATAAAGTTGTTGTGGACGCGACCATGAAATAGCCCCGATGCCTCATCTATAACCCGCCCGAATGGTAAACGCCCTGCCCCAATCGATATGACATGTTTATTGCTCGGTCTGGAAGTAGTTGAGCAGGATGGAGCGCTCCTGCGACTCCTCACCCCAGTCCTTGACGACGACGCAAGAGCAGTTGACAACCTTGCGGGCGTTGCCCTCACGGTCGAGGACGCCTATGAACCATGTATTAGCTGGTGCCCCGGTACTCCAAGCGGCTAGGTGCTCGCAGGTGCTGCGACACGTATTGGGGTCTACTCACAGAGACCGGCCCACTCGCCGAGCTGCTTTCCGTCGGGAACCTTGATCAGGGGGATCTTGTGCTCGGAGCAGAGAGCAATGACGAGCTTCTTGTAGGCATCCTCCTCGCAGGCCTCGTTCAGGACACACATGTGAGCCTGACGGCGGTCGAGGGCCTTGCTAGCCTCACGCAGGCCACGGGCAAGACCGTCGTGCATGAGAGCGAGCTTCAGCACACCCTTGAGGGCGTCCAGGACGGACATCTGACCCTTGGAGGCGGCATCGGCGGAGACTTCGACCTCCTCGGCGACTTCGGGAGCGTTGTTCTCTTCTACGTCCGACTGTGTTTCGAAAGAGCCACGTCAGCATGGTTCGTTCAATTGATGTCGTATGGCCGAATGTGGCCAGTGGCTAGACCGCGGTCTTCAAAATGCACCTCATTCCGCCCCGCGAGGTTGCGCCAGGGCCACACCCCACGAGAGCCAAAAATGCGCCATCCGACCAGGCCAGCCGACCATGACAGATTGAGCAGTTCTCACCATTTTGCTTGTTGGGTTTTCAAGTTGCTGTCAGAGCGATCCTCGAAGAGATATTGTGGTGTAGGAGGGTAAAAATTGGCGAACGTGGGGGATTTTTTTGGGCGGGTTGTAAAATGAAGTTGCAGGCAAGCAAAAGCGTGCGAAAATCAACCTGAGGAAGAGTCGTGCACTGACCATTCAGTGATCCGTGCCACGATAGGGCAGCGCTGGAGCCCACAAAACCACACCTTCGAGCCAGCCAGGCCTGCCGGAGCTCCACCTTGAAAGAAGCGGCCTAGGTGCGAAAAAAGTTCAACCTTTGCTCCTCGTCAACCCAACCTCGTCCAACTCTTGTCTGCCTCCCCAACTCCCACGCGACAGACCATCACGAGGTATGTGAAACTGACTGCGACCATCTCACCATGACTTGAGCATCCGTAGGAAAATATGCCCCTTCGCGAAGGCCGGGGAGAGCAATCGAGGATGGATTACCGAATCGCAACCGACACAATCCATCAGGGGCGGTGATGACGGACGATGTCCTCGATACGCTTCTCCCTTTACGACGCTGGGCGGGCAGAACCCTTCTCTTGAGATTCGTCTCGGCGAGATGGGCACTCTCCACGCTCTTAGAGCCTCCGAAGGCTAACATGAAATCCCGCTGGCAGATACCTCTTTTCTTGTCCGAATTGAGAATCTCCCTCACAACACCAAAACACCGCCAAGATGGTCCGCACTTCCGTTCTCAACGATGCTCTTAAGAGCATCAACAACGCCGAGAAGGCCGGCAAGCGTCAGGTCCTGATCCGACCTTCGTCCAAGGTCATCATCAAGTTCCTGCAGGTCATGCAGAAGCACGGTACGTCCCTACCATCTCTAGCGACCATCAAGATCAGATTACATGGACTTCGCAAGCCCTGCCCCCAAACACCATTCGGCATGATAACTAGACGACGGTCTCAACATTCCAACGACTCCAGTCTTTTAAGTTGCCGATAGATCAACTTGCGAAGATCTTACACGTTCTCTGAATCTCCTCATGTGGTCTTCGTTTAATCTTTCGCAACATTCACTGACAGTCTTGTCTCCAGGCTACATTGGCGAGTTCGAGGAGGTCGACGACCACCGCTCCGGCAAGATTGTTGTCCAGCTCAACGGCCGTCTCAACAAGACCGGTGTCATCTCTCCCCGCTACAACGTCAAGCTTGCCGACCTTGAGAAGTGGACCGTCCGCCTGCTGCCTTCTCGTCAGTTCGGCTACGTCATCCTGACCACCTCTGCTGGCATCATGGACCACGAGGAGGCCCGTAGGAAGCACGTCTCTGGCAAGATCATTGGTTTCTTCTACTAGATGGGGGACAAAAATGGTTGGGGAGACATGGCAAGCAATGGCGTTCATGGACGGCGTCCGGGGAAAATATCACTTGGGTTTGGGAATCATGTGCACTGAGCACCTAGTGCCATTTTTGAAGTGGTTGAAATAGGACTTTGATTTCCGATGAATACCCTCGGGATCCAGACATCAATCCAAGCCAGTCTTCGCCATCTTTGGGCCATCTTTGGGGATTACACCTCTCCCATGTGAAATCAGGATAAGCCTGATCCCTTCATCTACGTGATGCTGTGCCTTGTGTTACCATACGACCTCGTGAAAAATTATTTCGGTCAGGATGTGCTTTCTGGCCGGATTGGTCTACTCTGACCACGCGTCTGAGCCAAGATTGTAGGATTTTCGTACTGCCAATAGTTGGTAGAACAGAACCCCGGTTTCTGCTTGGATCTGCAAGAGTTCCGACACAGTTTCTGAGCCAGACTGAAAGCGGTCGCTCGAGGCTCGATCATGTTTAATGGGTACTTCTGAGCTCTTTCCAGTCGCGCGGATCCCGGTGGCAGCCGCGTGGATGTGGATGTACCCGTTAGCGGCGGGCCCCTTATCTGCAATGAGCTTGGCACCGAACCCTGGTCCTCAGGATCCAGGCGATCCAACTTCATATGTGAAGTCGCAATTTGTCCTTCACCTCTCTCGTCGCCTCCACAATTTGCCCTTGGCGCAGGATTCAAAGGTGCAGGAGCTCCCAATGCCACCGTCTGCCCGCGCGTGTCACACGGAGGCTGTCCTTTCGCGCCGGACTGACAGAGGAACTGGGGGTCGGCCTGCTGCGCTCTGCAGATTGAACTGAGACAGTCTGGAAGATGCGACCGCGTCAGATCCTCACCCTCGGGGCCATTGTGCTCGCCTTCTTCCTCGTATACTCAGTGCTCCGACTTGGTCCATCGACACAGCCTCGCCTCACGCCAGATCCACCGTCCTCCCAACCAGACTCTGCAGGTGGCCGGCCGGTACACGCACACGATGGCGACAGCTCCAGCGCAGGCGACAAGGTCCCAGAGGCTGATGCGCCGCCCCGCGTCAAACACAAGCCAGCCCCCGGCGGCTCACATCCCATGTGGCATCTCATCAAGGATGCCGAGGCGAAGCTGGAGGAGACCAAGGTGCGACAGTCAAAGTCCCTGAAGGAGGCAGTGGCCGAATACCGCAGGCGGTACGGCATCCCGCCTCCACCCAACTTCGACAAGTGGTACGAGTTTGCTACGAGCAGAGGCGTGCAGCTGATCGACGAGTTCGACACGATCCACGAACTGATCACCCCTTTCTGGGGGCTGAAGCCGTCTACAATACGAAACCGCGCCCAAGAAGCACTCGGCTTCGCCAATGCGCTGCTGGGCGTGCAGATCCGCCACGGCAAGATCAGCAACCTGGAGGGCGGGGGAGACTGGCAGCGCGACGCGACCGAAGGCATGATGAAGCCGTTCATAGAATATCTTCCCAACATGGACTTGTGCTTCAACATCCACGACGAGCCGCGCGTGGTCGTGCCGCACGACGACATGACGCGGCTCGTGGACATTGCCAAGAACAAGAACATGAAAGCTGCCAATGCTGTTGCACATCCCCGGAACGAGTTTACCAAGAAGCCCAAGGGCCTCAACGAGGGTTCGCACTTTACCGAGACGAAGCTCACACGCTTCAACGTGTTTGCCCACCAGCCGACCTGGACCCACTCAAGGATGTCGTGCCCGCCCGAGAGCCCTGCCCGCGCGATCGAGGAGTCAGACAGGATCGATGACGTCGAGAAGTACGGGCTGGGCGATCTGGGCTTCGTTTACAATGAGACGGCCATGGCGGACATATGTTACTCGCCCTCGCTAAGTGAGACATATGGCTTCTTCGACCGACCCAATGCCTACAACATAGTCCATGACTTATTTCCCATCTTTTCTCAGTCCAAGATCTCCTCGTACAACGATATCATATACCCGTCTCCCTGGTATTGGTACGAGAAGGTGAGCTATGACGAGAAGAAGGACCAGTCATGGGACACCAAGAAGGACCAGCTATACTGGCGCGGTTCTACCACGGGTGGCTTCTCCCGAAATGGGGGTTGGAGGCGACAGCACCGGCAGCGCTTCGTGCAGAAGATCAATGCGGCGGACCAGGCCAAGATTCTCACCAATCGCGGCGACGAGACTCATCCTAAATTCGAGGTGAAAGAGGTTCCCAGAGGGGACTATAAGGACATTATATCCGTGCAGTTTTCGCACATAGGCCAGTGCGACCCGGGTGATTGTGACGCCCAGAAGGAGTTCTTCCAGGTCACAAGCCGGGTTGAGCAACAAGATGCTTGGAAATACAAGTATCTCCTGGACATTGACGGTAATGCCTTCTCGGGGCGATTTTACGCTTTCTTGAGAAGCAAGAGTCTCATATACAAGTTCTCGATATTTAGGGAGTGGCACTACGAGTGGCTCAAGGGTTGGGCGCACTACATCCCTCTCAGCTTGCAAGGCGACGAGTGGCTCGAGGCAGTGCGCTTCTTCGGCGACGGGGACCTCGGCAAGAAGGAGGCTGAGAGGATCGCATTGCAAGGGCGGGACTGGGCGAACAAGGTGCTGAGAAAAGAGGACATGGAAGTCTGGTTCTTCAGGCTGCTATTGGAGTATGTCGGTCCCTTCCATGCATCCATAGTTATCATGCTAACCGATTCTAGGTATGGCCGAGTCATTGACGACGATCGGGAGAACATTGGATTTTCTTTCGGCGAGCCGCCTGCGAAACCCTAGTGGCTCTAATATGCATTATCTCTTCAGCGTAGAGCCATTCGAGCCTTTATGAGGTGTCTATAAAGTTGTAATATTTTCACACGCGCGGAAATGCTCGGCATAGGCATTGGCGTTTTGATTACGACTCGATCGAGCCGGGTATACATGGCTAGTTGGATCATAGAATGCCTCGTGGACAGGCCCAGCGAAGCAAAGCTGTCGACTCTTGCAAACAAGAAGTGCGATATATTTGATTATCAGCAAAACAAATCCACCAACACATTGTATTGTGCTTGAATGTTTATGCTCAAGTGGGTATCATATTGTGCCATAGCCAAACTTGCTACTTGCTACTTGGACCTGGACCGTACATCGTCATACAGTGTATCAATGACCTGGAAGACAACCGTCACGTCCTTCATGACACGCTCATCTGCCTTCTCCCTCCCTCCAAGTTTCTGCTGGACCTTGTCGGGATGCCAGCGTACACGTTGTTCCTTCAGCTTTGCGGCAAACTCCCTTTCGCCTAGAGTTTCCAGGTCCAGTCCCCTCACGAAGAAGGCCCGGACCTCCTCCTCTTCCACGTCCTTGCGCGTACCGCTTTTAGTTGGCCAAGGGATCCTGTCCGCGCCCCCATCCCAGCCCTCCCACCCGGCACCATACTCACGGAAGCGGTCCGCCCACTCCCTCCTTTTCCTCCTCTCCTCGCCACGCTTAAGACTCCTCTCCACCTCCCGCTGTATCCTTCTCTCCTCCTCTAACCTCGCCTCGGCCTCATTGTCCCTCTGCGCCCGCTCTTCCCGCCTCTTGGCTCGTCTCGCCTTCTCCTCCATGAGCCCCGCATGCGTCTTCTCCCACATCTTCTGCCGCACGTGCGCCGCGTACTCCTCGTCCGTCATGCGCTCCAGCTCCCCCGTCTCCCGGTTGGGGACCTCCTGGGAGTAGATGTGGATCGGCTGCCCGTATATCCCCTCCCAGTAGGCGGCGCCCTCGTCGTCTGCCATCGCGTCGAACAGGGACTCGCGGAAGGCGGCCTCCGGGTCGAGAGCGGGCGCATCGTCTGGAAGCCCACCCGCCGTCCCGTTATTATCCTCAGCTCGTGACCGTTTATGCCGCGACCTTCGGTGGCTCCGCTCCGAGCGATGGCGGCTCCCCGCCCGGCTGCTTGGTTGGCCATCGTCTTCGGCCCGGGCGTCGCGATGTGATGAGCGGCGGCGGCGGTGGCTGCGGGCTTCGCGGTCTGGTGAGGCGGACCTGTGGTCTCGCTTGGACTTGAAGCGGAACTTTGTGCGCCGTTCGCGCAGGTGTTCGTTGTTGTCGTCGTCGGCCTGGCTTTGCGCAGGCTCTGCCGGCTGGCTGGCGCCGGCGGCGTCCATGTTCACCGCAGTGGGCCGTAGTTTGGAGCTGACATGCGGCACGCTGACGCCTGTGGCTGGCAGGTTGATGGATGAGAACTTGGGTGGCCCGAGGTTGATCGAGAAGTTGTTGGAGAAGGTCGAGGTAAAACCTGGGGACTGGAACGACGACTGGAACGACGACTGGAAGGTGGACGAGAACGGCGCAGGCGGCCTCTGATTCTTTGTGTTCGCCGAGAGGTTCGAGAAGCCTTTTGATAGCTCATCCACGGCCTGAGCAGATGTCTGTGGCATAGTCCGAAGTGCAGATGCTGAACGCTATCTCGACGCTGGTTATCTACTAATTATTAGAAGTTGAGTTGCAGATTTCCTAAAGCCTTGGAGAGAGGTGACGTTGGTGGGGTGCGAGTCACGGCAGCGATGCCAAGGGTCCCTTGTTCCCAGAGGCGGCCCAGCTTTCCAGGTACCTAGGTACCTAGGCACCTAGGTACATGCAGCGAGGTAAACAGCAACATCTCTCACCTTCCCTCCTATTATCACAAAGCCGTTGCACAGCCACACGTGGCATTTACCCGTAAATAAAGGCTGCAGAAGATCTTTTGTGTCTTTTTTAGCCAAAATCATACCTTACGCGGTGATTGCAGGCCGGGCAGCTATGGTGCTACTTCACTTGTCACCCATCCTCTCCTCTGGCCAGACTAGGATTCGCAAGACTCACTTTCTACCTGTATTTATCAGTCTCCCATACATTTGAGAGTCCGGAGTTGGAAAATATTCAAGAACCGGCAAAGTTGATACCGTGAGATAAAAGCCGCAGAACGTTGATCACAAGTGTTGCCAAGACATGATGAAGCTCCCTCCCTACAAGCTGCTGGACCTTCCGTCAGGCCATCTGACATGTTTCTGGAACAGGAGACTGGGTGGGTTCGTTTCTAATGCCCATACATCAAAAACTTATGTGGCGCTTTTGTACAGTATAGTAAACGCTCAAGACCACGAAAAGCCAGTTGTTTCACCCGAAGCCAAGGTATGAGCCAGCTAGACAGGGCTAAAGATAGCATCAAAGCTGGGCCTGTAGGTTTGTGTAAGCTTACTTGGGTACTGAAGTAATCCTTATTAATAAGCTCACACGTGTTGAAACTGAGCGATATATCAGGATTATCCGGCTGTACTTAAAACATGTCAATTTTATGGCTCCAGCGCAAGTAAGTACGAACACTCAGTCTGCGGCGTAGAACTGGGAAGTGATGGATGTGATCACCTTGGTGAAACAGTAACACGGCCAAGTTCTACTACGTCTATCAGGTTCAGCAATCGGTTGAAATTGAGCCAATCAAGTTTCCGCCCAGTTGAATTCTAGATGTAAGTGATGGTCCATGACTGACCAGCTAACTTTGTACATCCGTATCATACAGAGATATCTTGATGTGACCAAGTGGTAAGTCTCAACCAATGTGATTATATGCGCAAAGAGGCTGACAACTAACCAGGGACTAGATCATACTTGCTGTTATCTCTCTGGGCTTGCTCTTGGTTATTGTAGCTGCAGGCTCGGTTTGGGTGTCGACGAGGCCTATTCCGTGGCTATTGCATTGGGTGAATCAGCAATGTTGCCCACGGGTCTCGTCTGTACAATTTCGAGGTACTTGATGAAAGCCCGTACATTCAATGAGCTTGCCTGTGTCAGTAAGCAATGTTCAAATCCCAAAAATTGGACATTCCATCTGACTCTTCGGCCCATTTTTGCAGACATGATCGAGGCCAAATGCTCAAACAGGCATCCTCTCGGACAGCTTGCGTGTCGTATTGTAAGGACAAATCCGGCCTCGCCAGTCTGCTCCCATCAACTGAATATATATTCAGATATCATGATCTCCCTCCTCTTGAACTACGGCGTCATGCGTTGGGTGCCGGCAACAACGTTCGGCTACTTGACGGGCAAGTTGGACGACCCGTCCAGCCAGACCCAGGATCTCACAAGCAATAACACCGATGGAATCACGTGCACTCTTCTGGGGTCCAACAAGCTTTCTGGCCGGCGGCTAGGCGCCTGCTGTGATATGGAACCTGCACCAAGAGGTTCCCGCGCGCCCGTTTCGACCTCTGGAATAGTAGAGACGATCTTCTTCGCGAGCACGGCTACTTTACTGGGGGATCCGAGCACCGTTCCATACCGCTATTATCGTCGGGACGGTCTTCAACTACCAGCTCTACGGGTGCCGGCACGTGTGGTGGAACAAGTGGGCGTACATCAGTGGTGCGGCTCTAGACACGGGTTTCAACCTGAACCTGTTGTTCATCTTTCGTTTTGTTGGAACCACCGGGACGACGATAGCTAATTGGTGGAGGAACAATAAGGCCAAGACTCAGCGGTGCTTTGCATTGCACAAGTCAGCATGGACGATTGCAATGTTTGGTTCTAGGACCTCGGGAAGAATTAATTATCACCTGTTTTGTCCGATAGTACCAAAGTTGTCCGGCGATGCTCAGCGGAAACTACATAATCGTTCCCGGATGAGGCCAATTCGGAGATATCGGACGGAAATCTATTACAAATCTACATCGGTACAAGAGGTTGACAGCTTCGCAGCACTTGAGAAGATCCCATTCGATCGACTGATCTACTGCGGGACAAGCTCCACGCGGAGGAAACACTCCTGACATGTTATGATTCGCCGCAGCAACAAAGAAACAAGCCACTTACACAAGCATCTTGCCCAATCATATGCCTAGCCAGACGGCCATGAGGTTTGATACGTCCGAGTCGCAAACTCTTGGATCCGAAGACAAATACACAGAGCCACCATCAATATTTTTTTTTCCAATAATTTGTGTTATGTTGGGCCTCACTTAGACAAAACAAAAGTAACAGGGTCAAATGGACTGATGAGTGGATGACGAAAGCACAACAATCATTTAGCCGACCCAGCAGCGGAAGCCAAGTACCCGAAAGCTTGTACCAGAATTTAATTGCGGCCAACTGACAAAAGCCGCCATGCATTGGCCGTGTATACACGCAATTCTGGCCAAACATTTGAAAGTCTGAACCAATCGGGTGTGACAATGTCTTAGAATTGAGCCGCATGTATGTTTTTGCCCGATTGCATACTTGCATGTAGTCTGTGCCAGGGAAAAAGAAAAGGCGGCTATGCCTTTTATATATGATCTTGGAGACTCGGGCTCTCTGCCCTCTGTGGAAAATGAAAATATGTGGATTCTGGATTAATTGCTCTGCTCTTCAGGGCTGTCTGCAGCCCCTCAGCCCCAAACCCCGATGCATCATCACATACGCCCTCCGACGAGATTGTTTCTGCAGAGCGGCTGGAACGGCAGCTTCCGACACCATGCCCAAGACAATAGAATCTAGTCGCTCAATACCCCTGCACCCGTCTCGGAGCCGACTGCCGATCTTTCACCTCGAAAAGCAGTGGGCTCGCGGCGTCGAGCGGCTTTACTACGTCCGGATGCTAGTACGTTACGAGCACCCTGACGTCAATCAATCACGACTGCAGGAGGTGGTGTTGATCGCAAACAATTTCTGACCTGCCACTGTGGGTGTGGTGACGGCTGTACTTGGTAAAGATGCTCACACGCATGCTCTGACTGCCAGTTCCTGTGCAGTATTTCACAACCAGGCTGCAGGAGACGTGCATGTTGTTGTCAGTTTTCACAAGGCAATAACATTTTACTGCGTTGTTTGTGTCTTGAATCGTCAACCGTGTGTTCTTTGCATACAACAAACAGCATTCTCAGCAACATGGCGGGCATATCGAGGGTGTTTTCCCGGCCGACGGCCAAGCCGTACCGCAGCCATCACATCCGGTACTCTGTGGAAAACCCGCCGACTCTGGACAAGGATGGCCACCTCGCCTTCGACGAGGGTGACGTCGAGAACCCGCAGAACTGGTCCATGGCGCGGCGGGCGTACATCACCATCTGTGTGGTCCTACTGGTCGTCAACGCGACCTTCGCCTCGTCCAGCCCCTCGGGCTGCATCGAGAGCATCAGCGAGTGGTTCGGCGTCTCCAGCGAGGCGGCCGCCCTGACCGTGACGCTCTTCCTGCTCGGCTACTGCGCGGGACCCTTGGTATTTGCGCCGCTGTCCGAGTTCTACGGCCGGAGGATCATCTTCTACGTCACCTTCCTCTCGTACATCGCCTTCAACATCCTGTGCGCCTTTGCGCCGAGCTTTGGCAGCCTGCTGGTCGGCCGCTTCCTCTCTGGCACCTTTGTCAGCGCGCCGCTGTCCAACTCGCCCGGCGTGCTGGCCGACGTGTGGAACCCCATCGAGCGCGCCAACGCCATGGCCGGCTTCAGCCTCATGGTGTGGGCGGGACCGGCGCTGGGCCCCGTCATCAGCGGGTTCCTCCAGCTGACCAAGGGCGTCGAGGGGTGGAAGTGGAGTTTCTACGTCTTGTTGATGCTGTCTGCCTTCTCGGCCATCTTCTTGTTCACCATTCCTGAGACGTACGCGCCGGTGCTCCTGCAGAAGAAGGCGAGGCGGATCCGAAAGGCCAAGATCCCCGGCTACGAGCATGTCAAAGCGCCGCTCGAGACGACGAACCAGACGCTGGTGCAGGTCTACAAGATCGCGCTGACCAGGCCGTGGATCATCTTGTTCGACACAATCAGCTTCCTATGCGCCATATACCTGTCAGTCGTGTACTTGCTTCTGTACATGCTCTTCTCGATCTACCGTAAGTCCCAGCCCCCTCTTCATCGTTCATCTTTGTTGTTGCTAACAAGGTCCACCAGCTATCGTCTTCCAACAGATGCGAGGCTGGAACTCGGGCGTGGGCGAGCTCCCGCTCATCGGCACCGTGGTTGGCGCGGCTCTCGGAGCTTTGATCGTCGCGATCGACTCACGCAGCCAGAACAAGAAGGTCCAGGCTGGCTTCAAGCCGGAGCCAGAGAATCGACTCAGCCTGGCCATGTACGGTGGCGTCGGATTCGCGGCAAGCATGTTCTGGCTGGCATGGGTGCGTAGATGCGTGCCCCTTTCCTCATTTCTGTCCACCGCTGACAAAAAGACTCACCAATAGAGCGCAAACTTTAACTATGTACACTGGATCGTACCGACACTAGCGGGCGTGTTCCTTTCGGCTTCGATGCTGCTAATCTTTGTATCCTTCTTGAACTGTAAGTGACGATAGAGATGGCGAATAACCACCTATGCCATCGTCAAGGCTAACTTGCTTCCGCGATTAGACCTAGTCGACACCTACCTCATGTTTGCTGCCTCGGCCATAGCCGCAAACACGGTGCTGCGATCGGCAGCGGGCGCAGCCGCCCCGCTGTTCACAAAGCAGATGTTCGGCGCGCTCGGGATTGGGGGCGGCGGCTCACTGGTGGGCGGGGTTGGCGCCCTCCTGGCAGTCATCCCGTTCGCATTCTACAAGTACGGGAGGAAGATCCGGGAGAGGTCCAAGTTCGCACCCACGGAGGACAAGGACGACGGCCAGCATGACCCGACCGATGAGGCTGAGAAGGGAGCTGCGGGAGCTGGTGACGGGGCGGCCGGGGCGCAGTCGAGTGACACCCAGAGCATAGAGGGCACGCGCGAGGGGGAGTCAGAGGAGGATAATGACATTCGGGAACATGGAAAATAGAAAGTCTTGCTGTATTTTGCATATACCAGGGAGGAATCGGCGGTAGACGCCTGCCCAGGTGGGCGGGCATAGAGATTGCACATGGTTGTTCGTTGGCTTATTACAGCATAGCGGATTGTATTTCACATAGATTTATTTCAGTAATCTGTCATGCTACGGCGTGCCTTTCACACTGTTTGGTGTACGGCTTCCCATCGTGTTGCTCTCGGGACTGATAAGTGACTGGCACGGAGGCCGTCCTTGGAGGGACATCTGGACTATCGACGGCTCAAGACAAGGATGCCCCCCAAGAGTACAGAGTACACAGCAGTACCACTTAGTAAACAAAGTGGGCCCTCGACGCGGGTTGACCCACCCCCGCCGGGCGACGAGCACGGAGACGGAAGCGGTCCGGGCTCATGCCGGGACCGCCTATCTAGATAAGATGCAGATCCAAGCAGGCAATTTCTTGCCTGCTTGCTCCTCATGGCCCCTTTGGGCCACTTCCGAAATCCCGGGCATGAAATCATCAAATCCGGGGCCGGTCCCTGGGTCCCGGCACGTGCTGAGCCTAGATCCCACCCCCTGCTTGACTCGGGGCGAACATTTGTTGCATTGCCCGCTCGTGCCAGCACAAAGTATATCTCGGGTTCGAGGCCAGCCCTTTTTTGCCATTGTGATTGCCATACGAGACAATTCTCCCGGATTTGGACGAAGTTTCGCCGTTGGGGCGGGTTTCAGAGGGCTGGGGAGAGGTTTTCGAACACTTTGCTCGTGCGCACTGATGATGTGTGCAGGCATTCACCGGCTGGCCACCACCTGGGCTGCCTGGCTATCGTGGAAAACAAAGGTACTTCTGATCTGGAGTTGCTGTGTACCTTTTTCCTTGCGGGGCAAAAGGGGAGCGTTAGTCTGCCGTGCATTGATCTGCGCATGCACGACTCACCGCCAACCTGTCCCGCTCCTGGCCTCCTGGCCTCCCAAGGCTGGCTGGCCGGGTGCCTGTCAGGCCTGTCCAGCGGGCTCTCAGGCAGTAACATTTGAAACTACTGTACTTGCCACCCCAAGAGGCAAGAGGGGCGGAGGCTTGCTGGGCAAGACGCAGGCGAGTGGACATGACAGCGGTTTCACCTGGTAGAACAGCCCGCCAGCCCGCCAACGACGATTGCCAGATGCGCCCTGCAGAAGTGGGCAGGCCGGACAGCCTGACAGCCTGTTCGCCAACCAGCCTGCCAGCCAACCCTTCATGCCCGCCTTTCTGCACTGCTACTGCAGATTATTCGTGAACCCACTTATATCACAACACCGCCTCTGCGCCTACAAGCAGTAGCCTGCCCGCCCAGCCGTTGCCCAGGGCAGACCTAGGGCAGACCCAGGGCAGACAGCAGCCCACGCCCGACCTGCCCGACCTGCCCGACCATCCAGCCCATCCAGAGTCATGTCTCAGGGCGGAGCGCCGTCGACGGGACCATGTGATGTTGTTTGTGCTACGGGCTGTTCCTGGCACCACCATCGTGAGCCTCTGATGCAGCGGCATGCAGGCCAGCAGGGGGGAGCGAATGTTCTCCCAAGAGACACGCACAGGCTCTCAATGCACAAACGCCTACACATGGTCGAATCAGACGGCCCGGAAACACACGAGGTTGCGACACCAAGTTCTCGCCTGGGCATGACCACGACACTGCTGTCTCCCGGATCAAACGACGTTTCTCGCGAAGAGATGAAGCCAGCCGATCAAACCTCGTCGTACTCGTGAGGAAGAGCACGGTCCGTCCCGAGAGCCCGTACAGACGTACTGCCCGCCGGCCGAGCGGACAGACAGCAGCTACATGCGCTCCTGTCCGTGGGTGGATGTCCCACGTACCGTCGGTGTGCTGTGCGGGCGCTGGGAAACTCTATACACCACCTGGGCACGCTACCGAGGCAGCTGCGAGGACCCCTTTACCGCCTTGCATCGTGTCTGCTGCCACCAGGGTCCAAGGGGTCCTCCTGCCGGGCCACCTGGCATACTCCAGAATGTGGGACTGATTTCCTTCCATACCCTTCCATCCTTCCATGAGGCCTCCGTGAGGGAGAAACGACCCCACATCACCCAGCATGGTGCAGATTGTGTGCATGTTGCCAGCTTGCCTCCCGAGGAGCCTCCAGCCCCCTTTCCCCCGGGGCCGAGGACGCGCTCCTCGGTCGGGCTGGTGGTAGTCAACGTCTGCCGGGGCCGGGGCCGGGGCTGCAAAGTCCTGCGGCGTGGCGTTTGGGACCCGGAACCAGACGACCCACATTATTACGGCCCCGGGACCCTCAACTGCCGGAGCAGATATGATCTGGCCCCCGCCAGACAAGACTAGTCACTCACTACACACTAGCACACGAGAGATTTGGACAAGACAGGTACCTGATTCAGGAGAGTTCCATGTCACTCGAGCGGGCGAGCACAGAAAGTGTTTGGGCAGCATGCGGCCTGCGGCTCTACGGCTGAGTTACATTGCGGCCAAGCCCGGCCAAGCCAAGATAACCGGTCGCCTAATTCGGCTCCCCAGGCGAGATCACAAGTCAGGCAGCCCCAGCTGCCCAGTCACCAGCCGCTGCGGGTGCCTCTGCGGTGGTCGCATTTGCGAACCAACAGCGCGCCCGCGACGACTCCCCAGCCCATCGCAAAACAAAACATTATTAGCCTTTTGCCTGGGTATGGACAACCTGCCTGGTCGGTCATGCAGTCGAAACATGCATGCGCGACCGCCCCAGACACTGGGGGCCCCGAGGGAATGTGCATTAATATTATTAGCACACGACTCTTGCTTCCTACACGTAACAGCCCATCCAGCACCAGCCAACATATGACTTGGAAACGGCGGCCCCCAAAGGGTCGGGTCCTGGACTCGCGTGCGTGGCCCGCGACCCGTGACCCCGGATCGACCCTGAAACACTGACACACACACATACTGCTGCTAGCTGGCATACTATGTATGTGCGGAGTAAAAGGTGCTGACCATCCAGCGGCAGGTGTGTAGGTACTACCGCAAGGGGGTGGCACGGAGGAACTGTACATTCCTGCTGACACGCGGCCAGGCGTCGAGTTTATGTCAGCCGACGCAAGCAGGCGACTGGGTGGACTGGCAGACTGGGAGGGGCAGAGGATCGTGTGCCCTGTCGTGTGCCTGGCGCCTCGAGCTGTGCCGTGCCGTCTGATTTTATTTTTGACCTCAGAATGCCGGTTGGTGATTTATTACTTGGACCACACAGACATGTCGTAGTGCATGTGGCCCCATTAGCAGGTCTGTCGCCATCCCACGCCCACGGCTGGGCGATACGAAACATGAGCTCTCACAGCCGAGTGGGCCGACGCGAAGGGCGGCCGTCCGTCTCGTCTCGTCAAGAGAGGGCGCATTGCAACTCGTTGTTGCCATTCTGCCCCAGATATGGTCCCCTCGCCTGGCCGGCCGGGGCAGAAAGAGGGACGGGGCAGGCCCACCTTTCTGCCAACCCCACCTGGACATTGAACCGGCCAGCCATCGTGGGCCTTTGCCTCTGCCGGCTCGAACAGTCAAAGATTGACTAGGCTTGCCTTGGAAGAGCGAAGACCTAAAAAAAACCTGACCGGCCCTGACCTGCGGATGACCTGACCTGATCGTCGCGGTGCAACGCATGCGGAGATAGAGGAGATAGATTCTGGGTGAGCGGGTTCTGGTCAAGCGTGGGCGGGCGGTCACGCGGCCAGCGGCGCAATTTCAATCTCGAAAGGAACCGGGACTCGAGATTTAGATTCGCTCATTGAACCGCAGCCGCGGGTGTCAGCCAGACTCGGCAGCGGGCCCTGTCGCAATCCCAATTCCCTCCGCGCGCCGGAGGGATTTCCATCCGCGCTTGTCGTGTCCTTCTCTTGTCATCTATGTCATGGCCCATACATCGTAAATGGTACACATGGGCACACACACGTGCCCGCGCAAATTGCGATCGGGCAGACTCCGACGGGATGGTGATCGCAAGTCATGCCCTCGGCGATCTTGCGACGTGGAATTGTTTGCCAGGCAACCAGGCAAGCCAGGGCAGTTAGTTTGCTCAGCAGCCCTTGGAGAATGATGGTGCGTGGCTGATGATGAATCACCCGCGTGATTGGAAAGTAGAGACACTCACACTACCTTGCATTTGCTTAGTTCCCACAACGGCAGGGCAACGCCCTTCCGCCAGGCAGGCATGGTCGAGAGCCAAGGCTTTGCCCCGAGGTTGGCTGACGCCCGCGAGAATCCGCTCTTCTTTTCTGCAGCCCCAGCCCAGCCGCCCCTCCGGCAAGGCAAGGCAACAGAAGAGCAAAAAGAAAAAAGGCCGTGCACTGCCAAATAAAACCCCATCGTGGCTAGACAAGCGAAAGAAAGTGCTGCAGCCGCCCTAGGCACACCGTCGTAACGACGTGCGTGGCAGGCTAGCTGGCAGGCTGGCTGGCTGGCTAGGTGGACAGACCATCAAATCCAACCCAACGCAGGCAGAGATGAATCATACCGACCCGAGGTGACGGGCACTACGGCTTTACGGTTTGCTCGCGAATGCGAGCCTGCGCAGCGCAGCAGCACTGCCGGCAAGCTAGGATGAGGGCGCGAGCGAAAAAGGGCTTTCTCGCACCGCGCGAGGAGCCCGAGGACGAGGTCGAGGACGAGCCTAAGCCGTACCTGGAAACTAGGACAGTCCAACAAGGTACCTAGGTACCTGCCTACCCCAAGTACTGTAATCAATCAGTCTATCTTATCCGATCTCGGCAGCGAGGGGCTCGCCCCAGGCATTGCCAGGCATTGTGTCATGGTTGACCTTCGGGGTCTGGTGATCAGCAGTGGGCAGGCACAATAGACTTTTGCCCTGCGTCGAAATCGCCTTCTACGTTCATCATGTTGCAGATGCTTTTGCTTATGGGCACGGATCACTTTTCAATGGGGGGAAAAGTCAGGCGGGTTTCAAAGGAAGTTTTTGTCCGAATTCTGAATTGGATTGTTATGCGTATGTAGTTCGGTAGAGCTGTGAGATCTCTGCCTCTGTGCCGCCACGGCCCGTTTGTGTGCCGTGCACCTCACTCAACCTAGAGCTAGATGAGCCAGGGAGCGAGTTGACCAGATGTAGCCTAATACAGAGCCCCGTGAAATCCTCCCCCTGAATGCCTTGTATGCCTTGTATGCCTCTTTTGAGTGGTGACAAAATGCATTATGATACTCCACACTTGGAGTTGATGCCCTTTTTAAATAACCATGACCGTAAACCATTGATGCCGAAAATGTGGTATCATAGACAAATCCCAACGCCGGTGCTATGCAGAAGTGGTATCGAACGAAATCGCTGGACTAGAAGACGAGAGGAGAACGCAAGGTTGTGGGATGTGTGGTGGGAAATCAGGCTCTTTAGTAGACTGAGATCGCAGACACAAGCCTTGCGGGGTTCCTCGCGGGCAGGTAGTACCCGTCGTCGTAGAAGTCGGGTGTCGCAGCGACTGTTGGATCCTTCTGCTTCTGCTCAAAGGTCGGGAGCATCGTCGAGGGCGGTGATGGGGGCATCGACTCGTCCTCGGACGACTCGTCAAAGTCCTGCTCCAGCTCTGGTGGGGAGTTGGTCAGGGAGTGTGATGGTGACCTCTTCAGGGTGAGCTCGGCAAAGTCCTCCTCCTCGTCATCGTCCTCCTCCATGTCGACCTCGACGACCTCCATCCTGGGGCTCGAGGGGGCTGCGCTCTTCTGGAAGTTGGTGTTTGAGGGCACCCGCCTCAGTGAGACAACATCGGCCATCTCGACGTCCTCGTCGTCCTCCATGTCGCTGTCGTCCGACTCCGAGTCCGAGTCCGAGTAGTCGTCGTCCTCGACGATGGTGTCGGCCCACTGGATGTGCCTGTCGCTCTCGGCCTTCTTCTCTTGTTCGTGCGATGCGTTCCTGACCGACTGGTTGAACCAGGACTCCTGCTCCCTCTCTGCGTCGGCGAGCTCGAGCATCAGGCTGTCGAGCAGGTTGGCGTGGCCGACGAGGAGGCGGAGGTTGTGGTCGGGCATGGCAGCCTCGTGGGACAGCTTTGCCCGTGCCTTGTGGGCGAGGTAGTAGGTCTGTGTGAGGCTCATGGTCTTCTTCTTGATGGGCGAGGCCAGGATTGGCGAGGGTGAGGCTGTTGTTGGTGTTGCGGAAGGCATTGTGAAAATGGGAGGAAGAGGGGCAGGCTCTTCTCTTATTATTGTGGTGCGAGATGGTGCAATAGTGGGCGGAATTGTTGTTGTCTGTGTGCTAGTCGGTGACTCAAGGCAAGCCAATACCGGTGCGGGTCCGAATTGCGGGACAGGGATGTGTGCAGTCACCGCTTGCTCGCCTCCCTGGAGTGATGGGTGGGCGTTGTTGGAGTCGAAAGGCCAAAAAAGCCTATGTGAGGTGATGATGATGTGGGTGATGTCGAGCACCGAGTATAAGTAAGTCTACCGTTGGGTAATAGTAAAGTGGCTTCTGATGTTGGAAGTGAGCTTGATCAACTGGACTGTTTGTTTTATGGCTGAGACTGGTGAGGAAAAAGGGATCTCAGGATCTCAAGGGGTTGCCGAAAGGGGAGGGAGACGATTCTTTTAATTCCTTTGGCGAAAAGACGGTCAGGCTGGGATTTCGCACGAACGCTGGCAGGACCGGGAAGCATGTAGGTACCTCTGAGGATCCAGGTGGATGTACCTTGTGGGTACGTACCCGTCTGGAGTCCTTGTCGGAGCCGTGGAGGGGCCCACGCAGCCCACGGGGCCCACTCGGCCTTCGTTGGTTTTGAAATCCGCAGTCAGCGGGCACAGGCGGGCACAGGGGGTGGGACGGCAGGACGGGGGTGGGACAGGGGTGGTTTGAGGTTCTGCTCAGCAGCGCACCGCTCTGCGAGACGGGCTTACAAACGATGGGCCCGACGTCGGGTTTTGGACTGGCCCCGGCCGGCCATAACTGCCAGAGCGCCCGCGGGCGACATGTACCCTGCCCCGCCATTCTGTAGCGAAGAGATACTCTTGACAAATGCTGCGCCGCCCTATCTCCATGCAGCCGTGCAGCCCAGCCAGTGTCAGCCAGCCAGCCCAGCATCCTTCCACCTGCCCGCTGCCACCATGGATTCGTTTATTCATCAGCCATCCCATCCTATTCCCCCGTCCTGACTCCGTCGGAGACAAAGGGACACACACACGCACACGCGCACACACGCAGCCACACACGGGGGTAGGGGTTGATTTGATTGATTTCCATTTCCAATGCGGCCAAGACGTGACCAGGCGAGGCTTTGTGAGCAAGCGTCGCAAGCAGGTCCCAGGCCTAGCAGGTCTTTTGTCTGATACAATTGCAAGGTACCACGGCAAGGTACCTCGTCTCGCACCCATCTCCCCGTCCCGTCCTGAAGCCCACCCATCAATCTCGCACTCGCACCTGGCATACTGGCCTACTAGTCTACGCAGCAGCGTACAGTACTTACGGGGCATTGTTGTTCGGTCTGGGCCCCTGTCCTGTCTGCCTGTCATTACACAGCAAAGAGACGACACTGCCCGTCTGAATCCCGCCCCGGGCAGCTGCTCAATCCCGAACGCCCTTGGCTGCTGGCGTACAGGGTACAGATTACCTGACCCCAGGCTGCCCAGTTTGGCCCAGTACTTTGGGTGTCAAATGATCCATGGCAGATCTACGCGTCTCCATCCCCATCCCCATCTATCAAACCCATGCCTCCCCCATCCTGCGTCATTCCGTAGCCAGGGCAACTCTATAAGCCCCGTGCTGTAATCAATTAAATCTAATCTGCAGCCGCGGGGCGCATCTTCAGGCCGATGAATCATCCTGAGCCGAGTGTCTCCGCCCCGGCAAGCTAGCGACAACCACCATCGGCCCCTACAGGTCGGCAGCGGGCTCGCACATTGCTGCCCGGAACTGGGACAATCGGAGTTAGCATTAGCCCTTGCTGATGAGTCGACCTTACAAAGACCGCAGCCAGACTAGCATGCAGCCAGAATTGCCAGGCACGCAGTCCAGCTGCCTTGTCATCATGGTTCAGGTGGTTTCAGCCCTTTGCATGGTTCACGGTATACGATGGATTAGAAATGATTCACCCTGTGTTATCTCCCAGACAGCCAGACAGCCAGACCAGATCTGCGCCTGCACCATACGGAGCACAGTAGGGTGGGATGTGATTCATAATCACCCCTCTATGCACCTGCTTTTGTCATCACCAATCCCATACGCTCCAGATAGACACCCTACCCAGCTCCAGCCTAGTCCAGCCCTAGCCTGACACCTCCATGACTCCTCTCCGCAGCCGTGCTGGCACACGGGCGGCATTCTCTCATCTCCCCAATCTCCGCCTTTTCACCGACTCCGACACATGCCAATGCTGGCAGCCTGATGACAGACGGGCCAGCCAAGCCAAGCACGAATTAACCTACACAAGAACCTAACCACCCCTGCAGGTGACGGCTTACGAAGAAAAAAAAAGGTACCCAGACTGTCGGATTCCACCCGATTCTCAAATTGTGCCGTGTACCTCTTTGGCGCTCTTGCACCCTCTGGCCCGCGCCCAATGCTACCCTGGGCGACAGCCTGGATTGAAAATCTCAAAATCTGAAAAATCTGAAAATCTTCACGGGCAGAAACAAGGCCGGTAGGGCCAGTAGGGCCAGGAGGACGGCCTTTCGAGAAAATTTGGCCCATGCAAACTCCACTTGGCCATCTGGAATTTTCTGGTCCACGATCAGCCCAACAACCTAACAAAGATCGTCGGCCACAGAGAAGCCGTGCCTGAATTTTTCTTGCGGCCCGGGGCTCCACTATGACAACGTGCAAAAAGACCTGCATCAACCAGGTCCCGTAATGGAAGCCACAGAGTCCTGGACTGGACCCTTTTTCCTGTGCTACGTGGGCCCTCCAGTTTTACTCGGCGACTCCCGATGTAGTCGTGTGCGTGTACTACATGGTAGTGTGTAAGACGTAGTGTGGTAGCGTACGTGGGTAGACTACAGGTTCGGGAACGAGTGCGTGTGCGTGGGTTTACTCCTGCGGGAAGACTGCTGCGGCCGACTGTGGGAGCCTCCCGGCATCTGCGTATTCGACAGGGCGTGCCGTGCGTGCGTGCGTTGCGCAACCAAGCCTTCCATGACGAAAAGCGCGATACGAACAATACGGCCGCGGTGTACATACTACTAGCAGCCAGACTAGTACGGCCCCAGGAGTCTAAGTGGTCTGCTGGTCAACGCGTATTACCTCACAGGCATAGTCGAGTGCTGAGCCACAAACCATATGTAACCCCGTCGGAGCCATAGACCGCCGTGTCCCTGAATCCCGGCCGACTAGACTTGGTACTGTGATAGTGTGCCGGTCGGCTGGGAGAGACGCCCGAGCCCGACCTACACTAATAAACCAGGCATCATTCGCCGGTGACTCTTACCCCCAGGGCATCTTGGGCATGTACAGCCCTCGTCACACGTGTCGTTTTGTTTTGTTTTGGGATGGTTTGGGCACCTGACGACGAACATGAAGGGCGCCCGGCATCAAACAAACATGTCACGGATGGCCCGGCGAGCTTCGGACGGGTCTTGGCCCAACCTTAACTTTGATGAGGTGCTCCTCTTCAATCTTGCCCAGATCTTCACACAGCCCACAGCCCACCGCCCGTGCTCGGCCTCGGCCACAACGGCTGGCCGAGAGTTCGTCCCGAGGCCCACGGCGCATGTGGGAACCCTCCAGCTTCTAGCCTGGTCCCCCCCTCTCTCACCGATGCCGTCTCGTGGTCTATTCGGCGGAGGCTTCGGCTACGGCTAACTCTCGGCTACCCTTCGCGTGCTCGTCTCGGCACTCGTCTTTGGTCAGCCAGTTGACGACGAGGCCGGGCGCCCTACCAGACAAGAGAAACAAAGGCAGCACGCTGTATCTTCTCACAGACCCACCCGTAGGGCTGAGCGAACCGCCCCAGGTGGGACGACATACCCCCCTCCTCCTCGACCGCTTACAACAAACAGCCTGCTTACCATGCGTCCAAGACCCTCCCGTAGGGCTCTGGCTGCTTACTTACTTGTCGTGCCCTGTGAGTGGGAGTGGGTGTGTGTGACGGTCATGTCCTAGACAGGAGAGAGAATGATGACACCGCTTCCCCTCCCCGCGCGTGGCCGCAGGGCGGTCCTGCAGCTTTTGCCTTGCTAGCCCACACCGACACTCTGGTAACCGGATGACCAGGGCTGTGTGCTGCAGAGCGTATCTGCATGTTTGTAAGGTTGTATGGGTGGGTGTGTGAGTGAGTGAGTGGGTGAGTCCTACGGCGATGCATGCGCCCGGCTGCGTACTTCTTGGGTATACTGCAATAATACAGGCAGACAGACAGATAGGTCATTTTCGTTAGCCCGTCCACTGCAGCGCTCCTCACGGGGGCAGCCGAACATCACGACCGCCCGGCCGACCCCGTACAAGAGTTCGTCCCATCGCGGCGCGGCCGTCTTACACTTCCTATGCCCAGGTGCTCTCTCTTCCTCCCCGGCGGGCTGCTTCGCCCTGTGGGGATTCCTTGGTTTCGAGCGAATTCCCCTGCGAGACGCACGCGTGATTTCTTTCTACTGGAACATGGCCATGGTGGCCCGTCCAGGTTTGAGAGTTCAGACGGCAAGTTCGGTACCAGGGCAACGATGGGGCATGTGAACAACATTGGACGATGGTGTTTTGATCCGAAAGCCAGTCGCGAGGCCGCGAAGTGCCGACTGCGCGGCATGCGTGCCGGTAGCCTCCGGGCCACACCTGGGCACAGGGGAGATATGCCTCACGTGCCTCGGATGCGATTGGCAGCTTGGGGCTGCGCGGGACGTGTCGCCGACGACGCCCGTGATGCGACCTCGAAGATCCCGAGACGTGCCGTGCGGATGATGCACCTCCACATGTTCGAGGTGACATGATGCCTCACCGTCGTTGCCTGGCAGCCTGGCAGCCTGGCAGGGTCGCAGCGCATCGTGCTTCGTTAATAATCTGCTGGTCTTACTCATCCAATTTCACCGGCTCCCACCCAGGCAGCCAGGGAACAGCCACACTCTCGAGTGCTTCCCTCCCGTCAACAAAAGATCCCTGCTGGGCCACGAGGTAAGACGACGGCCCAAATCTGTCATTGATGTGTATGCATGTAAGACGAAAGGACCCTGCTACGTGGTCTACTTAGTAGCTACTGTGTGTACAAGGCGCTGCCTATTCCGACCCGTGCGCTCGTTGTTTCTTACCGGATCCGGTCACCGTCTTGGGCTGTGTAAGCCACAGACTCGCTGCCTCGCCCAGCCCCGGGATTGGGATTGACCAATTCCGGTGCATACAACTAAGTAAGCAAGCATGTAGGCGTACCGTATAGTACAGTCTGACAGTACAGTCTCCCCCTATGCGATTTTCATTTTCCTCAAGTTGCACCATTGACTGGCCTGTCAACCAGGCCCCTTCTTTGGTTTGACTCATCTCGCATTGCAGTCGAGTTTTCAGTTAACCCCAGCTTGGCGTTGTGTCGGTTTTTTTTTTGGTCACGTCGGCGAGTTTAGGTGATAGCTCGCGGCTGTCTCGGCGATACAGGACGGGCTAGTCCAGACTGCCGAACGTCTGGTACCTGGCGCCATGTACTGGGCTTGCTGGGGTTTGGGCTAGGGCGCGGATTTAAGGGTTCGTTGGATCGGGCAGACCCACCAGCCCGGCGCACCGGCGCACCGGCGTCGATGGGCACAACTTCACTCGTGACGCAACACATCCTCTGACAGATCGCAATAGCTGGTCGCCAATCTACTGCCCCAGTCCGCAAAAGCTTACCTACTTCATCCCTGAGACGGTGCGCTGTCGCCCTGACAGCAGCAAGGTACGGGATAACATCTACCGTTTTGCCCGCTGACTGTCCAACACCGCCCCGGGCCTGACATATGCCCCGACGCCGGCCACAACCCGCGACCAGTTTCTATGTCAGTATGATGAGCGGGATTCAGTAGTGTTTGACTTGGCCTTCCCATGTCAACAATGTGTTGCATACTATGTTTGCCAACACCCGTGGTTTAGCCTATAGACTTTCTCTGATCGACACAGGGCAGGCCGCGCTGCACATGCAAAATGCCTGCTGCTAGTTCCCATCCGTCACCGACAACTGCATCGTATGGGGAACAAAGGGCAGCCTTCGTCACCCCGGTCACCTGTCAAGTTGATACAGCGGTGGGGACGCGCCGCCAGCCAACCAGCCATGGCCGCCATCTCCATCCCCCATCACCTCGAAACTGCAAGACCGAAGCCCGCCGCCGTCGGTCTGTCTGTGTATATGTCTGTCTGTCTGTCTGTCGTGGCCAAGTACTTACTGTGAGGTACTCCGCACTCCGTACTGCAGCTCCACCGAGAGGCCACATCCCGAGGCTGGACCGGCGCCCGCCCCGCCCGCCCGCCACGACATGCGCGTGGCTCAATCATGGCTCTGGAACTATGCTTGGCTGCTCCGCGATATCACGACAGCTCGGTGTAGAAACATGTACTGTGTACCGTCGTGCCGAGGCTTCATGACCGTGCTGCCGATAATACCTCTAACCACGAACGCGCAATGCACAAACCCCAGATGCTGAAAATAACCCACACCAGGGCCAAGAAATACCATTGCTTATTATTATGGCCAGGACTCTCTCTCTCTCTCTCTTTCTCATCAACGTGGCAGTCCAAAAACGGGCTGAAGGAGTCCAACCCCTGAATCTGACACCAGCTTCCTCCCATCATCTCCCAGCCCTACGGCCTGATCCCTGCTCTCCCGCTCCACCCAATCTTTCTTGTGTGCCTCAGCTCAGGGGTTCATTCATGCACGCTCTTCTGCCGTTCCCTCTCCTTTCGGCCCCACGTTTGCGGCCGGTCGGTCGAGATGAAGTCTCATGTGTGGCCCTCTGAGGGGCCCAATCGTGTTACCCTGGGGTAATCGAGGCTCAGCTGTACGGAGTATTTGTAACTCCATCCTCCCATCCTCCTCAGCTCTGAGCTGGCCAATGCGACTGTGCGTCTTGTTCTGGGATGTGGGATCCTGAGCTGCCAAGCAACTGTCACATCAGAGGAAGACGGCCAGTGGTAGGGAAGGTGTATGCGCCGTTTGTACTTCGCAGAGGTATCTGTAAGATGATCTATAGGCATGGTCTTGGCAAGGACTTTGTCTCGATTGGGTGGGTAGCTCTGACGATGGTGTATGTATGAATGTACACGATGGCAGCCGGCTCACGCCTTGACGCGGTTGAGTTTGACCTTGCCTCGCTTCCTCTTGCTGCCGACCTCCCTGTCCTCCTCGATGTCCAGCAGGGCCTCCCGCTTCTTCTCGCCAACGACGTTGAGCGAATCCCGGACCACCCTCGTCTCCAGGTTGACCCCCTCCTCCTCCCACTTGACCATCTGCCGCCCCACCCGGGCCTCCACGGCGAGGACGAGGTCAACGTCCCTCTGCCCGACAAACGTGACCGCGTCACCCTTGCGTCCCGCACGAGCCGTACGTCCCACCCGGTGGATGTAAACGTCCGGGTCCCGCGGTAGGTCGTAGTTGATCACGGTGGCCACCTCGGGGATATCGAGACCACGGGCCGCGACGTCCGTGGCCACGAGGATGCGCGACGCGCCCGCCCGGAAGCGGCTGAGGTTGTCGACGCGCTGCCGCTGCGGCAGCTTGGAGTGCAGCGAGGTGACTGGGTGCTCGAGCAGGTGCAACAGGTGGTGGAGGTACCTGGCCGTGTCGGTGCGGTTGCAGAATATGATGGTGAGCTTGTCCTTGTTGCCCTCGGTCTTGAGGAACTCGTGCAGGTAGTGCTCGCGGTGCGTCACGGGCACCTGGATGTGCAGCTGCCTGAGCGACGGCGGGATCGCCAGCGTCTCCGTGTCGACCTCGCACACGAACACTGGCTGTTTGCCGGGCTTGGTCGGCATCTCCTTGAGCGCGCGCACCTCTGGGGTCACGGTAGCGGTGAAGAGGAGCGTCTGGCGCTGGGACGACGGGGGCAGGACATCGAGACACTCCTCGACGTCCGGCAGCATGCTGCCCGGGCCGTCCGCCGAGAGCAGGCGGTCTGCCTCGTCGAGCACGAGGAACCTGACGCGCCGGAGGCCGCAGATGGTGTCCTCGCCAGAGGTACGGATGTGGTCTGCCAGGCGGCCGGGGGTTGCGATGACGATGTGCGGACGTTCTGCCAGTGCTATCGCCTGGGTCCGCATGTCGGCACCACCGGTGATCAGGAGGGCCTTGAGCGTCTGGGGTGAAGAGATGGCCTTGAACTGCTCATATAGCTGCAGTGCCAGTTCTCTGTCACGGTGGGTCAGTATTTTGCCTATTCACTGCGTGAAGGGTCGCTTGGAAACACGACTTACCGAGTTGGTGTCAGCACAAGCCCGTAGATAGCAGATGGGTCCTGCGCCCATCTCTGGAGGATGGGAACCGCGAACGCGACTGTCTTTCCTGAACCCGTCCTACTGCCACCGATACAGTCCCTCCCCTTCAATATCTCGGGGATGCAACCCTTTTGAATCCCGGTGGGCCGTTTGATGGCCATGTTGGCCAAAGACTGCACCAACCACGGCTGAACACCCAGAGAATCAAAAGTTGTATGAGGGTCTATTGGTGCCGTAGTACCTGTGCCGATGACCACGTCTTTCGAAACGCTCTGGACAACGGCAGGCTTGGGCGCAGGCTCATCCGCAGCCTTGCGCCTTATGCGTGAGGGTGCGCTGAACGACACAGGTGCCTTTGGCAGATCATCCAGGTCGCTTTCATCCTCCTCTTGGTCTTGTTTTGGGGAGCGTTTGCGTCTCTTTCGAGGGGCATCGCTGTCCAGAGAGTCCGAGTCCGAGTCTGAGTCCGGATGTGACTGGGCATCGCTCCCAGTGCTCACGCTTGCCCCGGCCTCACTCCCGCTCTCACTCTCATCTTCACTCTCACCAACACCGCTGGCGCCGTCGCTATCATTGTCGATTTCGGATTCTGACGCAGAAGGCAGATCTGCCACAGGGGTCCGGGGCCTGGGCTTGGCCCGAGCGGTCACCTTGCTCTTGGGAGGCATCTTTTTGCTCGGTTTTGACGGGCGTTGTGCTGTGCGCGCACCAGTGTGCATGAGGTCGAGGATGCGAAAAAAGTCACTGAAGAAAACCGAGGGTGGGTTCAAACAGGGCCCACCCAGCCAATGGCGCCTGCTCCCGTGCGACCTCTGCTGCGCTAAGGCGGGCCCGTTGACGCGCGCTTCAGGAACCCGGCGGTGCCCACAGGGCCAGTCTTGCCAGTCTAGCCCACATGCAGCAGATGGATAGCATGCTTGGTATACCTCCCCTGGGGATGGCTCCCCTGCGCAATCATCCCCTTCCTACCCGTGCCTTGGCTTAGCGTATCCTTTTCAGGAATGACGTCCTGTTCTCTATCGGGTCAACACTGGACGATACTACGATATAAGCGCCAGAGTCCAGCACGTCCTCTTTAGCTTGTCAATGCAGTGCTGTCGGGCGAGTCCCAGCGTGCAAGCCGGGACTTTCTGCAACCATCTTTGCGAAGCAGCCCTTTGAAACAATGGCATGTTCTCCATGCAGGTGCCCAAATGTGTGAAGCAGCATAACCACGAGGCAGCTACCACGATCTGAGATGCAAAAAAGGTCAAGCATGGGCCAGGGCACGTCGGAAAGTTTAATTGATGCGGCAGCCCGGCGGCAGGCCGGAATGGCAGAACTGTCGTCACGAAGAGGACATCCCTAGGGAGATGCAGGCTGGCAGGCTGGCAGGCTGGCAACGGCTGCCGAGGTGGTCAAACAGTAAAAACGGTAGGTGGTGGTTCGACCGAGCATCACATCCGCAGACCCGTTCTTGTCTGTAATTTGGATGCATGGACTGGCGTTGCATCACACGCCGTCACATCTGCCAACACACGAACAGATGGCCAATGGCGCGGGATCTGCGGATGACCCCTAGCTTGATTGAGATGCGAGGGCGGATCTTGGGCCTTTCTCCATACGGTGGTCCTTTTTGCCAGATGATGAGCAGGCTGGCAGGCTGGACTCGCAGGGCCACGAATGGGGACCTTCGGAGGCGGAGGGACTCAGATCCTTTGGGTGGGGAGAGACGGGGGGAGACAGTGTGTGTGTGGGCAGCTCATTCTGACAATTGCTGCTGGTGGTCAGCTTTTCTCTCTCTTTCTCTTGGGGTGGATAGATGGAGCTGTAGCTAGCTGGATTGACGCAGCAGAATCATCAGCACCAGCACCGGCACCCTTGCCTGCTCCCTTCATCTCCAGGACTGCGTGCCGAGTACTTTCCACAGGCAGCAGGGATTGAGCACGTTGGGCTGGGCTGGGCTGGGCTGGCTGGATGGGGCCTTGGGCTGGGCTGGATGGCCAAAGGGTGACAGCAGGAAAAGCAACGGTCACAGACAGTGGTTTGAACCTGAAGACTTGATGATTATGGCGATGGCGATGGCGATGATGATCGGCCTGCTGTGCATATGACAGGATTCACGACGGTATCAACAGCCGCCGGCCCAGGCAGCTGGGGAACAGGCACGACCTGCGACAGGCTGGCGGGAGGTGGCGGGCCCCCCATGCCATCCCTGCAGCCCACCGCAATCCACCGTCAGGCAGTGTCTGGGACTCTGGATTGGCCCACCTTGCCCACCTGCCCACACGCTCCTCCTCCAGATGTCACTCTTCACTGCCCGTCCCGCCTGCCCGCCTGCCCGCCTGGACCAGGTGCCCACTCTCGCCCACTGGGGCCATTTTAGCCAGTGCCTGAGGTCTGAGGTGAGGTGCAGCATTGAACCAACCGTCCGGACCCTTGTCGGCCCCAGTTCTCGGGCTCTTGAGTCCTGAGCCCTGAATTCTGCACTTGCCTTGTTGCCGTACCATACCACCACAGTACACAGTAATCCAAGACCCCGTCCTTGGCTGGGCCTGGTCAAACTGGAAATACCCCCCTCCACCCAGACACAGAAAGACGCAACCGACAGTCGGACAACTATCTTCTCTCTCTCTCCCTCTCGACACATCTCTGCTCCATAATCAGGTTGGCTGTCGCTGTTGGGCCTCCATTTGCATCGCAATTATCAGCTGAGCCATGCAGAGCTTAGTTGTCCCTGTTGTCCCCGTCGACCCTGATAGCAACTTTTTGGCGCTCACTTCATGCTCCCCGGCCTAAGCCACCGTCTGCCCGATTCCCCGTCGACTGAGCAGAGCCGACGTTGCATCAAATAGCCAGCCCTGTACTCCATATCCCGACTCGACTCGACTCGACAGACACGACACGACCTCTCCCTTGCCCTTGCCCCAGCAAGCACCACCCAGCAGCACCAGCATTCGCATTGCGAGCTTTGGCCGAAATCGACGCGTGGTCTCCTGGTCTCCTGCTCGTCCACCTCGCGTCTGAGGTCATCGGCTGCCTCCTGCCTTGCTTTTCTGTTCTCTCTATCTCTATCTCTCTCAGACCAGGCCAGCCTGACCTGACCTGACGTACTTCCCCACGGGCACGGCTAGCATTGATCGTCTGAGCTTGTTTCCCCCCCTCCCCTATTTTCCGTACCCTCGCAACGGGCTCATTGCTTGCCCGGGAAAGCCTAATCCACCGCCCACAATCCGTCATCCACCATATACACTAGGCACAGCCGCCTGTTGATTCCACCTCGGCCGAACCTCCCGCCCTCACCGTCCAACAGGTGTCCGCCTCCACAGAGGCTCTGCTTGCGTCCCCCTGCCCCATGATGCATGAGCAAGGGAACTCTAACGGCGACCCGGCCGCACAGGTAAGTTTTCTTTGTCCCACCCACCATCTCCGCCGGCCTGCCTCGTCACCCCTTTGAGCCCGTCATACACCACTATATCTGCTCGACTCCAGCCGTCCTCGTGTGTCCCCTGACCACACAAACCACAGTACTAACACCCTCTGCCGCAGCACATGTCCAATTCACAGGATCCACAACCACCAATGCTCTCCTCCCAGTCTCCAAATCCCGTCCCCATGATGAACGCCCCAGCTCCTCTCCTCCGCCCCGCCATACCAGGTGCAAGAGGTGGCGGCGCCCGCACGCCTCGCCTGGGACTCGCCATACCCCCGTCTCCGAATGTCAAGCCCGTCGGCGCCGGGCCCGGTCTCGGCCAGCCCTCCCGCCCGCCCCTGCCCAAGCTCAACCTTGCCACTCCAATGGGCACATCTGTCGCCCCTCAAGAACACCAACCTTCGCGTGGCTCTCAACCAGGCCACAGTGCCAGTGGCGGCAGCGAGAGCAGCGCTGCCCACAGCCGCACGGGCAGCTTCGGGCCGCTGGACGGCAGGGGCAGCAACCCCACCTCGGCCGGCTCGCAGTATTCCGCCCTCTCCTTCGCCTCGCAATATGGCCTGGGCGGCGCAAAACCACATGGCACTCCCGACCCCGTGAGCGCCGTGGGCTCTCTCTACTCAAACGCCAGCGAGGGTGGCGCCGGCATGGAGCGCGAGGGCAGCATGCACGGCTTAGAAGCCTCCTTCGATAAAATGAGCTTGGAGAAGGCGAGGACGCTGGACGCCGAGGACCTGGACGACGAGGGCTGGCGCATCGTGAGCATGGAGAACCGCATCGTCGAGCTTGGTGGCCTCGGTGAGGGCGCCGGAGGTGCCGTCACGAGGTGCAAGCTCAAGGGAGGCAAGACCGTCTTTGCCCTCAAGGTAAGAGGCACCGTTGCAATCCCCACCTCGCTACCTCGTCGCGCTTATCTAACTCGTGCGTGCTACAGGTCATCACGACGAACCCAGATCCTGATGTGAAGAAGCAAATCCTGCGGGAGATCAATTTCAACAAGGGCTGCGCGTCTGAGCACATCTGCAGGTACTACGGCGGTTTCCTCGAGCCTTCTACTGCCACCATCTCCATTGCCATGGAGTTCTGCGAGGGTGGATCACTCGACAGCATTTACAAGGAGGTCAAGCGTCTCGGCGGCCGGACAGGCGAGAAAGTCCTGGGCAAGATCGCCGAGGGTGTTTTGCAAGGCCTGACCTACCTCGAGGCTAAGCGTATCCTTCACCGAGACATTAAGCCATCTAACATCCTCCTTTGCCGCAACGGTGAGGTAAAGCTGTGCGACTTCGGCGTGTCTGGGGATTTTGGTACCAAGGGCGAGGCGAACACATTCATTGGCACAAGCTACTACATGGCGCCGGAGCGGATCACGGGTCAAACATATACTATTACTTCGGACGTGTGGTCAACAGGCGTGACACTGCTCGAGGTTGCCCAACACCGCTTCCCATTCCCGGCCGACGGCACAGAGATGCAGCCTAGGGCCGGCTTGATCGACCTGTTGACGTACATCGTACAGCAGCCGATCCCCAAGCTGAAGGACGAACCCGAAGCGGGCATCTTTTGGAGTGACAATTTCAAGCATTTCATTGAGAGCTGGTAAGTCGCCTCCTGCTGACTGAACCGAGCACACAGCTGACCCGCCTGCAACAGCCTAGAAAAGAACCCCAAGCGTCGCGGCATGCCGTGGAAGATGCTGGAGCACCCATGGATGACGGAGCTCAAGACGAAGCGCGTCAACATGGGCAAATACCTGTCCCAAGTATGGGGCTGGGACGACAAGGGGTCAAAGTGATGGAAATCGCACCAGGAACAGAAGACCATATTGCATACAGAATCAGAGCATCACATTCTCAGCCGCAGCGATGAGGAAAACTTTACCGAGAACTTTTATCAACACAACGCCATATAGCACCGCAACGGCCGATCGCACACTTCGAATCGATCATACCAGGACGGTTAGCATTGGAGCATGTCGAAACCGCATAGCGCGAGCGTCTAGCCCACAAGGCCATACATACATATCACACACTCACCGTCCACAGACACACAAATCCACATCTTGGTCAGGTCGGGAATCACCAACATGGATCACATTAATCGCTGGGACATTTGGGGTGAAAGGGGGTTGCCGCGAGGCAGAAGATTGGTACAGTCTCGCACAACAAGCGAAGGATACTGGAAGTGAGGCTCAGTCTTGGGTAGCCTTAGAGGCTTGAACAAATCTTGAAAATTCACGGAAGGCTAGGAGGGCCCACAGCACAGGGTTACGGAGTCACTAGTGGAAATGGAAAGGGATGTTCTCAAATCTGCCACTGCCCCTTGATGCGACATCAATACGTGAATGCTGGCTCGGTTTCATCGATCTAAGTGTAAGTCACTCTGCGTTGAAAGAAAGCCGAGTGAAGCCAGTGGCTCTAGTGATTCTAGCCACATGTTGATGCCTGTCCTTTGCTCATGACCACCACCCTTTTCGTTCAACCATTGCTTTTGCGGGTATCTAGTTAAACAAACCACATTCATGGGTATTTACTCAAAACACTGACATGGGACAACAGGGCCGCGCCCGCCCACCAAGCCAAACCACATTTCCGCATTGTACCTGGGCGACTCGAAATGGCCCACATCTATCCTCAACGTACACAACGTCCCCAGAGTAAAACTTTTCCAAGCATTTGAAAGGAGGGCATCTCCCCATATTGTGGCCCTTTGTCCTGCGCAAGGCAGGATTATTTAGAAGGCGAACCGGGTTCGAGACGAATCACGCCAGCGGCCAATGGGAACCCCCCATTTGCGAAATGCCGCAGAGTCCACTTCGAGCCCCGAGTCAGAAGCAGAGCGTACAGATCAAACCAAATCTGTGAGCGCAGCCCAGATGATGTGCACACAGGCGGGCCCACAGGACCACAGGTTCCGGTCAGATCTTTTGCGAGGGTGGCCAATTCCGGCCGTAGTTGCTGCGTCAAATGGCACGCAGCGTGCTCCGTAATACAATATTTCCTCATCCATCCAGCACTTTTCATCAGGTTCACAGCCATTCGGTGCATCGTTGCAAAGGCAGTAGTAGCAGCATGAGATGTTCTGGTGGGCGTGGTGTCCCATCAAGCCATCGCAATTAGTTGCGTGAAGAGACGGTGGCAAAGACAGCCATGGTTTCGGCGCATTTAAGCACTTGAAGTGCGCGCGGACATTGCGAGTGGGCTTTTTAGGACGGGCTGACAGGACTGCCCTCCTTCTCTGGCTCCACCTCGGCCATGAGCTCTCTCAGAACGACTGTGGCGTAGGCGCTTGCGTTGAGGCTGAACTCGAGCACGACCGCGATCTTGACCGTAGCCTCGTCCACTGAAGAAAGGTCTCTCTGGGTGAAAGACTCAACGGCCTCTTTGGTCAGACGGTCGTCATTTCTCTTCTTGAACCACTCTGCTCTTGGCTGGCCTGTGGTGGGCGTCGGTTCCTTCCCGGCAGGGGCTACCTGAGTGCTGGCACCTTTCTCGGTCCCGCTGCTGCTAGGACGACTTGCAGCAAGGGCAGTCTCGGCTTCCTCTGTTGCCATGCTCGTCGAGGGCTTTGTCAAAATAGGATCCTGCAGGTGTTTGTTGAGCGTCTCCATCGCGATTGCGTTTTGATGGGCCAGTGCCTCAGGAGTGGGCGCTTCAGCCTGGCAAGATGGTGCTGGAAGCTCGTGGCTAAGCGTTCTTGGTTTGGCTGCGAAACCCGCATTGCCAGACTCGGGGACACTTGGCTGCCGCGTAGGCGCCAGAATCCGCACGGGCTGTAGACTCTCACCCTCCACGGCATCGCCGTGGAGTGGTGCGGCTACCTTGGTAGCCGTGGGTCCGGTAGCCACATTGGACTGCGACTCCAGAGAAGAAGCCTCATGTCTAGTCTTAATTCTCTTGAGGCTACCATCCTCGGACCGCTGGATCCAGGTTTCGTTGACACGAGGCTCAACCTCGGGTTTCTCCTTCATCTGGCGACGACGCTCTGCGTCGATTTTATCATCGTGGGCAGCAGGGTCTGCTGCGAAGTTGTTCCAACCGACAGCGGCGGCCACCATCTCTGGGTCTTTGGCAATCTCTTTCGCCTTGAGCTCGGCCTTGCGCTGCTCGATGAGGTTGGCATCTGTCGGCCGCATCTGCTCATTATCATCCGTGTAGGTGCGAACTTCCCACTTTGGCTCTCCAATGAATCTGCCGACGATATGACGGTAAGCCCCGCTAAGGCTGAAGTCCTTCTTCGATCGGCGCATCTGGTGGGGATTCAGTCGACCATTCTCTGGCCTCGACATGAACTCAACATAGAATTCGCCGATATCGTTGTCTGGGTAGATCACGTCGTAACCAGGGACTGGCAGCACAAGATCAAAGACGGTGAACTTGCCACTCTGGACCTCGACCTCGCTCAGGTGCCGGGCTCTCTGAAACTGAGGCTCGTCAGCCGCGGCTGCATCGACCTCGTCGTCGACAATATCCGCAGCGGTCTTTGCGGAGTTGACTAAAATCAGGTCCCCAGGAATGACCTTGGATCCATACTTGGCCCAACGATGGGAGACAGCATGGTTCCAGACGTACGATTGGTAGGCATGGAGGTACAAGTTCCGCATGCCGCGTGTGATGGATAGAATCGCACCTTGAGGATCACGCGGATTCTTAGCAAGATGGCTGATGACGTTCATCTCGGAGCCAAAACGTTTCGGCATATACTGAAGCGCGGCCTTCGCGTTTCTGGCAGTCTTCCACTGAATGATGGCGCGGACGCGGTTGATCTCGTCTCGGTTCGCCGGAGTCTCTTCGACGGAGCCAGACATTACTTTGCTCATGTAATCCGGGTCGACGTGGAGGATTCCGTCAATAACGGCTTCGTAGTCTTCCATCAGCAACATCTTGCCGAGCTCGTGCGTCCCGACGAAGTGGGTGCCGAATCTCTGGAGACCAAAGTAGTTGATAAAGCCGTATTTGGTCATTTCTGAAACGGCCGACTCGACAGCCTGGGTGACCATTTGGACTCGGCGCTTAAGCGAGCAGCCTTGACCACGGCTGACAGAGACATTTTTGACAGTGATTTTGAACTCATTACCACCGTGGTCTCCAAGCTGTATCGGGTACTTGCTGTACTTGTAGTCGCCCAACTTGATGGCGGGGATCTGGCTGTTGAGGAAATCCAAGGTTTGGTGCTTGGCATGGAAGGCGCTGATGCGCTGGACTGTAGCTGCACGCCTGTCCTTGGTGCCAGCGAAGCCAAAGTTGTTCGCCTTGATCTTGAGCATACGGGCAATCTGGTTGATTGCATCCATGGTATCTTTATTCTCCTTGTACAGGGTGAAATGAAGATACTCGCCCCCCATCTTCTTGAACGAGGGCTGGGTAGAGCGGTGGCGCTGGCCACCAGCACGAGGGTTCTTAGTGAAACGATTGGACGGAATCGCAGTGATTATCCCATCGGTTCCAGTCTCCGTGTCTATTTTGGATTGGAAGATGCGGCGAATTTCCTGTATTTACTGTTAGATGCACCCTGTATGCTTCAGTGACAGATTCTTACTTGATGAACTTTTCCTCGTTGCGATCGCTCCATGGGAGGAAACTTGACCGAGTTTGCTCGTGGGTCAAGTCTGCTATTTCCAGACGCCCCGATTCGTTCGAAAAGGTTCTTTAGTGCCTGTGTGGTAGGCTCACCCAAGAGATCACAGAGAACTTTAACGTCCTCATCGCTGACCTGGACTGACACAGCACCACTGGGAAAGGCCTGTGCTTCCGTTGCGGGGGCCGAACAGGTACCATTTTGAGCATTCTGGTGAGGCTGTCCAGGAATGTGAACGTCCTGTACTGCAGTCAGCCATGCATTTCGAGCAGACGAGAGTGGGAGGATGAAGTAACCTACTGCGTCAGTAGGTCTGGGACCCAGGTTGTAATCTGTGAGATGGAGAACCTCGCCATTCTTCTGGATCTCATTCACGAGAAAGTCTGTGAATCTGCTTGCAGTCAGCTTTTCATGTTCAGCCAATCGATGGGTGAGTGAGCAGTAGCAAGAGCTGCAGGAATGAGTGTGAGGGGTGCCATCACTTGCGGTCTGGCAGCATCAAGAAAACACGTACCGCTTGCGCACGTCACCGTGCCAGCCATGGTTCTGAGGGGAGCTGAAATGAAGAAGACCCAACTTCTTCTCTGAAGCTGCTCGTACAGAAGGCATGTAGTTCATTGGCTGATTTGGATTGTGAGATGGCTGCTGTGCTGCGTGATGTGGTCGGTCGTGGTGACGATTTTGGCTGCGAAAATGCTGCTGGTGGGTGTCTGTATCCTGAACGGAATAAGAGGCCTGATCAGGTGGGCTTGCCATCTTGAAGAATTCCTGAGGCAAAACTTTGGTGGGAAAGTGGGCAGGGACGAGGGTATCGCAGCGAGTGTGCGTGTTGGAGGGGCGAGTAGGAAGCCTCCCAAGCTGCGATGAGCAGCAGTCCTCGTTATGGGACAGCAAGGCACTCTTGCCAGATTCGTGAGTGAAAGTTGTTTTCAATCAGTAAAACGCCACTGCAAAGCCAGCCTTGAAGCTGATTTCCTGGTGGACAATGCTGAAGTATGGTTGATCTGACGAAAGTAAGGTCGATTCAAGTAAAGGGCCCTGACTTTTTTGGAAAGCAGCAAATGATGCCCACCCAAAAAGCCGGTTATCGATAAGCCTCAGCACCTCAAAGTACGGAGGTACCTGGCAATGGTGCCTTGCGCTAAGGTGACATACCTCTCGTGGCATTCAGGAAGAAAGCAAATGTTGTTTTGTCCTGAGCTAAAAGTTCTTTGAAACTGGCTTGAGTATTACTGATAAATGATTTCGTGATCAGTGATTAGACATCTTGGAATTGGGAACAGGACACTATCATTGAGGGCCCAGTCTATATCCTTTCAGTGAATTTCACCTCTCCAGTCAGCAGTTCTCCTAATTCAACTCATTCCATTGATGATGTTTTGTACAAGTCATAACATGCCCTGATACATGCTGTAGATCCGTTGAAACCATTTCATGCTTCCTACCAGATGCTTGTGACCCTTTTCATGCTCGTCATTATATATACAGCTCATTCTCGGATTGTTAGCCAGAGCTGGTTCCTGCCATCCTTGCTCATCATGCTCGTCTGATCATTACTCCAGGAGCCTCACATACGGGGCTGGGAACAAGCCTTTTGAGCCCATGTAAACCCCATGATACCACTCCCCATTCGCGTCCTCAATTTCCGTGATCTCTGCACCCTTGGGGAACAGAAGCTCGTCACTGTTCTCGGGAGCGGGATACCAAGCCCACCTTGCGGTCGCTCTCAGACCAAACCCGCCATCAGGCGGAAATGTCGGGTTCCCTGTGTCTATGCTCTGGGCCACGTCGCTGGACACAAGTCTCTCGCGCTTGTCGTCACCCTCATACCAAAACCATCGTTGCAAGCCAGGCTCCTCTGGCACCGTCTCAGCCTGCAAGCGTCGGCCACCGACGAGGTCACGCACGGTGTAACGCCTCTGCCCGCCACTGCCATCCTGGAAACCCACCACTACCATTCGATGGCCCTTGGGACACCGCCTCCAGCCAGATGGGCCGTTCTCCGGGTTGATACGACCATTTGAGCTCATAGAACCATAACACTGTTCGCATATGTCGTAGTCTCCGGGTCTCGAGTCTGGCACTATCGAGCTGATACACGTAAAACAGTGGAAGCGACTCTGCGTGGGCGCGATGGGCATTCTGCAAATATCACACGTAGTGATAAAGGTCATGACTTTAAAAGGGCCGATGCTTGTTGCGTTTAGACCCACCATCATGGTCGCTGATGAGGGGCGCGATGGCGAGCGAGGACTTGGTGGCAGCGATCCCGCTGACTTCAGGGAAAACTGATGAGCCAGCGGAAGCAGGGCGTGCGTGCAGCTCCTGCCTTGGTTGACACAGTCGTTGCAGAAACCCCTGAAGAATGCAGTCAGCTATCAAAGTGCTAATGGAGATGTCATGCGGATATGGAGAGAGGAATGAGCATGCCACCATGTGCCCACGGCCTTTCCCAAATTCCGCTGCCTATGAAAAGGCATTGAGACAAACAGTGGCAAGACTGAGACCAGTCTTGGAAGAGTTCATCGAGAAGTATCTTGTGTTCGAAGATGCTTACCAATCGCCCTGGTTGCAAACATCACAACGCCAGTAGCACTCATTCGACCATGTGAGGCAAAGCGCGCAAAAGGTCCCGCTCTGCAACCGTTCGTATGGATCTTCAGTCGACCACGCCTTTCTGTCTTCAGCTGCGGATGCCACCATGGCTGTAGGTTGGAGGAACCGGCTTGCCATAAGTTTGTGAGGCTCTGGCAAGGACGGATCAGATCTGCGCAGTCGTTCCCATTTGGTGAATGCACCATAGCCGAAACCAAACCAATTCAGACACCCTTTTCCGGCACGATAACAGTCTAGACAGATATTCCAGTCGCCATTTTTACAGTCCGCGCAGTTGTAGTGTAATTCGTACTCTATATGGTCTCGGCGGCATCGGTCACATCTGATTGCAGGCTCTGCGAAGAGTGATGTCCGATGCTTCTGGTGGCCAGCGCTGGACGTCGGAGATGCCAGTAGGTTCGCGTTGGTCATGGTGGGAGTAGGGTTCAGGGGTGGCCCCAAGACAACGTCAGCGGGTCTCTGCCGGCTTGAGCTCGAGCTCGAGCTCGGGTCGGCAACTGTCCTTTCTTGGGGCTGTAATATGTTCAAACCGTTGGCTCGGGCGCTGAAGGGCAAAGCCGTGGAAGGTGGTGATTGTACAAGGACTGGATTGCTGCTTGGGACGTCCGATGTGCTTGCACTTCGCCCATCCCCAATGGCTGGCCTCTTGGAGGAAGTATTCAGACTATTTGACCTGGCATTCAAGTCTGTCTGAGACCGTGCGCCAACCCTGACCTCTGGCTGGGTAGGGCCGGCCGGTAAGGTCGAACTGCGGTCCCTGCTTCCGCTGGCGGCACGCCGACGCCTCCTCGGCTCCTGAACTTCCAGAGTCGCAGAGCGTGAAGATATAGGCGGCCTGCTGCGTTCTTCGGACTGACTCGTGGCACTTGCTGATCTTGAATGACGATCTGTCTGCCGGTTTGCTGACCTCGACGTAACAGCTAGCTGAGGCCTGGGTTCGGACGGCCCAGCATGGGAGCTTCGAGAGGTGGCGCGGCTCCTTTCCTCGTGACGCATCCTTTCTCTTTCTCGCTGACGCCTCCGGTATGCTTCAGTGATCTTGCGGCTCAGCTCGTCGTTGTTGATGAGGTCGATGTTCTCCAGGTCCAATCCGTCCAGTAGGCCCTCTTCCTGGATTTGCCGGGCGAATTCCTCCACCTCTCGCTCCATGTCGATGTCAGCTGCGTCTGAAGAGCTAATCAGGGAGCGAAGAGACGACTGGTGCTCGATGTGACGCCTCTGTCTTTCCCTCAAATCCTCCGCCCTTCGTCTGGATTCGTTGCTGCTACTGCGGCTGTGTTCGGACCTTGATCCCACATGGTCGGGCGACAGCCTCGCATTCTGCTCCGCTCTGAGGTTAGACTCCCTATCTGCGGTGGCTCCACGCCTATGCTGGCGCTCCCGAGGCCGCGAATCGCCGCTCCTGGTCGAGCTCGTGTCTCTGGTCCGATGAGAGCTCCCGTTCCTGTGCCTCGTGGATGATCCGTGCTGGCGCGAACTGGAGGTGGCTGGCTCGCCATTCACAGCCTCGAGAAGACTCATCTCTCGCACCGACTCAATGAGGGTCCTGTCGCGCTCCTCTAGGCGTAGCTGCTCGACAGTTCGTTCTGGGATGTTCAGCCTGGGAAGCACGCTGTCTCCTGGTTTGTACTTGGCATCCATCTCTTCCTTTTCAGGGTCTGGTTTCGCCTTGTCCGGGTGCGCAACAAGCATCATGTCCAGGAGCGAGGCAACAGTGGCATTGTGTCTCGTGTCCCGCACCGGTGCCCGGCACGAGGGGCAGGTGAAGACGGAAGCGCCGGGGGCTGGCGGATCGGGGCCATTCTCGACTGCGTGAGCCTGCCATGCGAACCAGTCCTTCAAGCAGGCGCCACAAAAGGTATGCAGACAGTCCAGAAGCGTAAGGGGGTGGTAGAGCAGCTCGGTACAGATCTGACTCGGCACAGTGGTTAGAAGGGCGGAGGAGCGGGGCACATGGGCAAGACGACTGAGACAGACGACATCTGGAGGCAACTCACCGAGCAGGTCAGCTCTTTCTCCAGATCCAGTGCCGGCTTGGACGACTCCATGCTTTCCCTTCCCGCAAGGGCTTGCGCCCTCGGCTCTGCGATCAGGAAGTCGCGAACAGCAAGGAAAGACTGGAGTTTGACCACACGTGCAGTGGCAAGGATCAGGGTTCCGCCAGGGTTATATCGATCAGGCTGTCAGGTCAAGGGCCCAGGCAAGTAGCTAAGCTACCTGGGAACCGATCAGACTATGCAGGTCGGAATGGGCTAACAGGGTCCAGCGTTGTAGATCCATCCAAAGACAACTCGAGGAGACGGGGCTCCAGACATCGAGGACCGTACCCGAAGATTCGCAGAAGTACAGCAGGAGATCCAAGAGCAGAAGAGCCTACCTACTAAAGTAGGCACTAAGTAGGTATGGACCTGGTGGCTGCAGAGGCTTGACTTACGAGTGGCTCCGGTTTCTTGATGTTTGGCGCTTATGAGAGCAAGCTGCTTGGCCAGGCAAATGGGGTAAGCTTGGTTGAACTCTCCACTTGCACGACACATCATGTGTGCAGCACCATGATCGACTACTATAGTGGAGTGTGATTCGAGACATCTGGACAAGACCCGATATTATAGGGACGAGCTTGGTTCAGTTGACCGCCCCGCGGCCACGGCGTCGATATAGTGGACCACGTGGGCAATGCTCACTGCCCAGCTTTGTATGGGATATTCGCATTATGGGGAGGTCTCCTGCACATGAACCTCCTATGGGATATAATCTCATACGATCCTATATATCCTTAGTGGGACAATTACTCGCGAGGCGATTTGCTCAGGGATGCCCTGCTGAAGGACGTCCTCACGCAGGCTTAAGCACTCTCGAACGACCTCAGTGCGATGAGTGACGTGGACGCGATCGTTCAATTGGGCGTGGCGTGGTTTATGCATGTTGCCAGAAGTACAGCACACCTCTTGCTCTGGCCGGCTGTGTATTATACTTCTGTGTTTCCGAGATGGCAGTAGCTTGATTGGTTTATGATTTTCACCTACTCGTGCTTCCACTCTGCCTTCGTCTTGTCCGCAAATGCCTTCATGCCAATCTTTTGGTCCTGGCTGCCAAACAGACTGTGGAAGACGCGCCTCTCATACTCCACACCGTCCCGCAACGGCAGGTCCTGACTCTTGTTGACAGCCTCCTTGCCAGCCTGCACGGCAACCTTTGAGTAGCCGGCTATGGTCTCGGCTGTGTTCAATGTAGCCTGCATTAGTTCCTCGTAGGTCGGAAATGTCCTGGCGGCGACTCCCCACTCGTAAGCCTCCCGCCCGGAGAAGAACTTCCCAGTGAGGATCAGCTCCATGGCCCTAGACTTGCCAATGGCCCTCGTCAGGCGCTGGCTTCCTCCGGCTCCCGGGACGGTGCCAAGCTTGATCTCTGGCTGGCCAAAGTTGGCCTTGTCCGTGCAATATATAATGTCACACATCATAGCCAGTTCGCATCCTCCGCCCAGCGCGTGCCCAGAGACCGCGGCAATTATGGGCTTCTTGATCTGGGTCGTCAGGTCGGACCAGGACTCGATGAACGAGTTGCGATACGCCTGCGAGAAAGTGAGGGGCGCCATCTCCTTGATGTCTGCGCCAGCCGCGAAGGCCTTCTCGGAGCCCGTCAGGATGATGGCCGCGACGCTGTCCGAGGCATTGAACTTCAACAGAGCCTCGTTGAGCTCGGTGATCAGCGGGGTACACAGGGCATTGAGAGCTTTGGGCCGGTTCAGTGTGACTGGAGGGAAATCAATCATCAGCCATCGGCCATGTGCGCGTGTGATGCCCAGCAGCTTCGGACGGCGTACCTTGCCCAACACCGGGCTTCGGCTCGGAAACTTGAATATATTCGTAGCTCATTCTCGTCGAGGCGGAGAAAGAGGCGCGGGAGACTCGTGGCAGCGTCGAGGACTGGAGCCTGGAGGCAATTGGCCTCAGACTCCGGAGACTTTGCATCTTGGAGCAATGAGAGTCAAGTTCCGCAGCTATGGCGATAAGCAGCGGGGCGACGACGCTATGCCGCGGGAGTAAGGGATGCCAATATCGAAAGCGGGCGGGGCGCTGTGGCTGGTGGTGCAAGGACTTGACCGAATGGGCAAATACCTGGGGTCTAGAGTCTACCTAGGCAGTGTCTAGGTCTAGGTAGAAGAACGACAACCGGATTCAAACTGCAAGTTGGGCCTGGACAAAAGCGTGCGACACGCCGTAGCCATCCAAGACCGACGGTTGCCGTCGGCCGAGGTCGAGCTACTTGCCTTTTGGAGCAGTGTCGTCACAGCTCTCCCGGTGCTCCAGATCCCCACTAGGGGTACCGGCTAGCCCCATCCGTGGGTACCTGGGCAAGCTGGGCAGGTATGTGAATGCATGCGCAGGCAAGACAGGTGAACGCGTATTCGGCGTTTACTGGCAATGGGCATTCGTTCCCACCGTTCAGCCCCTGTGGGACAGACAACAGGGGTCTCAGCACGGCTCAGGGGGCGGCACATGGACCTGGGCTGTCTGTCAATCAGCGCAATAGAGAAGTGGGGCCCAATCAAAAATACTGGTTGACTGGTTGGGTGACCCGGGAGCCTTGGGAGCCCACCGGAGCCCTTTTAGTGAGCTCCAGCTCTAGACAGATTTCAAAGTCGTCGCAGGCTGGAACCATCTTTAAATCCATTTTGCGGACACCACGACCCGTCCGACCTATTGTGTCCGCCCTTCGAGGACCACTCGCCCTGCGACGATACCTCAACCACCTCCCGTGTTCAACCCTCTCGCTCGAAGCCTCGAAGCCTCGCCGCCTCGCCGCCCCGCCTATTGCATGCTCACGGCTGCATCCGTCTTCCCCAACAACCACCTCGTAGTCGTCCCATCTCGTCGCGATGGATGCTCCTGAACCCGACCAGACCCCCTTTGCCTCGGTGTCGGCACAGACATCGAAACTTCAAAGGCAATACCAGGCGCTGCTGGACCAGTCAACTCCATATGTCACGTACAGATGGGTCGGGACGACTGTCTTGTTGCTCATGTTTTTTGCGCGCATCCTGTACGCGCAAGGCTGGTACATCGGTCCGTTCACCCTTCACTGCTCGTTCAACTGCCCGGCGCCTCTCCCACTGACAACATACTAGTGGCCTACGCCCTCGGGATCTATTTGCTCAACCTCTTCCTTGCCTTCCTGCAGCCCAAGTTCGACCCTTCCAATGAGGCCATCGATAATGAGATGGAGGATGGCGCGGCCGGGTCTTTGCCAACAAAGCAGGACGAGGAGTTCAGGCCGTTCATCCGACGCCTGCCAGAATTCAAGTTCTGGCACTCTGCCACTCGCGTCATCGTCATCGGCTTTGTCTGCAGCTGGTTCGAAATCTTCAACGTGCCGGTGTTCTGGCCCGTCTTGGTCATGTACTGGTTCATCCTGTTTTTCTTGACCAGTAAGTCGAGCGTTTCCCCCCGGGCTTGCGAGTATGCTAACGAAGCCCAGTGCGCAAGCAAATCCAACACATGATCAAGTACCGCTACGTGCCCTTCACCATGGGCAAGACACGGTACAACAGGAACGCCGAGTAGGGCGGAAAAGACTGGAGGCCAGAGCTTTGCGACACAAGTTCTGCTACGACAATAAAATGGCCCAAGCATATGAGATATTCTGATTCTGTGCCGAGCTCCCCGTTATCAACTTTATGACCCCTTTTAATCTGCATCTGCATGATGGACGGAGGCAGGTACCGCCTCCAAGCTTTGTCGTATAATCGGCGCACACGTTACGGACTCGACCTGAGGCGTTGCTGTTTGCTTGGGTACTCTAGCTGGTCGAAAGGGCCAGAAAGATGGGGAGCTGGAATCAGGGCTTAAGGGAAGAACGCGATAGGTAGACTACGATCCTCTATAGAATGAAGCGGCTTGACCTCTCCCAGCTTGCAGGCGTGAGTATCGTACGGCCGGGTCACTTGTCTGTCCCCGGTGCTGGAACAGTCTGTACTGTGCAGGATTACAGTTCGTCAAACCAGGCCTAGATTGAGCGCAATGATGCTATCGTCTTTCCTGTTCTGAAATTTGCAGAATAGGGCCTAATGGGGGAATTGGGGAAAGGGGCTGGGGACGGACCAAGGGTACGGGTAGGTACACGCCCCGCGTGTCTTTTAACCGTCGTGCAACTATAGGAAGCGCACCCATGCAAACGCCAGACCGGCCATCGTCTCTTGGCAGCCGCAACTCTTCCAGCTCCCAGTTTCCCGCAGAGCATCCCCAAAAGACCAACACCTCGGACGCCACGACCGCAATTTGACGAGGCGTCCTCGCTCAAGGCATCGGTCGTTCGTGTCGGCACCAATTGTCAACATGTCGTCCTCACAGTCTTCACACGCTCGCCAAGACTTCATCGCGAGGATCAGATATTCCAATGCTCTTCCGCCGCCGCCAAATCCTCCCAAGCTCCTCGACATTCCAAACACTGGCCTCGCGAGCGGGCAGTACACGACACCAGGCTTCGCTTCTCGCCTGGCGCGAGAGCAGCCGCTGAACATTGAGGCAGATGCAGAGCTTGGGATGCCTTTGGACCTGGTGGGCATGCCAGGTGTCTTCGACGGCGATGAGAGCTGTGCGTCTTGATCACCATCAAGCTCGAGGTTGAAGGCCTGCAACTGACACTGAACAGCGATCCAAGCACCGCCGCAGCCCCCGCAAGTCCACCCCCACGACCGAGCCTTGTTGCGACCGCTGGCCACCCTCGGCAAGCCCAAGGTCGCCGGTGCTGCTGTCTCTTTCCTCCGTCGTACCGAGTACATTTCCAATGCAAACACCACAACGAAATCCAGCCCATTCCGTCAAGCTCCAAAGAGCGCCACCCAGCGGCCACTCAAGCGGAAATCTCCGGAGCCCGACATCGGAACACCGGCCTACGTAAAGCGCAAGATTGAGAAGGGCTTTGAGGCAGCGCAGGAGAACCTGAAGGACAAGAGCCGGATACGACACCCGACCAAGCCTCCGGTGAACAAGTTCAGGAACCTCAGGGTGGTCGAGGCCTACCCTGTCCTGCCCGACCTCGACGCGTTCCCGGACTCTGGCGCCTATGTCACATACAAGTTTGCGCATCCCCCCATACCCAAGGATGGGACTTATGACAGGCGCCTCCTCAACAGTATATTGAAATACAACCGGTCGCCAGAGGAGGAAGAGGCCTACAACGCAGCGGTAGAGGCGCACAATCGCGACCCGGAGAACTTTCCCAAACCGCCAAACCAGCAGCCGTACAACTTCTACCTTGCCGACAAGGTTAAGCACGTCGACATGTTCCGCAAGAGATTCGATTTGCGCAACCCCGACCGCGACGACGAGAGCCTGAATCCGGAGACCAAGGCTGACAGCGGTAAACCGGCATTCGAATACAACTACGCACGCACATACAACGCTGTCGTGGAGAGCGAGCTGGATCACGACACCAAGTACAGCGAGGAGTTGGTGTTCGGCATTGACCCAGTCACGAAGGTGGCGTGGTACTACCCATCCATGCAGCGTATGAAGCTGGAGCCTCCGCGAAGAATTCACAACCAGTTCAAGCGCGAGAAGAACGAGGTTGATGAGATTGATGTTGTCCCCGAGGACCCTTCAGACGAGTGGCGTCTCCGCATGGACATGTGCAAGGCTAACCCCCTTGTCGGACCGGACCCGCCACAAGAGGACGAAGGTGATCATGACGTTGAGGCGGACGAGGCCGTGTCGCACGATGGAGACGGCGGTCGACGAGATGACAGCGAGGAACCTGCGGCCGCAAACGGGCGGGACTACAGCGAGGAGCCTAGGAATGAGAGTGAGCAGGATGCAGAAGGAGATGAAGAGGAGTAACCAAGTCTGGCCAGGCAGGTCGGGGGGTCGACCACGTCTTAGTGGGGAAAGGGAAAGAGAAAGCAGGTTCCTGTCATCGTTGATTTCCTTTTCCAGCCCTTCACCCAGTTTTGGGAGACTTGAAATGCAAGTATCACCTAGCTTTCAGGGATAACTTTTCGCAAACTTGAGGTCTGCCTAGCTAGCGGCTGGCTTTATTTGACTCCGTGAGGACTGCGCGTGTGGCGACTCCAATGGCCAAAGGTTCAAGGTAGTCCTTAAAGCCTTGATTTGAAACTCATCTCGAGTAGAGCTCTACATCTACGTTGTAATGCACAAGATTCCTTGACTTTTGTGGTTCTCCTGACCCCAGTGCTTGCTTTACCGTTGGGAGACTCGACGGTTTGTGGAAGCAAAGTCCTCAAGTTGCAACTCGAGCAAAAAGTGGTATCCCCGGCCGGTATCTTTGGTCCTCACTTGAGGTTCATATTCTGCCGTCACCAGTGTTACTGGTCGGGTTTTTTTTTGGGGGGGGGGGGTTGATGGTTGGCTCACTCTTGCCAGGGTTCACAACCCTGAGAAGTGAGGGTAGCCTTCATAGCAAAATCTTGCTCAAACATCTTTCACAACAATTGGTGCCAGGCCACAGTTCAACTCAAAGAAACAGTTGACCTGCGCACAAACGCGGCATACGCAAATGAGTGCTGTCGCTTTCATCATGGAAACCCAATTGGAATCCTACACTGTTTACCAGTCAGTCAAAGGTAGGCATAGGGTCACAAACCCTCAGCTTCTCACTTCGGAGACGCATTATCCTCTCCAACCTCGAATCCCACACACGTCTTCTGCCGGACTCGGTCGACAGTTTACCTCCTCTGTCCGATCTTGAGTAGGATCCGCCCCGGAGTGCCTTCTAGGCCCCTCTGGCGCGTTATTAGACAAGATCAAGGGACCATTCTGGTTTCCGCAACGTTCTTTGAGTACGAGACCTCCTCTCCTGGACACCAGGGCATGTGGGGGATTTTGTAATTATTCAGTTGCGACACATCTTGATCGGGACAGCCTAAGTCTTAGGCGGACTTGCCAGTAGTTTGATATATTCTCCAAGTCTACAGGCCCGACCGTAACGGCCACCTCATGTGCAATGTATGATGACCACCTCGGTGCCACGAAATAATGTGGTCCTCGGCCACGTTTGGTGATTGAGAACAACATCTCCATCCATGTAAAACAGTCGAGCCCGTTCAGAGCTCCCAAAAAAAAACCTTCATCTGGAGACAACGACTTCGGGCCGAACTGTAAGCTGTCCTGGTCAGATGTACTTCACTTGGTCGTCATCGTCGTCGTCGGCGGCGGCGGCGGCGGCGGCGGCGGCGGCGAGGGCCGCTCTTCGCTTCACCCATTCAGCCCTCCCATCCTGAGGTTCCTCGAGCTTAATCCCTCCGGAAAGATCTGAGAGAAGCTTGCTCAGACTAGACCACTCCTGGTCAGACCGGCGGAGTGATGTGGTTCTTTCCACGTGCTCGACTGAGATCTGTCTACCTTCTGTCACCAATTGCGCCAGCTCGTCGAAGCCTAGCGCGTCAGTGAGACACGTCTGCCTTCTGTTGGGCCAGTACCTCCTCAGTAGCATCTCTCTCGCAGATTTGATGTTGCTAGTAGACCGAGAGATGACCACGACCAGTCTGTTCAGCCTGGGGGCCTCCTGCAGTAGCTTGAACGCCGAGTCGGACTTTTCGCCTCTCCAATGGACCTTGACACCCCTGAGATAATATTTCATACTCTTGTTTATCTGAAGATAGTGGGCTGAGAGAAACTTGTTAGTGAGCCCTACCTTCGCAAGGATCATTCGCACTCACTAAGCTCGCAGCTGCAGCCAAATGTGAAGATATGGTCGTGGAACCACACTTCGAGAGCCTCATCCTTGATCTGCGAGCACGTGAAGATGAGTGGCATCTCCAAAGGAATCACCTCCCCTTTCTTATAGCTCTTCAAGTTGTTGGTGTCACAGCCACAACCGACAGGGTATCTCAGGACGATCTTGGTTTGCGCCCACGGAAGCTCCTGGGTCAGGTTTTGAAAGTAGTACTTGTAGACCATCTGACGGATTTCTTGTGGAAGCTTCATGAAGGGGAATGCTTTGTCCTGGCTGGACTCGTCTGTGGAAGCAAGCCCTGGAGTCAACACTGAATTCTACTGGAAGGTTGAGCTGCACGAACAACAGTCCAGACAACTGAAGGTCCTTGAAGCAAAGTGAGGGAACGAATGTGAAGGTTTGGAGGCAAGGGGGATAGTGGTGTTGGGAATCAGACTCACTGGCAATGTTTAGCATCTCAGTACAACAGGCGATGATCTCATTGCATTCGGCCATGCATTCGGGGGTGGGATTATTCTGCATCGCCAAGGCGAGAGAAGAGATTGTATCCGTGCAGGTCCTCATGAGCGTCGAAGTTCGAAGCCTTCGTCCCATAGTCCCACGGGACTCAACGCCACGGTGATGTTCGCCATAGACTCTGAAGAGATCAACAACTTTGTCTGAGAGCTGGTACCGCTCGTGGAGGTTTCGCGCCTGGAGAACATGGTCGTCCAGTGGAGGGTTCATCTTCATAGATCAGTGATCCGAAGGGAATGGGAGAAGGGTGAGGATGAATGAGGAACAATGATGGCCGACACATCAAGCAGATGTGCACTGGGGTTGGAAAACCTCACTTCTGGATGCCTGAAGCGTCCAAGAAGGAGAGCATGGACCTTTCAAAGCTAGGCGTTGCCAGTAGGCCGTTGATCGAGTGTCAGCACTGACAGTCTTGGTCAGGTGCCTATGATGACTCTTTACCTGGGTAGAGTTGAAATCTGAATTCAGCTTGGGGGCAACCGTTACCATGGCAGCAGGTGGGCAACAAAAGGATCTCAGGTACCCAAGAGCCAGAACTTGAACATCTGATGCAAGAGCTTAGTGACTGTGGAGCCAACGAGGTGGGCATTGACACCAAGCTTTAACTTGAAGCATCATCTTGCGAGACCGATCATCCTCGCATGTCCGGTGGGGCCATACTGAATCCACTGCTGGTACCTCATATTTTCCAACAGACGCATTATTGGCGCTTTAGAGGGAGATGACAGAGACCGGGCTGCCTACCGTAAAGTAATGATCGTGACCGAGGGAAAATGTCGAGGCCACTAAGGTGCATCAAGCGGTGACGAGCACACGGAGAACAACTGGAATTGGGCCACACAATATCAGAGGGAAAAACTAGAGTAAGCTGATATGAGTGAAGTGGAAGATGATTAATATCTGTAAATATAGGAAAGTCTATGTATTCTCAGTCATCACCAAGGAAGCATTGGTGTGACTTGCATCCAAAAGGCATTGTCTCATGGTATCCCGTAAATCCCAAGAACTCCATCGCTATGCAACTGAAAATAGGGCAGTCATCACTCATGTCCCAAGACCTTTCAAAACGCGCATGAGGAGCAGGCATGCCACGACGGCATCACACTTGGCTCCTAGCATATCAACACAGCCGCAGCCAGGAACGCAACCAGGGCGCCGGTCTTGGCTCCAGCGGGGCCGAGACCCGAGGAGGCATCGCTCGTCGCGCTGCTGCTATCGGACCTTCCCTCAGGGGCGATCCCATTGAGGCTGTCAGCCGTGTCGATGGCCGGGCCTTCGCTGTAGAAGTCGACCAGGGCGAACACGGGCGCGGTGCCCCACTCCGAGTTACAGGTGGCGGCATGCTGGCCCAGGGTACCGAGAGTGCCCGTGTCGGGGCTATTTGTGGTGTCAATGATCTCAACGTTGGGCACCTCAATGCTGCTGGTGATGGACTGGTAGACGAAGTGGTTCATTAGGGGCAGGTAGCCCGAGGAGATGCCCGAGCTAGCGTCAGACACGCCCGACGGCCGGTCGACGGTGCAGTTCAGGCCCGCGAGGGAGGTGACCTCGTAGGCGGTCTCGAAGACGTAGTCCCACTCGTTGAGGAGGTAGGGGTAGGTCGTCGAGTATGTAATGGTTGCAATAAATGTAACCAATTTCGTCCCTTCGTCGATCATGGTCTGAAGGGTCGGCCAGGTGTTGCTAGCGCCGGCGGTGGCGGGCGCGTAGCCGTACGAAGAGATGTTGGAGCTCTCGAACACGGCGCCAAAGGAGGCCACGTCCTCGTCATCTGAGTTGACAATCAACAGAGTGACCACTTCGTTCGGGTTCTCATCCATCCAGTACTTGATCTTGACCAGGAAGTCCTCGAGAGTGCCAGCATCGAGCAACGAGCACGTTGTGTGGCACAGCTGAAGAGTTTCATTCGAGTTGTGCACCTGCAGAGAGAGCAGTCGAATGCCGGCGTTCAAGGCTGCCGTGGCATTGTAGTACTGGTTTCCGGCGACGGAGTTGTCCGTGGACGAGTCCCGGAGGAAGGCCGCGTCGTGGGCGCCCATGTGGGTCACGTTGCTGTATTGCCTTGAGCAGAGGTCGGGCGAATTATTGCAGGCAACATTCGAGGTCGAGGTCGAGGTCGAGGCCGATGTGGCGGCTTCCACTGCTGTTGATGCGGCATAGCTGCCAGTTGAGGTGGCTGTAGCCCATGAGTTCGCCCAGTCTGTTGTCGATGCGGCATCCCAACCTCCCTCTTGTCCGCCTCCGCTGCTGCCGCTGCCGCTGCCACTGCTACCTTCACCCCATTGGCTGGCGTCCCATTGTCCGTCTTGGTTTTGTGGGCTTGGAAGCGAGGAGACCGTCGCCGTGAGAGACAGGGCGACGGCAAATAGGGGAAGAATAGACGACTTCATAATTGGTTGTCAATCAAGCTTGCGCCCGGTAGTCCTTTAAGAACACTAGCCGGCTATTAAGTTGCAGTTTGGTATCTCTTGTGTGGAACAACGATGGTTCTCAGAAGCGTCATATGGACGGCGTGAGCAAGTGAGAGACACAACATCTTTATAAACTGTATTGGTCATTGATGGGCTGGTATGAACTTCAGGGGCCGTGAGGCAAACTGATCTGTCGTTCACCCACATCCCAGTGGGGGTGGTTAGGTCGGCTGGGTTAAACAATAAGCATGGCGCAGCAGCAGTCAACATTACGTTGCCCGCCTCGTAGTGTGAAACCACCGGACAATGACAGCTCAGTGCCCTTCCAACCTCGTGAGCAAGAAATACAGCGGGGCTAAAAAGACACTGATCGTTTGTTCTATTGGATGGAAACGGTCTGTCTGTCATGCGGAAGTCCGGACTTCCTGGACGACAAGAAAGTGGTGGTTAGGCAGCTGTAAGGACAGGCCGGCTTCAGAGGCGGTCTTGGGGGCACATGTTGAACCTGAGATCTGCGTGTGAATGGGCAATATTGCAATTAACCTGCTCGGACAACTGGCCGGTTGGCTGGGCAATTCTCATACGGGGTCCGATGTGGTCATCGGGGGCCTATTCACGAGGCTGGCAGGCTGGCTGGCGGGCTGGTTAAGCTGGGTTGAGGCAGTTCGGTCAGGGTTGTTGTTGCCGCGACTTGGAAGGGTCCTGCCGATCAAGAGCGGTCGAACAGGCTTGACGACTACCGGCGTACGGCGGTGGCTTGGACCCGCCACGCGGCTCTGTGTGCCCATCTGGAAGTGTACACTGTGACGATGACCTCAGGTCTGCTGTGGGAGCACAGTGCTTTCTTGGAAGACACTGTCCCCTCTGGACCGATGACCCCAGCTCACCCGCCACGTATTTTATAGCCAAGCGAGGACGCTAAGTGACATCAACGTGGTAACCCGCCGCGCGACTGCCGACCACTACTGAACATGACAACAAAACTTCCTTGGCTCCTCTGACTGTACCGAGCACGCCACCATCTCGGCTCAAGTGGAACTTGCGTGGTCCCAACTGGATTGATGACCTCAAAACTGTGACGGCAGGTGGCTAGTACACTAGTCCGTTGTCGCTGATTCACTGGTCCGCACATACACGGAGTGAGCCGAGATTTCCTCAATGCTGCGCCGACTTTGACCGCCACACTCCGGCAAAGTTGAAAGGCTCATTCCTCGGCCTCCGGTGGTTCAAAGCCAAGAAGTTTTGAAGCCATCTCGCATCTTAAGCAGGCCCGGCTTTTGCCCAACTCCGATGGGGGGGGGTAAAGGTACCAGCTGCAGGCACCGCGTTTCATGTGCCGGGAAAACGTTGCCAGTTCGTGGACGCACCTGATGATTGCCTACTACCACTTGCATGAGTTCGCAGCGTGTGACACTCAAACAGTCACCTTATGTCTGCCTTGACAATGAAACCGTCAGGCAGACCTGCCAGCCTGTGCGCATGTGTGCCTGCCTTTGTACCATAAGAGGACTCCGCCACGGGACCATGCAGTGGGGGCGCTGATGCGAAGGCTTCCAGTTTGTGACAGTTGAGACCGAGAACAAGGGTATCACTTCAATTCTTGTATGCCTAACTATTACAGTCGTGTACCTGGATTCCCTATGTTGTCTTCTTTCGGGCCTTGAACGTCCGCAGCGGATCCGACTTGCGACCACTAACTTTCTTGGTCTTTCCTTTGTAGAACTTGGACCGACGATTCTTCTGGTCAGCTTTCTTGAACGGGACGAAGCCGATCTGGTCAGCCGTGAGCGCCTTTTTGCCCTCCTTGGGAAGAAGATACTCGGGGACGTGCTTGGCTCGCAGGTGAGACTGCGTACGCGCCGCTCGAAGCTCGCCGTCGTGACGCAAATGGTTCAGGTCGGCCGGGTTTTCCTCGAAATGTCGCTTTAGCCGCTCGCTCTTGAGCAGCTCTTGCCTGAGCTCCCTTGTCCTTGCTTCTCTGATGCTGTTCTTGGTGACGGCGCGCAGCGCATCGTTCATTCTGTACCGGAAGTTCTCCACTTGCTTCATATCAAACACGTACGGTTTGACTTCCTTGCCTTGTTTTTGCTGCTGGCGGAGGACCTTGGCGAGGACCTTCTCGTCATTCTCTGCAGACTCGATCGAGGTCGGTTTGTGTTTCCGAAATTCATCCTTGGGGACGACAAAGGACAGAGCCATGCCCCGTTGGCCGGCGCGAGCCGTGCGACCAATCCTGTGTGTGTATGACTTGGACGATGTTGGGAAGTCAAAATTGATGACTGCAGAGACGTGCTTGAAGTCAATCCCACGAGACACACCGTACTCCTTGTCTCGTTTTGACGATTTCCGCTTCTTCTTGGCTGGCGCATCTCCCTTCTCGCTCTTATTTTCTTGGCCAGTTTGTTCTGATGGTTGATCTTCATCTCCGAGTACCTCGTTTTCATCCGAGCACAGTATTATGTCGTATATCTGAGGGCCGTCAGTGATGATCTCAAGTCATACAGTGTCCAATCAGATCGATAAAGTACTTACATTCTTGTTGAACTGCTCGACTACATGAAGTCTCGAATTGACAGGCAGTTCTGGGTTCAGAATAGCACTTCGGATGCCAAATTGCTCAAAGTAAAGGCGGAGTCGCCAACAGCGGTCAACATCTGCAACAAAGATGATACCTATTGAAGGAGGTGATTAGCATCGCGCCATAAAGACTAGTTTCGGGGAGGAGCTCCCAGTCTGGAAAATGCGCATGACTTACATTTGCCCTTCATGAGCTGCAGTTTGAAAATCACGTAAGCCAAAAGAAACTTCTCGGCTTCACCGCACTTGACATAGAATTGGGAGACACCCTCCCCTTCTGCGTCTGGCTCCTGGAGGTCGAGAACCGTTGGGTCCCGACAGAACAAGCCCTTGACCGTCTCCACATCAGTGGTGAGGGTGGCGGACATAAGGATGGTCTGTAGCCCCTTTGGTACAGACCGAGCCACATTCTGAAGATCTTCGTCGTAGCCATATGAAAGCACCAGATCAGCCTCGTCCAAGACCAGATGTGTGAGCTTGTCAACGGAAAGCGACCCATTGCTGATGTTTTGCCATGCTCTTGCCGGGGTAGAAATAACGATGTCCGGGGCGCTCGACAGTATGGATCGCTGGACAGCTTCGGAGACCTGTTCCGTCAGCTTGACGGCTTGGATATCCTTGGCACAGAAGCTTGAGAATTGTTCGACGTTCCGCAAGACCTGGTCGGCAAGCTCGCGGGTGGGGACGAGTATCAGGGCGGCAGTGAAAGCTGTCGGATCAGACTGTTTCTGGTTAGCCAATGGATCAGGGAGCGTGGAGCAGATCGAACAGTGCGATAAGCGACGGCGGAGCGAAACGAAACAAAACACGACGCACCTGCTTGCGCTTCAGAACACCATGGAGGACGGGTAGAAGGTAGGCGGCCGTCTTCCCGGAGCCAGTCTTGGCCTTGGCGAGAACATCCTGGCCGTTCAGGGCCAGAGGAATGACTTTGGACTGAACAAGAGTAGGGGTCTGGTATTTCTGACTGGCAATGGCTTGTAGCAGGCGCGCGTCGAGGGCGAGATCAGAGAAGGCAGGGCCAGGGCCTGCGGTGGTTTCCCCAGAGGTGGCAGGCTTGTCAGGGTCAGAGTCCGGGGCAGTCCGGGGCATCGACTTGGGTTCGTTGTTTTCGTCCAGTTTCCGCTTCATCTTGGCAGGCGAGGTAGAACGTCTCAGGTATCGGGGTCGCAAATAGAATCACGGATGGGATGTTGATCGCTGGTCGACTTTGGGCAGACTGCTGTGAGGGACCGAGAAAAGTTTCTGATGCCTGCCGCGAACAAGAACCTACCACCGATAAGATAAGACAGACGGACGACTGACAGTTCCAAGTACTCCGTACCTGCCCAGGGGTCCCACTAGGTGTTAGGACGGGTACAAAGGCACGTACCACAGCAAACTGACCTGCATGCAGAAGGACGGAGCACCTAAGTGAGTAGGTACCTAGGTACCTATCACAACGACGGACGACCAGCAGCTCTTTCGTCGCTGGGCACTGACCCCGATGTTGCAATTGCGAGACCGAAACCGCCCGACGGGAACATGTCACAGCGAGCATGTGCCCTTTGACGGGCCAGAACAGCCGGCGTCTTGCAGCTCGATTCTTCTGCTGCCCCCCGAGGAACTCAGCTCGTCTGGGAACACAGTCACATCCAGTGGGTGTCAATTCGCTCAACCGAACATGCCCCAGAAGTATAATCCATTCTCCATACTCCATACTCCATACTCCATATTCGATACTCCATTCTCCATACTCCGTGCTCCACCGCTGCCCTCCTCGGTCTGTTTCCACCATCTCAAGTGCCGGAATTACTCGCTTGTTGGTTGATCAGCTTGGCGGCTATGCCAGAGCGAGCAATCACGACGCAGAGCAAGGGCACTGTGCGCAACTCGCCAGCTGGCTGACTAGACGCCAAGTCGGCCTGGACAATGCGACGGTTGGCATGCTCCGCAGGTGCTTGAAAGCTTATTGGAAATAGAACGCCGCAGTCGCCTCCCGCGCGCGCATGGCTGCGCGTCCCTGCACATGCCCAGAAGACTTGTCAAGCCTTGGCACGTCGGACGCTTGTACGGGCAAGCTGTGTCAAAAGACAGCATCAGTCATTTTGAAACTCGACCAAGCCCAATGGCGAGGAAAGCGACACCGCGACACACCAAACCACAGCGTTGCTCCCAATTTTGACAACAAACTGTGGCTCGCCAAATCGGTCCAATACCGTCGATCCATTCATGCCGTGCCGGACCCTCCCATTCGTGGTTATGTCGCCTCCGGAAATGCCATGGAGATATATGGTTCACGCCACGGAGCCAACGCCGCTAATCCCCACCCAGCTGCCCCAGTATGACTTCTTCGACCCCTTGTGTCTTGTATTATATTCTATTGCGTCGGACTCTTTCACGTCAGAAGTACTGCCTTGATGTCGATGTGTAAGCTCGGGTTCTGCGGGCGATCAGCCTATAGCCCCGAAGCCCTGATAGGGAAAAAAGAAGAAGAAAGAAGGAAAGAATATAAATAAAATTTAAAAAGTTTAAAATATTTTTTTTTATTAATTAAAATTATAATATAATATTTATTTAGCCATACTAAGCTGTACTTAACTGGAGAACACACCTCCGCCAGAGGCCCACCCCGGCTCCGACACAGACCACGCTTGTTACTCCGTACGTGCCCCCACGTCCTCCAACTCTCCAACCCTCCCCAAAGTTGATGAGGATGAGCCGAAGGCCTACCAACACAATCCCTGCCGTCCTGACCTTGGCCGATGATCTACTCCACGCTCCCCGGCCTTGGACCCTGGGTTCCCGTTCCCGACTACCCACTATTGCGTCCGGGGCAGGGCCTCTGCAAAAGTATCCGGCCACATCTCCAATTCTAGCCCCTGAGCGCCTTAGGCGCTCAAATAGCCACACCACTTTACATTTTCGAATTATATGGCATTTACACTGGGAAAAAAAACGCTTAGCGGTTTATTCTCTTTCCACTACTATTATATAGCTTAATTCAGCAATTAGGTATATTCTTATATACCCGTATAATTACTTTTAGGTTAATAATCTACTAGCCTTTTTTAGTAAGCTGTTATAAGTTGCTAATAGACTAATACCCATACTATTTTATATATAACTTAACTATATTAGTATAATAGATATTCTTAATAGGGTTAGTTTTAGGGTAGTAGTGAGAGTTTAGTATGGCTTTTATACCTTTTTCTCTTTAAAAGTTTTAAATTGTAACTACTAAGTATATACTATTACTATTCTCCTATATAATAAAGCTATATAATTTATAGTATTTTTTAATATTCTTATAAATATATTTATATATATATTTATATATATTAATGTTAATTTTATTATTATTATTTATATATACCTTATATTAGTAAAGTAATAACTTATAGCCCCTTAGTTTTATTACTACTATATAATATAAAGTAGTTTAGTCCTATAATTGTTTTTTATAAAAGATTTAAAAGTTTTTTTGCTTTTAGGTTGTTACTAGCTTTGGGGCCATTAGGGGAAAAGTATAATAATATTACTTATAAACCTTTTTTAAAAACTTTTAAAGGGCTTATTCCTTTATAATTTATATAGTCTTTTTATATATAGGCTTTTTTTTTAGCCTTCTTTTAGCTTTCTATTAAAAAAAGAAGTACTATTAATTAGTATTATAGGTTTAATTTTACTAAAAGGGGTTTGCTTAATAACTAAATTTAATTTTATATATAATATATTTTTTGCAATTTTATTAAATATTTTTATTATTATTTAGCTTTTTTTTTTTAAAATAACTATACTAATTAAATAGGCCTATTTTTTATTAAAATATTATCTTATAGGCCTTAATTTAAAGCCCTATATTAAAAATAATACCCTACTATAATTAGTAAGTAACCTTATATATTTTATTAAGGTTCATTTTATTAAAGTTTTTAAAAAAAAAGTTAATTTATTTGGTATAATTAAATATAAATTTTATAAAATATAATTATAATTAGGCAAATTAAGGGTTGTTAAAAAGTTAATAAGTATTTAAATTATTATAATAATTAAGGTTAAAGTTAGGCTATTATAGTAATTAAAGGGCTTTACTATTAAAATAATATTAAATAATAATATTTCTTTAAGTCCTTAAAATACTAAAATACTTAAAGACTTATAATTTAGTAACTTAGTTAATATTTTATTTAAAGAGGCTAAAGTGCTTAAGGAATTAGCATATATTTTGTACCTTGGCGCATTTAGGTATATTATGCTTAATTAGACCTTCTTTTAATGCCATAATAATAACATTTTAGTAAGTTAGATGGGTATTATTTAATAGAGCGTTTAATTTTAAGTAGATTGATAATAAGAAATGATGCTATATGTAATGTTGTTGTTGAGGAAAGTGAGATTGAAGTTTGGTTGTTTTAGTAAGGAACGCGGTAAATTGGAGTTGTGGCCGGATACTTTTGCAGCCCGCCTGCGGGGGCGCTCGTTTCATGACCCATCTGTTTCCTTTTTCTGTCAGTGCTTGCCAGGCTGCCAGGTCTGTCCCACCTCAGTGCGCCCGACGAATTGGGTGAGGGGACACCTTGCTGGTCTGGCAAAGGTAGCACCGTTTCACACAAGGGGAGGCTGCCCATGAGACCGACCTGGTCTCAACGAGTCAGCCGGGTCTCACCCGTATGTCGCCCCTTCGTCGCGTCTCAATTATCTACTACCTGTCAAACACGTCTTCTAGAACTTTGTCTAGACTACTCCTTGAATTAGCAGGTCTCAGAAGGGGCACAAAAAAAATCAATCAAACGTGCGCCGGTTGCCGGCGGCTGGCGCTGCGATAACCAGATTCCTGCGCTTTCTCACAACGCATAACATCCGCCGAAAATGCTCCGGGCCGTGTGGGCTCTTTTCCAAACTGGCCCGTCTCTTTGAGTCTCCGTGTGTATCTTCACAAGCCTGAACAAGCTCTTAGCCGAGCCTCGCTGCAGGAGCGGGTCTTCGATTTAGGAACGGCCGAGCCCTCGTAGCTTAGATGGAATCGGGACAAGCGTGGGCCAAGGCCTGGCAAGGCAGCCCAAAGTGATTCAAGCAAATAACAAGCACCGACACACCCTACGCTCCCAGCTTGGCCGTCTCGAAGGGCGACATTCCGACCGCCGAGCCCACATGCTGTGTAGGAATAGGACGCGGTGCAGCCGGCAGTCCGCACCTCTCATATTGCAGATCCTGCCTTGGCGGCTGTGTGGACCAACAAGCATTCTCAGCACGCCTGGCACGCGCTGGCGTCTTGTCGATGGGATGTTTCCGGTTGAACGCCAAGGCGACTTGGCGGGACGTGAAAGTCTTGGTGGCTGGGTCGCAGTGGCGACGACGAGCTGTATGCTGAGCTCGCTGGCTCGTTATCGCCAGCGGGAATCGCTCTGATGGGACGTCACGTGCGAGTTTCAAAGGGACCCTGAGCTGAAACTCAGCTCCTCGGTCACCCATGGAGACTACCGCAGGGCTCCACCTGCCTGGGTCACCCATCTCAGAAGTCGAAACTTCCCAACTCCTGTACGCCCGCCTCCTAGTCATACCGCGTTGCTTCACTTGTGCTTGAGGCATTTTATTCTCTCGGCACGCCGAAGCCCTGCTCTCGACAACACACGGCCTTCCTTCCCTGGCCCTCGTCGACCAAGGATGCCAGCTTTTATTGAAACCCGATCACCTACTCCTGTCAGAAGACCCCGGCTCTGGTCGAGGCGAGAGCTGCTCCGGGATAGGTGTAGCCGTCCGAAGAGCTCTGAGCTCTCTGGTCCCCCGACTTGCCTGGTGGTGATGGATAGGGAAAGGTACCGGTCTATCATGTACCAGCCGTCCAGGGTGGTAGCCAGACACACCCTCGCGTACCAAGTTACTCCTCGGGAATTTCAAAAATACTGGAGAGTTATTTTTGTCAAGCTACATGTTGCCCAGAATTTTCCCCCGACGCACGTTCCCAGAAGTGCCTCGTCTGCCGTACTGACGGCGAATCTCCTACCCACACCCGACCAGTGTCGAGGGTGTCGGCGGCACGTGAATCGAGGCGAATCCTTGCTTGGATCTCCTGTGTTGTAGTTGCCCCAAAGATCAGCGTCAGGTCCGGAACCGAGCTAGGTTTGAGGCTATAGAAATTCTCCCTGGGTAGATTACAAGACAACTTCACGTCCGCAGCATATAAGAAAATCTTCCACCCGCCGTCCCATCTCTAGGAACACTCTTACTCTCACTCTCATCCCCTTGCCGCCTTCTCCTTCCTCTCTCCCTCTCCTCCTGTTGTCTTTTTGCTTCTCTCTACAGCTGGCCTGTAATTTTTCGGGCATATGGCTCCCAACTTTAAGAAGGTCATGGCTTTCGGAAAGAACCGTACCCCTCATGCTCCCCAGCCTCTGAGGCAGGAGGACCACGATGATCTGGAGGCGGGTAACTTCATTTCGGAGACCCAGAACATGTACTCCAACCTGGATGTCGGTGCCCCCAAGGGTGGTGGTGCTCAGTATATGGATGAGTACAGAGCGTAAGTCGCCAAGCCCGTCGCCTTGAAATCTAACCACGTCCTGACCATGGGAACAGTCTTGTCCGGTATATCGACACCTACAGGGACCCCAACGCCGAGGTTGAGATCGAGGAGGACCCAGTTGAGAAGAAGAAGCCATGGTGGAAGGGAGGCGGCGCTGCTGCGGGCAAGAAGCAGAGCGACTTCGTCACTCCCACAGACTGGCTCAACACCGAGCTTCGGGACGGCCTCAACACTATGGAGGTTGAGAGGAGACGCAAGAGCTCCGGCTGGAACGAATTGACCACAGAGAAGGAGAACATGATCCTCAAGTTCATTGGCTTCTTCCGTGGCCCCATTCTCTACGTAAGAGCTGCACTGCACCTAATAATTATACAGTATTGCAATATTTTGCTAATTCTGCCAATAGGTCATGGAAGCTGCGGCTATTCTCGCTCTCGGTCTTCAGGACTGGATTGACGCTGGTGTCATCATTGGTATCTTGCTGCTCAACGCTATCGTCGGTTGGTACCAGGAGAAGCAGGCCGCCGACGTCGTGGCCAGCTTGAAGGGAGACATCGCTATGAAAGCACGTGTTGTTCGCAATGGCCAGGAACAAGAGATCCGGGCCCGAGAACTTGTACCGGGTGATATTGTGAGCTACCTCGATCATTCTCGGAACATCGAGTCATCGTTGACAAAAAACAAATAGGTCGTCATTGAAGAAGGCACTGTTGTACCAGCAGACACCAGGCTCATCTGCGACTATGAGCAGGGTGCGGAGGGCTTCCAACAGTACAAGGTATGGTGCCTCTTTTTCAAATTGATCTGCAAGGACAAAATTACTAACTACTAGCAGACCGAGCTTCAGGCCCAGGACGTCGGTTCCCCACGCCAGGAGAAGTTCGAAGAAGGCGAGGGCGAGGACGGAACACCTCACATTGGACACCCCATCGTTGCCATCGACCAGTCTGCCATCACTGGCGAGTCTCTCGCGGTTGACAAATACATGACCGATGTCGTCTTCTACACCACTGGATGCAAGCGAGGCAAGGCCTACGGTGTCGTTACCTGTGGTGCTCAGGCTTCTTTCGTCGGCAAGACCGCTTCCCTCGTCCAGGGTGCTCAGGACCAGGGTCACTTCAAGGCCATCATGAACTCCATCGGAACTGCGCTCCTGGTCCTCGTCGTTCTCTTCATGCTAGCCGCCTGGATCGGAGGTTTCTACCGCAACCTGAACATCGTCGGCGACGCCGAGGACTCGACCAACCTGCTCCACTACGTTCTGATTCTCCTCATCATTGGTGTTCCAGTCGGTCTGCCCGTCGTCACAACCACCACTTTGGCTGTCGGTGCTGCCTACCTCGCTCAGGAGAAGGCCATTGTTCAGAAGCTTACTGCTATCGAGTCTCTCGCCGGTGTCGACATCCTCTGTTCTGACAAGACCGGAACCCTGACTGCCAATCAGCTCTCAGTCCGTGAGCCGTTCCTCATGGAGGGAGTCGACGTCAACTGGATGATGGCTGTCGCTGCCCTTGCTTCCAGCCACAACATCAAGGCTCTCGACCCTATTGACAAGATCACCATCCTCACGCTGAAGAGATACCCCAAGGCTAAGGACATGATCTCTGAGGGATGGACGACGGAGAAGTTCATGCCCTTCGACCCCGTGTCCAAGCGTATCACCGCCATCTGCACCTACCAGGGCGTCCGCTACGAGTGCTGCAAGGGAGCCCCCAACGCCGTGCTCGCCATCAGCAACTGCTCTCCCGAGCAAAAGACGCTGTTCAAGGAGAAGGCCACCGAATTCGCCCGCCGTGGCTTCCGTTCCCTGGCTGTTGCCGTCCGCGAGGCCGACGGCCCGTGGCAGATGCTGGGCATGCTGTCCCTGTTCGACCCCCCTCGTTCTGATACCGCCCAGACCATCGCCGACGCCCAGACCCTAGGTCTCCAGGTCAAGATGCTCACGGGTGACGCTATCGCTATCGCAAAGGAGACCTGCCGTATGCTTGCCCTTGGAACCAAGGTGTACAACTCAGACAAGCTGCTCCACTCCGATCTTGCCGGCAACTCCATCTACGATCTTTGTGAGCGGGCCGACGGCTTCGCTGAGGTCTTCCCCGAGCACAAGTACAAGGTGGTCGAGATGCTGCAACAGCGTGGCCATCTGACTGCCATGACTGGTGATGGTGTTAACGATGCTCCTTCTCTGAAGAAGTCTGACTGTGGTATCGCCGTTGAAGGTGCCACAGAGGCTGCTCAGGCTGCCGCCGACATCGTCTTCCTCGCCCCTGGTCTGTCTACTATTGTCTCGGCTATCAAGATCTCCCGCCAGATTTTCCAGCGCATGAAGGCATACATCCAGTACCGTATCGCCCTTTGCTTGCACTTGGAGCTGTACCTTGTTACCTCCATGATCGCTATCAACGAGACCGTCCGAGTCGACTTGATCGTGTTCCTCGCCCTGTTCGCTGATCTTGCTACCATTGCCGTCGCCTACGATAATGCCCACTTTGAGCGCCGCCCCGTCGAGTGGCAGCTACCCAAGATCTGGATCATTTCTATTGTGCTCGGTACCCTCCTCGCAGCTGGCACATGGATCCTGCGCGGCACGCTCTGGCTGCCCAACGGTGGTGTCATTCAGAACTACGGCTCGGTCCAGGGCATCCTCTTCCTCGAGATCTCGCTCACTGAGAACTGGCTCATCTTCGTCACCCGTGGCTTCGAGACATACCCGTCCTTCCAGCTGGTGGCTGCCATCTTCGGAGTCGACATCCTGGCCACTCTGTTCGCAGCATTCGGCTGGTTCACGGGCGGCGAGAGCAACACCATCCCGCCCGTCCCGGCGATCGCCTCAGACCCCAACGGCAGGACGGACATTGTCACCATCGTTGTGGTGTGGTGCTTCTCCATCGCCGTGACCATCGTCATCGCCATCGTGTACTACGTCATGACCGGCATGGAGACCCTCAACAACCTTGGCCGCAAGAAGAGGAGCGCGTCCGACACGATGATGGAGAACATCCTCACCCACCTCTCCAAGGTTGCCATCGAGCACGAGAAGGACGACACTGGCGCCAACAGGTTCTACCTGGCGCAGAAGCAGATCAAGGAGGAGGACGAATGAGTATAGACTTGCATTGTATGATCAATCGGCTGGCGTCCAGGGGGGTTACTTGTTATTACCGGGCCCGGGGAAAAGGAGATACCATACGAGACTGTCACTATCAAGGGTTAAACATACACATAAGGTGTCTTGGGGAAAAGGAGGCACTCTAATTATTCCCTTACACCGTCAGTCCGTCTAAGGTGTTTTGATATTAAAGACTCGCACCATTTTATAGATGGCGAAATGATAAATTCTCTATGTCTAAGAACCACTCCTGATCACCAAAATGTGCATTGCATGTTTAAGCACTCTGGCTACTGTAGTGTGGTGCCTACTCGAGTTTTCGAGGCCTTGTCTCATGGTGCAAAAGTCGAGCATGCACCGCAGCAAAGACACCAGTCCGACTCGCTCCGCCTGGCCTGGAACAAGAGAGCATGCCCACTAGAAAGCACCGACAAGTCACTTGTGTCCGTTGTTGCACATGAGCGTGCCACTGTTGATTTTTGCACCCGCTCGTAGTTGTGCGCCCTCATTGAGCACGGGTTTAAATGACTCGAATACAGCTGATGCCGAAGCAATGCAGCACGAAGGCATCAAGACCCTCACCGCCCATGCACAACATACCGCCTAGGCCTGAGCCTATCTATATTGTAGGACTGGGGCGTGCGACTGGGGCGTGCATGCCACCATGCATTTGTGTTCTTGACGAGGGGGTTGCGCAAAAACTAAGCAGCACAACTAACTGCCAGCATGCCAAGATCGACAGGCCATCAGAGGGTCGGCGTCATTGTCGGCGTCGGCCTTCGGGCCAAAGGCGGGATCAATTATGGCATTGACGCGAGAAGAATCTTTCTCTTTTCGTCCGCTGCTACGTCTCCTCCCTAGAGCAAACCCCGATATTGAACAATTGCCGCCACGGCGGCGGTCGACGGCACGGGTCCGACGGCACGGGCAATTGTCGCACCACAAGCACGCTGAGGCATTAAGCCAACGCATATGGCTACTTCCTTGTCCGTGTGCCAAGGCCTAGCGAGGAGAAACCGGAAACAGGTGATTCTTTGAGAGATAAGAGAGAGACCCATGCATGGCTGTGACATGTCTCTGGACACAGGCGCAGAAACGTGTTGCTCGGCCCAGGAGGGCTTCCCTTAAAGGCATGAACTAAATAGGCTCTGGAGTATTGTGTCAGCCTACTGGGTATTTTCGGGCCCAGACCCGTGGGGCTCCCTCGAAGCCGGGCGGCCGGGGTGGCGGAGACCTGATGTCTCAAAAGGTTACAGGAAATTACAGGTCCTTCCTGCCGGGTTTGAGCTGGCTTGATCTGCTGTAGAGCCAGCCCAGCCTCTGGTATTTCCAACAGCCAGAGGGTTGGTGTCTGGTGAGTAATGTTTGCCTCAGTACAAAGACTGTATAACGCTTGTGCGAGGCCATATATCCGATCTGGACAGCCACTCAGCGTGGGGACCTTGCAACACAGAGCGCGGCTGAGTGCCGAGGTAGCTGATCGGGGCTAGCCGCAAGCCGGGGGCGCCGTCGTTGTGCTTAGACGGCAGCACGGAGTACTGTAGGATCGACCCAGGAACGAGGCATGCTAGTTCCCGCCGATGGAGAATGGAAGAATCTGGCCTCAATCCACCATCCGCACCTCACGATGCGATCCATTCTCCCTGTCTCCTTGATGGATGGAGACGGTGAGTGATGCCGTGGGCGCTGGCGACCAGACGAGGCAGACAGACTGGTGAACACTTCGACGTTGCTCACCTTCACTTGTGGCTGCGCGGCTCCCAACCAGGTATCACATAGCATGCTGTGGCACATGACATGATGGACTGCCGCAAGCGAGACTGCGAGTGAGTGAGTGATGTTGCCATGGTGAGACGGGGGGCACGAGGCCGAGTAAACAAGGGCATTGTTCCATTGTTCCTTGATTGTCGAGGCTATGACGGACTGCAGCCTGCAGAGTCCCCACTTACCCACTCACCTGCAGGAAGCGGGACTTGGGCGCGGGCTTTGGTGGGTCCTGCAGGATACAATGACCAACGTACTTTTCTCTTCCTCCAGGAAGGAGTCAGGATCAGGATTGCCCGTCAGAGTGGATACTGGGAGTGGCCACTGCGGTACGGAGTACCTACCATAGCACACGTATCGGTATGTGGGTGTTCATGACGGCACAACAGCCCAGCCAGCCAGCCAGCCCAGGTCTTCGGAACCCAAGTCTAGGAACCCACGTCGGAGACGCGGGTGTGATGACCTCTCCCAGCCTTCAAATGTAACTGAACACCGTCCTCGTCCAATTGACTCTAGGTCCGTGGGAGAAAAGGTCATCAACAACCTTATTATCTGAAACTTATTAAGTGCTGGTTAGCCCTACACGGCCATCCTATCACTGAGGTTTTGTTGAACCTGAAGGGGCTGGTTTGGGCTGCGGGACTAGTCTACATGGCACACGCTTCCAGTGCACGCGGGCAGGTACCTAAGTACCCACCTAGGTAGGCACCTACTATGTACCTAGGTAGGCACTGGGGTATCTAACTACAATGTCTTGCTGGAAGGCATCCTGATAGAAGGCATCCTACCAGAGGGTCATCCAGTAGAGGATATCCTATTATTGCCTGGGTATAAGCTGCCCCATAGGAAGCTGTCCACACGAGCTTAGGAGGCTGTCTCTCGGCGGGAGTGAGACAGGCGCTGCTGAGTGCTGAGGTGCAGGGTTACTATGTAGTATGGCTGGTCAGCTGGTAAATCACGGCTGGACCTCCCGATTTAGCAACCGCCAACAGCCCGACCAATCTGGGGCAGTTGCCCCGCAACCGCCTTGCTGTTGATCGACACCCAGGCTTACATCGCGCGGCCGCCCAATCAGAACCGCTGCCCGCAACCATCGCGCCTACCTGCAACCCAACAAGTAAGTGCGACTCGGGCCTCAAAACCACATATCTACGATTTCCTGACGGGAACTGGCAAGAGACGAGTCTTCTCTCACCTCACCCTTCCTTCCTCCCGTCCCCCTTCGCATCGGCTGCATTTCCCCCCCTCGCCCCAGCTGCCCCAGCTGCCCCGTCCCCTCTGGGTTTGCCATGGCTGGATGAGCATCGTCCCGACATACTATTTCGTCCACAGCAACTGTTACGGCCGTGTTTTGCAAACAGGAATATCTGAGATCTCATTTCCCTAGAAAGAACCGTCTTGCTCAAGAGCCGTAATTTGGATTCGGAACCAGGCAATTGCCCTGCCGTGCCCTTCCCTGTCATTTATCTCTCCACCAAGCTGCCGCAAACCTGCAGAATACCAGCCACCGCTTTTCGCTCCTACTCCGCCCGCCCACAGGTCCGTACATATCACCCCCCCGAATCGGCTCCCCTAGCCCACAATCGCCAACACACTTGGACACGACAGCACTTCGACATCGTGATTTTTTTTGTTCCTTTCAGCGTATGATTCGAGGGGATGGATACTGAGAACGAGCAAATGGCATCGTCGGATCCTGTGAGTCGTGACCGGGTCGCCCCACTAGCGTCGCGCATCACCCTGTTGACCTATCAACAAAACTAACAACCACAGGTACAACCCCTGCGCCTATCCAAGAGCCCTTCTCCTCCAAAGATGTCGAGCGCAATCCCACGTCCTCTTTCTGAGATTTCTCCTTCTGAGAAGCGAAGGAACTCTCCTAGTTGGAAGGAGGCCACTAAGGTGAGTCCATACATACTATGCACTCTCACGCGCGCCCCACCGGCTTGAGCGCACATATCCACTGACACACCGCCTCAGAAGACAGCCTTGAACACCGACTCATCACCATTCCAGAGCTCCCCGATGGACGGAAAGGCCTCGCCTCGCCTGTTCTGGCAGAGTAGGAACAATGAGAACAGCGCTTATGGCTCAGGCTCGCCCTCACCAACCCGCCGATCCTCCATCGAGCGCCTACAGAAGGCCTCACGCGTCAAGAACAGCAACATCCTCGCCCTCGAGCAGAAGCAAGAGTACGATCCCACGAGGGTCCCTCAGGTTGAGCGGCCCCTGTCAAAAGTCCAAGGCAACGCCTTTGGCGGCACTGGCATCAGCGGATACCGCGACAACACGGCGTTTGCCCACAGCAGATCGGACAGCCAGAGCAGAATTCCCCAATACAGTCCGACAAAATCACCACCTCCACTAGCCTCGCCGCCGTCTCTGACGCGGAGCTCTCCTCCCAATGGCCCAAGGCCAGCTAGCAGGGACCAGGCGTCCCCGACAAAGTCGTCGCTCGCACCCAGCCGGTTCAAGAACAGCTTCGACATCGACAATGAGCTCAACTCTTCCGGCTCGTCATACGAAGACCGCCAGCTACCATCTGGGATGGCCCTCCATCGTCATGCCAAGAGCGTCACATTTGACGCTGCACCCCCTCAGGTGAATGAGTATGAGATGGCAACTCCAGACATATCATCCATTGCTTCGAGTTCTCGAGAAGGAAGCATCGACTCGGAAGATGATGATGACGACGATGAGGAAGAGCACTACTTCATGGGCGCTGACGACCATGACGACAGCTTTGACGCAACTCTCGAGGACACCGTGAAGACGCCAGTTGTTCTCCCAGACGACTGGCGCCAGGACAACCACATGGACGAAGCTCTCGAGGGGAGTCCCATGCTTGATGGCTCCCACAACTTTCCTGAGATTCCTCAGCATGAGCGCACAGATTCACGCAACTCCAATGGTGACCACAGGCCTTTGCCGCCTCTGCCACCTCCTTCAGGCATCTTCAGTGAGAGGAGGAACTCCAACTCATCCGCAGGCCTTTCCGCCACTGCTGAGAGAATGCTGGGGTCCTCGCGTACCTTGCCGTCCCCCCCGCCTGCTTCTTCCTTCTCAAAGTCTGACATCCAAAACATCGGCAATGGCAAGATGACGCTTGAAGAGCGACTCAAGCTCATGATGCTGTCAGATGATGGCAAATCAGCCGCTGAGCAACAGCGTGAGCGAAGGATGAGACGCGCTGGAACCCGTGACCGCGCGGACAGCCAGACTCCAGAGGCCGAGCTTCACGATCCCTTGGTCGCGGCTGAGGAGGACGACACCCTCCCGGAGCTCTCAGGGCTGGGCGACTACGAGCTACCTGAAAAGATTTCGCGTGAATCCATCATGCGTCGGGTGGATGGTAATAAGGCGTCAGAGCGGGAATCTGACTACAACTTCTCCTCTCCTCCACCAAGCTCCCCTGAGCGCCCGCCTCCTCTGGACCCCGATGTCCCTATCCCCAGCACAGAAGGCCCAGCAGAGGACGAGGATCATCACGACGATTATATGAAGCACGAGGACGAGCAAGACGATGACATGTCAATCACAGACTACTATCAACGCTCAGAGTCTGGGGTCGAAGATATCGATGATGAAGAGGGCAAGGATGATGTCGACAAGGCGTACGACTCTGCTAGCAACTACTCTGGCCCTGAGTTGCCACCCACTCCCCAAGAGGAGAAATCAGAAGAAGAGCCACTGACAACACCTCGTGCCGCTTCTCCTACCCAGCAAGACTCGTCAATCGATACAATCACGGAGAAGGACCTCCCGGACCTCCCGGACCTCCCAGACCTTCCGGACCTTCCCACCAACGAGAAGCACAACCCATTTACTGACGATCTGCAATCGTTCATGCTCCCAAAGCCCGATGAGCTTGAGATGCCTCAAGAGACTGAGGTTTCCGGCTTGCGGAGCCCGTTCAGACCCAAACTCACTCTGTCCAAGCCTGAGTACGACGGTTCCGGTTGGGGTGAGCCTGATGAGGACGATGAGGAGCCTAAGACGCCAGACTCTGTCATTCATCGCCCCTTGCCGTCCTATGACGAGGAGGAGGAGCTAGAGGAGGAACGACACTCTCCCGAGATCCCCGAGACCGTGGCCACCATCAAGTCCGCCACTGGATCGAGACTCAAGACTCGTCCCTCCGCCACGCCCGCTGATATGGCGGCCATGAGGGAGCAGAGACGCCAAGTTAGCTGCGAGGTGCCTACCATGCCCCAAATCCCCGACCGCCATCGCAGCCTTGCCCCAGACGTAACGGGTGATGAGTTCATGCAGCGCCACCCCAGCTTCAAGAGTCGGAGTCTTACCCTCGACCTCGACCTTGGTCTCAGTCTCGACCAGGACTTTGAGCGAGTAATCGAGGCACAAAAGGTTGCATTTCAACAAGTTTCCCCTCATCAGCTTTCGACCCTCCCCAGTCGAAAGATGTCTAGACAAGCGTCTAGCACCAGACCCATAACGCAAAATGCTAACATCGCTTCACGCAAACAGCGCGGCTACCTCATGCGACAGAACACAAAGGTTGTCACTGCGAGTGACAAAGACAACGAAGACTTGCGGCCCCCAACTCGCTCTGCTGGCAACTCTCCAGTGAAGCAGACACGCCCGCAATCATGGACAGTCGAGCCGTGGAATGGCCAGATTAGGAAGAAGAGCCTCCGCAAGAGACATACCAGCAATGGGCCGGTCCCTCCTCTGCCTGGGCAGGAAAGCAACGCAGCCCCGATGAGCACGGTGGTAGAAGAAGACGCAAGTACGGATATCTCGGCCGAAGAGGCCGGTGAGCGAGGCAGAGTGTTTGTAAAGGTCATGGGTGTCAAGGATCTTGATTTGCCCATGCCCAAGAGTAAGCGAGCCGCCATCCGCCCAACAACAGAGCCATTGATGCTGACAATCCCAGACGAGCGCACTTGGTTCAGCCTGACCCTCGACAACGGTGTACACTGTGTTACGACCGCATGGCTTGAACTGGCGAGAAACGCACCAATTGGCCAGGAGTTCGAGCTGGTCGTTCCAAACGATCTCGAATTCCAGCTCACCCTGAATGTGAAGCTGGAAAGGCCCCCGCCTCAGCGAATGGCCCAATCTCCTGCCTCGCCGCGCAAGACCAAGACATCAACCTTCTCCCGCGTCTTTGCGTCACCAAAGAAGCGCAAGGAGATGGAACTTCGGCAGAAGGAGGAGGACGAACGACTGGCTCGACAACAGCGAGAGGCAAATGCCAGGAAGACGGCCGCCAACCCCACCGCCTGGGACCTTCTCTCACCTCTGGCCGCTGAGGATGGAAGCTTTGCCCGTGCCTATGTCTGTCTCAAGGAGCACGAGGCACGATGCTTCGGCCGCCCTTATGTCGTTGATGTTGCATGTTTCAACGAGTGGGCCACAGAGGAAGCAGGATTCGCTTCGAGCGTGAAGAGCAAGCGAGGTAGTACCTCTGTTGTTCGCAAGGCCCCGTACAAGATCGGAAAGCTCGAGCTCCAGCTCCTCTTTGTTCCGAGGCCGAAGGGTGCTACCGACGACGATATGCCCAAGAGCATGAACTCTTGCATCCGCGAGATGAAGGCTGCCGAGGAACGCCGATCCCGCAACTGGGAGGGACATCTGAGCCAACAGGGCGGAGATTGTCCTGTAAGTTCGCCCCTTGTGCCTTCTATGCGAATTGCTGCTGACCTAGACCCTAGTACTGGCGTCGTCGCTACTTCAAGCTTGTCGGTACCAAGTTGACTGCGTACCATGAGGCCACGCGGCAGCCACGTGCTACCATCAACCTGGCAAATGCCAAGCGACTCATCGATGACCGCAGGGCGCTGACTGAGAAGGAGACCACCGGCAAGAACGGCAAGCGTCGCCGGTCAGCCTTTGCCGAGGAGGAAGAGGCTTACATGTTTGTGGAAGAGGGCTTCCGAGTCCGATTCAACAACGGCGAGATAATCGACTTCTACGCCGACAGCCCCGAGGACAAGGAAGGCTGGCTGAAGGTCTTGTCGGATGTCATTGGCCGCGACAACTTCGGTAATGACGAGGACGGCCTCGCCAATGGTTCCCGCGCCAAGGGCAAGTGGTGTGATCTCGTCCTTAAGCGGGAGGATACACTACGCCGCCGAGCTGAGAGTCGACGGCCCAGCCATGGCCGAACCAAGAGCAGCCTGGTGTAAGGGTGAGCTGGCTTCGCCAACGACCAAAAATTGAAGAAGAAAAAGACGTGACGAGTTACGAAGCGAGCTGATGCGTTTCATGACACGACCGACCCAACAGCGCGCAGACGTCTGGAAGAGTCTTGTGCCTTCATTTCTGAGGTTCATTTTCACTTTGTCACGCTTCATTGGCCTGGAAGTTTTAATATGCGCTTTGTACTTATTTTTGGCATGCATACCGGTGCCACTGGTGCTGTTGACCCTCGAGATACAATCATGAGGTGCCAGCGTTGGGAACACTCAGCGTCTACCAGCCCGAGGAGACGCGTGGTATGAGAGAGAGAGAGAGAGAGAAGCGATTTGCTAGGTGCAGGAGGAAACGGCGAAGGTTAGGAAAGGCAAAGGGATACTGGCCGAGTGAAGGAACACTTGCGTTTGGAGTTGGTTTTGTGTTTTGTGATTGATGGCTGGAATCGTATTCCGGCAACATTTCCACCATGGGTGGGAGTATATTTTCTGTTCTGCCCCGTATATTTCTCGTCACGACCCATGTGGTAGCGGTGGCCTTCAATGTACGATATTCGAGCAACATTCAAGTGAGCGAGACAGCATCGCTCCAGCCAAGACCAAGAGAGCGACAATACAACGATCACTCACTGTATGTGTGTATGTTTACTCCCTCTCCTGGGCACGCAATCATGCCGGTGGCGCAAGGTCCCTTGTCTTGATAGATGCGAAACGCCCTCACTCATGTGTCCTCATGTTGCTGCCTGTCGTCGATTCCACTCGACACACTCGTCCAGCTTCACGCCGCTGCCACCGAAGCAGTCCAGCGCACTGCCGATGGTCAAATCCACGGTACCACCACTCAGGCTGGCCACATTATCCAGGTCCTGGAGGTTCCGGCCGCCGCCAGCGTAGGTAACGGGGATGGTACACCACTGGGACAGCTTCGTGATGAGTTGCTCATCGACGCCACGCTGGAGACCCTCGTTGTCGGCGGCGTGGATGAGGAACTCGGAGCAGTAGGGCTCCAGCTGCCGTATGGACTCTGTAGAAGGAGGTGAAGTGAGCATGTATTATCAGGCGGGTATTGCGCACACGAGCCTCACTCATGCATGCACACACACACACACCAGGCTTACCTTTGTTCACTTCCATATCGGTGATGGTCTGCCACTTGTCCATGGCGACGAACCACCTGGGCTCGGGGTCCCTGTCGGCCTGCTGGCGCCGGCAGCTCAGGTCTATGACCAGCTTCTCCTTGTCGCCGCCCAGGGCGCCGAGGACGGCGTCGAGGCGGGGCTGGCTGAACCTGCCGCCTGGGAAGAGGAAGGACGTGATGATGACCTACTAAGCAATTTGCCACGAGTTACACATGTGTCGGTAGTTTGAGTACAAGATATTTATTTACACATGCCATCCATACCTTGTCAGCGCCGGCGGCGATCCAGCCGGCGGCGTTTGTGTCGTTGATGCCGCCTCCGACCTGTAACCCCCCCGGCCAGGCCGCCAGAGCCTCTCGGGCGGCCTCTGTGTTGCCGGGCCCCAGCATGATCACGTGGGCACCCCGGAGGTCATTGTCACGGTAGAGGGCGGCGAAGTGGGCGGGCGGGTGAGGCGAGACGAAGTTGGTCTTGAGGGAGCTCGGGGTCTTCTCATCGAGGGTGCCGCCCACGATCTGCTTGACCTGGCCTGAGTGCAGGTCTATGCAGGGGCGGAATATTGTCATTTTTGGTCTTGGGGGTCCCGTGGGGGGGAGGGGGCGGTGACGGAGAGTTTTTTTTCTATTATGGGTAATGTGAGTGAAGTGAGGCTCTTGACTCTCTCTATGGCCGTGATGAGACTTCATTCGGTATGAGACTTCAGTTGAGTACCAGGCGCTAGGTCACTCGGTTGCACCCACTGGAAGGGCTGTGGGGCAGCTGTTGCGGCTCTCTCTGGACCACCTAACGGCCGCTAAGATTTTGCACGGGTCAGAAATTTCAGGCGCGCCAGCGGCTACCATGCATGAACAAGGCCCAATTTACCCAAGTGCATGTGTGTGACCCATCAAAAATCTCGTTCGGGAATAACTTGACAAAACTCCCTCTCATATCGGCCACCACCACCACATTTTCAAACATCCACAAAACTCACCGGGGCTCATCAATTGAGAGGTACATCTTGGCCGCGGTCAAGGTACATCCCATCAGATACTCACTCATCCCCTGCGAATTCAGAAACAGGCACATCACGGCCGCATCTGGTCAGGCCGAGGCCGGGTCAAGCCCAGAACAGAAGAGAACAGAACAGAACAGGACAGAGCAAAATCATGGCACCCGGTACGGTGGTCTTGGGCAAGAGGAAGCGAAGGGCGCCGGCCGGCAAGGCCGCAGATGCCGACGCCAAGGCAGAAGAGGCAGCGGCCATGGAGGAAGCCCAGGCCATCTTCAGGAAGCACTTTGAGGCCCAGTTCGCGCCCTTGGAGGGGTCCGATGACGACAAGGCGGGCAAGCCGGCAGCCAAGGGCCGGAGGAAGGGGCCTGCCGGCAAGGGGGCCGACGGCGACAGGGACGATGCGGCCGGGGTGGAGGACATGAGGTCCGAAACCTCTGACTCTGGGGCAGAGGACGACAGCGACGGCGACGGCGACGGCGACAGCGACAGCGACAGCGACAGCCAGGATGAGTGGGACGGCCTCTCTGCGGAGGATGACGGCGATGACGGCGACAGCGAAGGTGAGTGGGTGGTGGTGGTGGTGACCGAGGGCTGCGGCCCGGCCACTGAAACAAGCACTTTCTTCTTTACCCTCTTCGTCACCCTTCTGTTACGGTAGGACTGACACGTGCGGGCCACAGACGGCGAGGGCGAGGGCGATGACGACAGCAGCGAGGGAGATGAAACAGGTTCAGGGCCCGAAACGAGGGAAACAAACAGCCACCAGATCGAGGTGGTCGACTACTCCAAGCCAACCCCGTCGCTCTCTACGCTCACGCCCCAGACCGCCCTCATGACCAAGCGCGAGATGCGCGCCTACCTGTCATCACGGCCACCAGAGAGCGCCGTTTCACCCGCGGCGGCGGCGGGGTCCAGTGGCAAGGCCCGCTCGAAACAGCAGCAGCAGCAGCAGCAGGGCGACGGCGGCGAGGACCCGCAGAACGAGGACTCGAGGTCGCTGCTCAAGAACGACCTGGAGCTGCAGAGGCTCATCTCGGAATCCCACATCCTGTCGGCCACGAACCCCTTCAACGCGGCCACGTCAGGCGCCACGGCGCCCAGCAAGGCCTTCTCCGAGGGCCGCACGCGCGCCCTGACGACGGACCTGCGGCTGCAGAGGCTCGGGTCCAGCGGGAGCATCTTCAACAGCCAGAAGAAGATGCCCATGAACGTGCGCAAGGGCATCCTGGGGGCCAAGGCCGCGCGGGAGGAGAAGCGGCGGCGCGAGGCCAAGGAGAACGGCATCATCCTCGAGAGGGAGAGGCCCGACGAGGCCAAGGGCAAGGGCAAGGGCACGGGCAAGAAGGCAGGGGGGAGGAGGCAGGGCAGGGGCTCGGACCTGCCCGTCGACATGCCCGGCATGGGCAGGATGAAGGGCGGCGAGCTGCGCTTGAGTAAGCGCGACGTCAGGGCGGTGGAGATGGAGGGCAAGAGGATGGGCGACCAGCGCGGCAAGGGCAAGCACCGCAGGCGGAGGTGAATGAATGAATGAATGTGTGAATGAATGTGGGTGAGCGAAAGAGGCTGGTTGACTCCTGCGTCCCAAGAGGACAAGTATTTTTTTGGTTTAATTTTCCCACTTTGTTAATACGGTTACTAAGGACCCTTCCCTATCAAGGTCCTCTTTTCCCTATTATGGATGTGTGGCTACGAACACGGTGGACGCGGCCACGGCCTCCGAAACAACAACCTCAAACAAGCTTACTTACATATACAAGACCCTATACCTCACCGAAGGCAGACGGGAGCCCAGCCGGGCGGCAGGAGGAGCAAGAGGATCAGAGATCTGCGCCTGGAAGCGGCCGGCGTCCCCAAGCAAACCCCCACTGATTTGAGTTAATGTTAATCTTCTCAGTCAAGCTTCTCCAGCTCGCCTTGCACCCAGCGAGGCCCGCCCGGCCGCCCGCCCGGCCGCCCAGGGCCGCCGCCGCAGCAGCATCTTTGGATCCTGCTCGCCTCGGTGCTGCGTCCTGCTGGGGCACACACCATCATCCCGTCCTGTTTCCTGCCCCAAGTAATCGAGGGGGGGGGAGGGGGGCGGAGCGGGGCCGGCGGCGGGTAGGCAAGCCTCTCACATCACCCACCACCACCGACCGCCCTACTAACATAGTAAGTACACCGTACATAAGAAGAGTCTGACGTGCATGACACACGTACGCACTTTGTGTTGCCATTTTGGGAAACCCTCGTGGCCAAAGGTCTTAACCGATAGGTCCCTCTCCTCTCCTCTCCTTTGGGGTCCGTATTTTTAGGTTCGGCACTTTTGAGCCCAGGATGGGATCTAGAGCGGCTTACTGTTGGCAAAAGGATGGGGGCTGATTTGCAGAAGTGGAGGCAATCATGTGGCGCGGTAGCCAGTCACTCAGTCAGCAACAGAATCTAATATCCTCTTTTGTTTTCATATTGCCCTTGTTTCATTTTCTTTTCCCTCATACAGTGAGTGGTAGGATGGCTGTCCATCCGAGTCTCTTTTTTTACACTGAGAAATTTGCTGACGGGCGGGATAATTTGGCCCAATCTCGGCAGTTCGAGTGCAGGACTTTGGTTCAGAAGGATGGATGATGCCCTTTTGGGCGACGGGGACGGGGACGGGGGCGATGCGATCGATGGGTGTGCGTGGGCGTGGGCGGAACTAGGCTGGGCCGCCGCACGAGGCCGCGAAGAGAGGGCTCGAAACGAGGACGAGCATCCTTCCGTGGGCGGTACCTGCTTTTTTTTCTCACCCCTTTCCCACCCTCTCCCACCCCTGTGGCCTTCTGGCTGTGCAACACCATGATGGGTTGCGTCCACATCGACCGAAACCTTGTTTCGGATCTAGATCTGCCTGCCTGCCTCGTCTCCCTGTGTCCTTCTGTACGTCATCCGCTGGGGAACCAAAGGCCTAGACTGTCAGGTTTTGCCCATGTCTGAACGGCCACAGTGCGTGCCAGCTCCACCTGCAGCCGGCCCAGCCTCGACGGGGCCCTTGACTAATCGCACAGCTGGCTGCGGCGGCGCACGCGAAGTATGCTCATCACACGGCAGAAGGACGTCGTTGCTTATCCGTCCAGGGACTCGGGATCTGTGGGATGCAAATCAAACGTCATGGCAAATGTGATTGTGACCTTGTATGAGATTCATCGTATTCACTGACTGGCATGAACAAGCTGCAGCCTTGGAATGAGCACATCTGAGTATTGTGCATGTAATTTGCCCTTTCAAAACCTCGTCCTCCAAGTGCATAACTATGTCTCCAACCAACTGGTATCTTTCATCCCGATCTGCTAGCGCCCGATGAACCGAAGACAGTTATATACACCACTTCCAGTCATTCGGTGCCGTCCCATGATGCAGAATATGTTGTTCGGGGAGCTCCGCAGAGGGCTACGCCCGACGCCCGTCTATTGTGCTTTTTCTGCCCAAAGTAGAACGCAAAAAAGTACCAACTCCCAGGCGGGGGAGATCAAACCAAAAAGAGAATAAAAAATGGTCGCCGGTTGCTCGATAAAAACATAACAGCAAGCCCCGCAAAGGAAACGCCCAGGAGTCCCGTGAAGGAAAGCCTGCCCCTTCATCCGGGAATGACACGTGTTGACCATCCGTCCCAAGCCCTCGCACATGAAGTCGTGAAATAAAACAAAGTATCCATAAATTTACAGTCCCCTTCGAACCGGAGGAGGCGTTGCCAGGCTTCCGAGCGCCCTTTTCAGATTACATCATGACAGCCGTGTGGGGTTGGCTGATCGTCATCGGCAGGCTCAGCGTTTGCAGGCTGTGGAAGCCAGACTGCGTGCTGGGCATCGACGTCGAGGGCCCATAGTTGCCGTTCGAGGTTGGCGGTGTGCCGTTGGCGACCGAGTTCAGCGACGCGGTGATGTAGCCCGATTCCGAGTTGGGCGAGGCGTCTCCCAGTGAGCCCATGTGGTCCTCACCCGAGTACTCCTCCTCGTCTTCCCCGGAGAGGTTCAGGCCGTCGGCCCCTTCGCCGCGGTCATGTGTCCTCTTGTGTCTGCGCGGAATGCTACGTCAGTCTCTGTTGCTCGCACGATTTCGTGTATCCTTTTGAGCTGTTGAAGATGTGCTGTGCTGTGTCCTGTGCTGTGTGGTGACGACGGCGGTTTTGTTTTGCTTTGGGTTTCGCTAGTCTCGGTAACATGCCACGCACACAACATGAGGATTTCGAGCATCTTCGTAGCCACAAAAGAAAGTACAAAGGAAATGCAGTCAAGGAAAGATGGGGCATACTGTGCTAGGTTGTCTGATCTGGAGAATGCCTTGCTACAATAAGGGCAGATGTAGGGTCTCTCTTGGGTATGTGTTCTCACGTGTCTGGAAGTTTAGTCAGATACACGGCAAGGTGATCGTGTGTTGACAAAGAAAATGCTGTTCCGGTCTTACCGCTTCAGGTGCTCTAAACGCTTGAAGAGACGACCGCAGGTTGGGATGGGGCAGGAGTGAGACTTCTGGGGGTATGGGCCAAGCTCCATGACGGTCGCAGAGCGCGCACGACGCATGACACCGTTCTGGCCTTGCATCATCCGGCGCTGCTCCTCCATGTGGCCGTTGACCATGTCATCATGAGGCAGCTGGTGGTACTCCTGCTGGAGCGACATCGGGTTCATGGCGGGACTGCCCTCGACGGTGGACAGGGGAGTGCCATGGCGAGAAAGCTCGAGCATCTCCTTGTGCTGCTGGCTCGACATGGACACGTTGCTGTAGGTCAGCCCTGGCGGTGAGTTGCCGAGGGATTCGTCACCCTCAGCAACTGGCCCTACCGAGGCGGAAACAGAGCGGCGGAGATCCGAAGGTCGGTGAGCCTGGGCAGCAGCCGTGGCAGTTGCGGCGGCGACAGCAGACATTCCCGGTGGGATGGACGAGCGACGCCTTCGCTGCTTATACGTTGGCGAACCCTCGATCACGGAGTAGACGTTGTTGGCGCCGTACCCCCGGGAAAACTGACCACCTGCCAGATTTGATGGGGGCAGCTGGATCATGCCGTTCAGACCATTGACGCCGTTCATGTGGTCGGGAATGGCGGTGTAGAGACCGGTCTCCTCATTAGCAATGTAAGCGGGCTCCGCAGACATGCCCAGGGCCTGCTGAGGTGGCGTGATGGGCTCGAATGAGATGCCCCGGTTGCTGTAGTCCTCGTACTGAGAAGAAACGAACGAAGGAGCAGGCGAGTACTCCAATCCGTACGCGGGCATGGAGGCGTGGCGTTGGTGGCCCTGTGTGATTGGGACGCCATTCTGGTTGTACTGGACCCTGTTGAAATCAGGCTCCCTCTTAACCATGGTCGGGGGCATCTGGGGTGCCATCGACATGGCTCCGTAAGGCACCATCGCCTCCATTCCGTCAGACAGAGGGGCCATGGACTGAGGCATCATCTGTGGTGGTGGCATGGCGTCGACAGCGCGCATGACGGGGGAGGTAGACTGCGAAGGAGGGAAGGTCTGCTGGGCGTTGAACGAAGAGGAGTTGGCTTGCTGGGCCTTGGTGAGCTGCTCGTACAGCGACTGGGACGAGTCGTACTGGAAGGACAGGGCGGGCTCGCTGACGGCGACGGTGGTAGCCTCTTGCCCCATCTTCTCCCTCTTGAGATCCCTCTCCAGGGCATCGAGGAAAAGGCGGTCGTGGGGAACGCTGTACCAGTAGAAAACCTTTTGCTTCTTCTGCGTTCGGATGCAGTTGTTCTTGTACAGGAAGTCGAGGAAGGGGCTCTTGGGCTCCTCAAGGGACGCGTCGGTGCCCGACTTCAGATTTCGGAGATCGGAGAAGATACCCTCCTCGAACTTCTTGGAGTTCTTAACGGGGCGGCCGAAGGCCTGAAACCTGAAGGAGAGGCATCGTACGATGTCGGTTCCTGAAATGTGAAAGAGGTTGTTCCACAGCACGCACGAGACGTACTCGCCGGTGGGCAGGAGAAACCGTCGGATGTACTGATCTGGTTGCCAGTCGACGGGTGCAGAGATGAGAAAGTATTTCACTAGACAACATTGGTTAGACGCGCATTGGGACTCCTCAAGGGTCAGGAAGGGTGCATACGGTTGTCAACCTGTTGCAGAGCAACCTGTGCATCGTGTGGCAGTGCTTGCTGAGCTTCTGTGCTCAGCATAAAAGTCTCTGGTTTTTGAGGTGCAGCCATTGCGCCTGCTTGTGAATACATGTTGGGCACGCGCCGCGGGCGGGAGCGTCTTGTTCAAATAGGACGGCCTCTGGAATGCGAAGAGGGTGCGTGGCTGGGCGGCGAGAGGTGGGAAGATCCGCAGAGGTCGGGACGGCACCAAAGCGTGTTCGGATCGTCGCCAATTGAAACACAAGGGACAGGTAAAAGAGAACAGGCGACGCGATGATCGTCGATGCAGGTTCGTCTCGCAGCCAGGCGTTGGAGGGAGTCGATCGAAGTCGTGCACAGCAGGATGTGCGTGAACGTCGGGGGTGGTGAGGATGGATGTGAGGATTGATAAAGATGATCGAGTCCAGCCCGGGGGGGTGAAGAGGAGATAAAATGCACACAGTGAGGTCGGCCACCAATTGCGTCTAGCGAATTTAGTGGGTGGGCGTGCGCTGGCCGAACCGTCAAGGCACAGGCAATAGCGCAAGAGGGAAAAAGATAGGGGTTGGGATTTGGGGAACTGTGGGTCGGGGGTGTCCTCGAAAGCGCGCCGGAGAACCGTGCTGCCAATATCCGAAGCGACCCGCAGCGATATGATGCGGTGCAGTAAAGTCCCGGCTCGACAGGCTTGTCGTCGGTCGGATGTGGGCTGCTGCTGATTGACAAACAATTGAATGACTGTCGATCAACAACTGCTGCTGACTTGCTGCTGCTGCAACGGAGGATATTAAGTTGTTTTATTGGGACGACGATGGCACAACCCTGCGAAACCCCAGTCGAGAGACAGACAGAGAGGAGCTGAAATAGCTGCGTGTAAAGATAGACAGGATCAGATCACAGTCAGCCAGGCAGTCAGGCAGTCAGGCAAGCAAGCTCCCGGTTGTCGAAGCTCGTCAGATCGGACCCAGGCAAGGTATGAGCTTGAAGGGGTGGGCGGTGATTGACAGACTTTGCGACGGTCTGTGTCTGATGTGAGGAGATGATGTGCCTCTGGGATGCGCGGGCAACACACAACGATGGGATGGGATGCGAGCGAGCTGGAAGCCGTGGCTGCAGAATAAAAAGGGCTGGGAGAAGAATAGAAAAAAAAAGAAATAAAGACGGAGCGGGTGTGCAGGTGCGAGGCGAGGTTTCCAAAAGGTTATGTTGGTTGCTGCTCCAAGAAATAGATCAAATACCGTTGGTCCGGTAGTAGCGAGCCTCCTGAGACACGAGGAGAAAGGTAGAAGGAGGGAAGAAGGGGAAGGTCTTGCACAAGAAGATTTGGCAGAGATTCGCAGGCTGGTCGGGGGGGAGGGAAGAAGAGGGATGGCCTGGGGGTTTAAGGGATTCGGACGGGCTGGCTGCTGCTCCCATTTTCAAATCTGGCCGCACAGCAGCCCGGGTACATGGCCATGCGCGTGCAGGTACCTCGTCGTGCAGGTCTCTGGGAGAAGATGGACGGGTGGACTAGTGCAAGGATGCGGAGGGGCGGACAGGCCAGGGTCCTGAAGCCCATGACTGGTCAGAAGGGCGCGCAGCGGGACGGTGGGACCTCAACCTTGGAGCCAGGGGTGGGTTGGACGGGGTGGGAAGGGCCTGCCCACGGTACCTGGGTACCTGACTGGCCGTCCAGGTCATGTAGGGGGGGTGTGTGCGCTCTGGACCACTCCTCCCTCCCTCCCTCCGTCTGCCCCCCCCCCAGTCCGTCCCCCAGTCACAGTAGAGGAAGGACAACAACAGAGCAACCCAAAAAAGGTCGACTGCGGTCAGGCCCGGTGGGTGCAGATTCCGGCCTGGCTGTGTGTTCAGGTTTGTTTCTTACGTGAAGGTGCTGGCTCGTGGTTACTAATAGCACCTATGGCCCTGCTTGGTCTGGCTGGCCTGCGTCTACCCCGTACAGGATTCCTGATTTCTCCTGTTGCTGACACCGCCGGCGCAGGCGACAAAATGGATGGTCCCTCGAGTCCTCCCGCAGCCAGTATACTGGCCACCCTACTCATTGCCCCCCAGTTCGATCAGGCTGTGGCCCCGGGCGTAGAAGGGACACCCCTACCCGTTATACGCAAGGTAGGAAGGCTGTGGAATGTGGAATGTGGGATACGGGTATGGCTTGCCGGTGCTATAGAGCGACGTCCAACACAATAGTCTTTGGTCAGTATAGGTCTGCCATTCAGTCAATTTGGTGAATCCGTGGTTATGTCAGGCCGTGGGCTCCATCACGGCAGCCTGGGTCCAGTATCCGTTGTCCGGTCCGAATGACTAGTAGTTGATCATTTTGGCAATCTCTGGGGTTCTTTGGCCGGCTACCCAGGTACTGCCGCCGTCCTGTCAGCCTCAAGCTTATGACCACGGAGAGAAATGCTCAAAGGGGACACGATCTCGACGGGGCCCGTGGGGAGACTAGAAGAGGAGCAAAGAGGGCGCGACGGCACGGGCAAATCTCCCATGTCTCCCATGTCGCCCATGTCGCCCATGCAAGGGTCGTGCTGGTGTCCCAGAAGAGACAATGAGTGACCCAGGCAATCCGAACACAAATTTAATAACACGTCCAGCATGGGCGTGCCATGGGTGCCCTGTGTGCCCCCGGGGCCGCTGGGTGGTGGTGGCTCGTCCTGAACTGGTTTTTGTCGTCCGTGAGCGCAGTAGTGTCGTGGAGATTCTGGCTTGCCCAAAACCCTTGTTCACCATAACACTGGGCCCGTCATTCGGACTTCAACCCAGCGTGGGGCCGCACCTCTTGACTCCCGCCAGCCCGCTCGCAGGTTTGCTGCTTGCGCTGCCTTGCCCCCGTAGAAGAGTCACAGACCACTCCGTACCGTACCCACATTCAACTCCCGTGCCTGGTCCCCTGCGCCTTGCAAGACGGAGATATCTCTGACTGCAAAAGTGGGCGAAGGGGCTGCACATCACCAGGGGTGGTACGAACGGTTCGCAATACCGATCGCTGATGAGGTTGCCCTGCTGGCCGTCCTCGCTACCGCCTACTGCTCCTGTTGCCGGTGCCGATGGGGACGGGGCCGATGGCAATTCACCGACGAGCTAGTTGCTCATGCAATCACAACCAAATGGCTACAAGCTCGGGCGCTCCTGGGCGGGGGAGCCATTTCGGGCACGCCAGCAGACGGATATGTCGGTCGCGAGGAAGTTTAATGGTCTGCCATCTCCAGCAATATCGGCACTGCTTTGCTGGCAGACCGGTTGGGGTGAATGGCCAGTGCTCCCCGGGCTGGACCAGTGTGCACCAAGAGGCAGAGAGGGTGCGTCCGTCCGGGGTCATCGAGGAAGCTTGCCTTCCAGGCGCGCTGGACGGCAGAGCAGGCATGGTGATGGCAAGAGGCAAGCCTCGTAGCGCCGTGGTGGGGTGACGACGAGGGGAGGGGTCTCACCACGAAGCAGGGTCATCACCTCCAGCCTCCCTGTCCTCCAAGCCGCTCTAAGCTGAGGCTGCCCTCGCGCATCCATGCACGAGGGCAAGGGTGGCGGGATCAAGTTCTCGCGCATGAAGATGGCTGCCCTGGCGCCACAGTCCAGGACGGTGATGCAGAGGACGGCGTCCTGACTTAACACCGGCGCACTGGAGACAGCCTGGCCCAGCTTGTTGGGTACTGTGTAGGCAGCTGTCATCGATGATCAATATCCGTCCTCTCAAGGGCTGTCCCAAGTGCCCGCACACTAGCAATAGCCTGGGCTTTTCTCAGGCCCAAAATCTCCTAGGTCACCTTCTATGGCTATCGCTTCCGAGTGTGCCGCACGAGGATGCTGGCAAGCCCGCCCAGCCTGCCCGCAACGAGACGTGAGAGGCGAGCACCGGGCGCCTCTGGGTTGAGCATTCGTAAGCTTCTCGGTAGCACGGCGCAGAAAAGACGTTGATTAGGCGCAGAAACAGAGCCTGGCGGGAAAAAAGAAGCATGTTTGCAGCGATGCAGCCCCATCCAATGCCCTCCCGCCCTGCCCCTGGCTTCAAGGCTCCCATTGGACTGGTCTCTGGCTTGCAGTTCCTGAAAGTAGTGGGACTCTGAGGCTATTCGCTGGCTTGACCGGGGCCATCTTGAGCAATGTCGCACATCTGAGGAGCGTTGGCCAGCAAGATCTCGCAGCTTACGGGCCACCGCTTCTGGCCGGCCTCATAAGCGTAAAATCATCAAGTTGCTTAAAAAAGAACCGCCCAGGGCGGGCCTGCCCTTTCTTGGGGGTGGTCGGCGCCAGGCGTGCATCCTACTCGCGCCAACGCATACAATCACTCGCAGTCCTGGCCTCCGCAATTCTCTATCACTAGGTGATGCTGAGGGTAAATAGCTGTGGGTGAATGTACTGGTACCCGCTGGGCTGATTCACTTTGAGATATGTGGGTTTCCAGATCAGGTCTCTTGGAAGCGACACGATGTGGAATCGTTGACCAAGGCATTTGTTGGTGTTGTGCCGCCAGGCACGCCCGCATCTAGCAGATCTTACGAAACCAGTAGCGTAGGCGACAAAAATGAAATAGAGAGAGATTGATATCTCATCTCATGGCAGGTAAATGCCTGAGCCGTGGTAAGGTCAAAGGGACCGTTTCGCATGCCTCTTCTTTGAACTATCGGGCAGCCGTGGTTCATGCAAGTCGCCGCCTGTCCCTGCTGTCGCTGAGGTTTGCAGCGACTTTGAAGGAACTGGATTGTCTAGTGCGCCCAGTCCCGAGCCTATGTTTGTGACGAATTCCGTCCAACTATTCTCGTGGGACAAAGCAGGCTTTCTTCACAAGAAGCTCTACCCGAGCCGAGAAATCCAACCAATATGCTTGAACCGTATACGGTCGAGTGTCTTAGACGTCAGTCAGGCTAGACTGAGGTCCGATGGAGTAGGGTGGTGGTGGTACTGTGCAGTTCGCTCTGCCCCGGACTGTTGGTGACCAGAATGGTTCGATCCGGCCGAAGGGTAAATTATGGCCCCCTGTGCCTCACAGAGGGGAAAGAAGGCGCCACGCGATGAAGACAGGTGGACTGTGCTCTCCAGCATCGGCATAATCCGTGGCTTTGCCTGTGGGCAGCAGCGCTGCCCACAAAGTGGCGAGATGTCTAAACTCTGTCGAGGTCGGCCACCCAGCCGTGCGGGTAGATACCGTTACTGTTAGTTGGCAGTCTTGGACTTGCGCACAACTGATCGACAGCAGCTTTGCCTCGCGGTTGGCGAAGATCATGAACAGAGCCGCATGGAGGATGGGCCTCTGGGCCTGTGCTCTGAACCTTGCCGATTGTCAGACTGGCCTGACTACCATGTTCCGCGAGTTGAAACTGAGCATCACCGATGTGGAAAGCCATCTCAAGATGCGGTTAGATGCTCTGCTCTCAGACGTGATGACGGCTTGTTGGCGGGCCACCCTTGCAACTGTGACTGCTCCCTGGCTGCGCTCCGCCTGTGCATTGCGGAGGCGGAGGAGCAGGAGTCGCCTTTTGGGTGTCTGTCTGTGGCCAAGCCTCTCCAACGGCCACGGGGCCTCGCACCTGGCGCAAATGCCCCGTCCTTCGATCCTCGCATGGACGTGTGTACACACAAAGTAGAGCATGTCTGCAGGGTGGTCATCATCATCGGTCGCCCTGGTGCTGAACTAGGACTGGTGCTGGCGAAACGGGCAGCACGTTGTGTGGTAGCAGCGGCAGTATACAGGAGTGGTACTGTGCAGTAGTGCATCTAGACTTGCCTGTCCCGACCAAGAGACTGCCAGACTGCCAGACTGCCCATCGCCGGTGTGCAGCCCCTGCTGTTCGGTGTATGCCCATGCCAGCATCTCCCGCATCCCGTCGCATCGCGCCGGCGGATTGGCGAGCCAGCAGCGAGCAGGCATGCTGGCATGCTGGCATGATGGAGGCGTGGAGTCAAGAGAGGAACAGAGGCCGGATCGGGGAGTGCTAAGCAGCTGCCGCGAGTCGACGGGCTGGACCCCACCCACTCTCAAATTCTGACGGGGCGCGGAGGTGGCTTCCTATTCGGGGCCCCTGGCAGCTCTGAAACATGGTGGGGACGCGGGCAAGGGAGAGGCGCTTTGCTTCAGAAAATGCTGCACACACAAGAGGTGGGAGGGCGCTACCGCAGGCGGTACCACTACGGAGTGCTACGGTACGGTACCTAGAGTAGGACCATGCAGTACGACATTAGGCCAAATCACTGCAGGGGCTGGCCCAGTCAACGTCGTGCCCTCGTCCCGCCTGTCTCAAAGCCCACTCTTTTCTTCCATCAATTGAGTCCAGAACGTTTTGTTGATACGAGCGATCACTCTCTTCCTCTCTGGCTATCAGTCGGGGCGTCAGGGTGCGCGTGCTTGTGCGTACGAGAGGCGTGGCTATGCGATAGCCATGTACATCTCCAATCTCGTCGTACCGCGTTGGTGCGGAACGGGAGGGATCGTCTTAGGAACA